CGAGGAGCTTGAAGAGGAGAAGAAGCAGTGGATGGAAAAGATCTGCCAGATGCAAGATGACTTTGCTGCCATGCGCATCGAGTACGACGCTCTTGTTGCTGAGAAGGAGAACTGGCACCGCGAGTCCATGGAGATGCACCACATGGTCAACCAGCTCCAGTTCGACAAGGAGGAGCTTGTGCGCAACCACACTCTTGAAACCGGCGAGCTTCGCAAGAAGGTCTCTGTCCTTACTGAACGCCTCGAGGCTGCTACTAGCAAAATCGAGAAGGTCCAACAGCAAAAACCGCAAAAACAGATGGAGAACAGAAAGCAAGCCGAACTTGCAGAGCATTAACCAAGAAACCTTTCGCCAGCAAGTTTAGGATACGCAAGCACAGAACAATCAGCAGCTACGGCAGCACATCATCCTCTGTTAAACGCCGTATTCTCTTGTCCTGTTACCAACTGCGAAAAGAGCTCTTGCAAAGATACACATGATGAGATTCATCTCTACGCCTCACCGGGCTGATTCAATTACTTAGAGCTTGCACTGTTGCTGGATAATGTATATAGCGTGTGGAGAATGTTAGCATCATGTTTATTCACCGTTTAAGGCTCTATGCCAGCGACCGAATGTCCATCATGGTCGTGCTTGTTTGATGCATCCATGGCCAGGTGAATTGTGGTTTGTAAAGCCTTGCCTAAATGAGATTAGTCTTCGTATAAGCCACCTTTGACCGGTGAAGACGGGATGGGCTACATTACGTTGGGTCCATCGCCAGATCGCCTCGAGAAACATTCGTTTCTAGACGTAAACGTACTTCTAGTATCAACTCATATATGGGCAAGTATGGAAGCTCAAGCGCATGAAAAGCGACCACGAAGTTCTAGCGATGCTTCAACAGGCAGTGGTTCTGGCCCCATCCAGCAGCGACCCAGAACCGAGAGGCTTGAGCGCACACGTTCACCAACCGGAGCTCCGATTCAGCAACCGAGTGTCATACACCGTGTACGCTGCTTCCATACCCGTGAGTATCATACAGATCATCCTTCTATCGCATGCTACCTCGATATACCAGCCATGCCGGCAAACGCAAACCGAACAACTCCACTTTGTGGCCAGGAACCCTTGTTAGACTTGGAAACCTATCTGGCAGGGCGGATTGGCTTCAGCTTCGTGGTATTCCAAGAGTACGACTGTGAGGCTTACCACAAGGAGATCAAAAGCATCTTCACACGACTTCCAATGCCTTCCATGCCTCAGCTCATAAGCACTCAGTCCAAACCTTATTTCCAGATTCTCGAGTTTGGCGGACCACGAGCCAAAGCGACCTCCGAGCAGATACAGCTCTCTGAAAGTCTTGAAAAAGCTTTGTGCGACCTACGCGACCTCAACACAAACTGGGTCAAAGAACGGGGTTTCGGGGAGGACCTTGTTTACCCATACGCAAGATTGTATCATTTCAAGCATCTTTTTGTCGAACCTTTCACGCAAGCACCGGACCCGCAACAACAGATAGGCCTGAAAGTGCTATTCCATTACCTAACCAATCGCTTAACGTCCATTTACGAGGAATTAGCAGAACTTTCGGCCGCGAGAATCGCAAGCCAAGAGCACTGGGCGATGCTGTTTCAGCCAGATGACATAGTAATTACGACCGAAAACGGCCACCTTCAGGCATTCACGGTAACGTCCTGCCGTCTGCACAGCCATAACACATTGGTCATAGATTGCTGGTCATGGGAGTATGATGGAAACTTTTTTCGAAAGCACACCACCCTTTCACATGTGTGGCCCTCCAAGTCACAGCAGATCGCCATCACAGAGCTTCCGGTATACCCCATTCGCTACGCAGTAGATGGAGTCGAGTCTGGACTACGAGAGCGGGGTTACACTTTCTGGAGCTGCCGGCGTCAAAAATATGTGAATTACGATGTGCCACTGCAAGGGCTCGGCTCGCAACTTGTAAGATGCTACATTTGCCATCAATGTGATCTGCTTACAAAGCTAGGCTAATCTGCGGTACATGGTCGACACGGAAGCTTACAAGCTGATGCACAGCCGTGACGACGACCCAATAACCAAAAGCGAGCTCAGTGATGCTGTATTGGAGAGCGATGTGCCCCCAGGTGGCCCTTTCACGCTTATGCTGCCTGCGACTATCAAGGGATACGGGTTTCACAACAAAAAATGGAGTATGTATACAAATATCCCCATCTCTACGAATACTAAGCACCCTAGATGTTCTAATGGTGGATCACATACGGGACATCAAATGGAATAGTGGGGTCTTCGAACAACGACTGGTTTTACAGGAAGGCAAAAAGGAGCTAGTAAAAGCTTTAGTCACGGTACATATCGAAAAGAGCCGGGACATCAAGATGGATTTCATGGACGGAAAGGGTGAGGGCCTTATCATGTTACTACACGGCGGGCCAGGTACCGGCAAGACTCTTACAGCGGAGAGTATCGCAGAACTCGTGGAACGCCCATTGTACAGAGTGACTTGCGGTGACGTCGGAACAGATGCGGAAAGCGTTGAGAAGTATCTCGAATCGGCTCTGTACATTGGAAGTACCTGGGATTGTGTGGTTCTACTGGATGAAGCAGACGTCTTCCTCGAAGAGAGAACAAAAATGGATCTTCAGCGTAACGCGCTGGTTTCCGTGTTTTTGCGTGTCTTGGAATACTATGATGGTATATTGATCCTAACGACAAATCGTATCGGCACCTTCGACGAGGCTTTCAAGTCGCGTATCCAGCTCGCGCTCCACTATCCGCCGCTGAATAGGGATGGTCGCTGGGAAATTTGGAGAAATTTTGTTCAGTCATTGTCGGAAGCTGGGGAAAACATCAACACCGAAGAAATCAGCAGGAAACTCGACATCCTCGCACGACATAAACTGAATGGCCGGCAGATCAGAAACACGATCAGCACAGCTCGGCAGCTGGCACGGTACAAGAAGGAAACGTTACGCTACACGCATGTAGACCAGGCAGTCAGAGTGGTTAATGAGTTTGAGAAGTACGTTACAGACGTACACGGCCATGATGATGAGGAATATGCGCAGGATCAAGGCTTAAGGAACGATCAAGCCTTGCGCGATGGAGACTGATCAAGGTTTTCGCCCTTCACAAACTCATCTCGTATCTCTCCACGTCTTGTTTCGTCATTTGCTATGTCTCCTGTTGTGAGATTGATAATATCGATGGAAGTCGATATTACGCGATCTCGGTCGTACTCGGATTGGGACTAAGCTCCCTCTTCATGCCCATATCATCAGAAAACTGTTAAGAGAGCTGCTCGGTTTGTCACATGAACGTGATCTTGACAGTGATCCGTAAATCTTCAAATTCGGTGGCCTGGATCAATTGTCGGTTAATGATCCCAACTCCAGATCTGACTTCTCACGTCGCTGAGCACGTGAATCCTCTTGGCGCCATACCCCGTTGTCTCTTATCTTGATCCTGAACCCGTAAAGACTTTCGAGTAGAGGAAACCGAAATCGTGAATACTGCCCCGAAACAGTGGTGCTGATACTGCCAGTCGTTTCTAGGTATCTAGAAGAAGGCTGTGATTGGCTATCGGGAGACTGCATTGCCGACGCGCTAACATCGTGACGCACTCAACAAATGCCTATCATCCAGTACCAGCACTCTTTGTATTTATTTTCTTAGATGTCGGCATCTCACTCTAGTCTTAAGGTAGTAGGATACTGCGCATCAGTACATGCCTTCAGCGCTAAACTGCTATGATTACCTAAGCAGATTCAGTTGTCACGTTCCAGGGTGTGCGTTCGCCGCATCTACAGCCGAACGGCTCTAGGCCTTTTGCGACCTTCATGGGAATGCAGTCTGGCGGGTCGAGATTGAAGAATGCCTATACGCACTTCTAGACACTCTAGGACAATTCTAGATGCAATAGGCCCGCGGAGCACGATCCCTGGCCGGTGAGAAGACACCACAGCGGCATTAGCCTGGCATAGCCCACACCGGCTAGGTAGCGAATCCTACACTAGCTTCTCATCGACCCGCAAGACTAATTGCCGCCTGTGTCGAGTCGATTCGCCTCGTGTGGCGATCGCAAACTTTCGCTCCACACCCCACGATGTCTTGATGCTTGGTGAATGCAAATGGTTGCCGTTCTTTAATCACGATCTTGATGGCGGAGCATGAAGTCTGAGGCAGCTTGTGGACGTCCTCGACCTTTTAGGGCGTAGCACACTGGGTTACGCATCATGAGTCAACAACCGAACGACCGCAGGGAGATCAAGACCGATCGCCATGGGATGAGGAGAGAACGAGACGTGCTGCTACTCTATGGCGCAGCTTTTCGCAATATTCCACGCACCGACAATGTGGAAAGCCATGTACCTCGGCCATCCTTGGACTCAACTCTAACAGCCTTGTGTCAACTTACCGCCATTCGGATGGGAGCGCAACGGTCCATGATATCACTCCTTGACGAAGAACGACAACACATACTTGCGGAGGCAACCTGTGATCTACCTCTGCAACCAGATGGTTTGGGTGATGCTTCAAATACCCTCTGGCTTGGGAACGTAAGCATTCCGCGAAGTTGGGGCATATGCGAAAAGGTCTTGAAATTGGGTCCAAACGTTGAACCTATCCTGGTCATCAGTGATCTTACCACAGATCAACGTTCATGCTTCCGAGAAGATGTTGAAAGCAATCCCGATATGCGCTTCTACGCCAGTGTCGCATTGAAGTCCCCAAATGGTGCGACAGTTGGAACGCTTTGCATCTTCGACAACAAGAGCCGAGACGGTCTTTCCAAAGAGGAAGCAGAGCTATTTAAGGACCTTGGTTCCACGGTTGTTAGTTATCTGAACACATACACGATTAGCGACCAGTACAGACGGGGGGAGAGGTTCACACGCGGTCTTGTCTCTTTTGCTGAAGGCGCATCTGCTTTGGTACCTTTCGAGAGAGAAGTTCGGCAAGACTCGGCATCGTCTTCACAAACATCATCTGATATATCTTCTACAACGGACAAGGAGATAGTGTCTACAGACGACACCGAAAAGGTACACGAAGGTGTTGAGTTAAACGAGACCACTTCCAATCATCCCTTATCAGCTATAGCAAAGACAGCTCGTGCTAAATCCGCCCGGCACCGATCAATACGTTCGCTTCGTAAGCAGCATTTCTATTGAAGTTATGTGTGAGATAAAGGCTAATTGATACACCAAATCTAGAGGACTCTATCCTGCCCAATGACTCAAAGTCCATGTTCTCACGTGCTGCGAACGTAATTATGGGCTCGAGCGACCTGGATGGAGTGCTTATACTCGACGCGAGCGTTGCGGCGAGCGGTGGACATCGTCGTGCTAATAGCGCCTCAGGAAGTGGTACTGAGGCTCCTTCCGAATCATACCAATCCAGGTCCTCCAGCGACGATGCAAGCTCGAACAGCACTGAGGAACATCAGCGCAGCTCTTCTTCATCGAGTTCCAAGATGTGTCAGCTGCTTGGTGTGGCCACCCCGAGCGACAAAGAGAATCCCGAGTATGGGACATTGTTAGAGCCCGACCTGTCACGTTTGTTCCACGAATATCCACATGGCAAAATTTTTACATTCTGCGCCGAAGGTCATTCTTTGTCCTCTACTGAGGAGTCGACATCGAACCCTAACGATACTGGAAATCTATCACCTGCTACATCATCGAAGCGCAAGACCAACGGCCGGCCACAGCGAGGATCGACTGCTATCAAGGCCATGTTCCCTAAAGCACGCAGTGTCGCTTTTGTTCCCTTTTGGGATTTCGAGAGGGCTCGATGGTTTGCTGGTTGCCTATGTTGGAGCAATGATGCGTATCGATTGCTGTCCACTTCAGTAGATTTGGCATACTTCAAGATTTTCAGCCATTCCATCATGAGGGAATTGTCCAGGCTAGATGCTGTAGCTTTGAACCAGGTAGGTACTATGAAACGGAGAATCCGACACAAACTAACGGGTCATTGTAGGCTAAAACGACGTTTGTCGCTTCCATATCACATGAACTTCGTTCACCTCTACACGGCATCCTGGGTACGCTGGAGTTCATCAAAGACACCCCCCTCGATTCATTTCAGACCAGTATGATGAACTCTTTGCATGCTTGTGGTTCAACTCTTCTCGATACTATCAACCACGTCATGGACTATGCCAAGATTAGCGATGCAAAGAAAAGCGTGTCCTCCAAGAGACTGAAAAATGCGAACACGATACGACTATCTTCGAAGCCATTGAAGAACCGGCGAAGAAAAGATCCCGCATTTGATCTTACCATCGCAACCGAAGAAGTCGTGGAAGCTGTCTTTTCTGGATCCTCATATATCCCGGTCACCTCAAAGCTCGTGGAAGCGCCTTCATCGCCTACGGACGAATACGCAGTTCCGTTTCCGCAACGCAAAACACGGTTTATCATCCTAGATATGGCTTTCGATGAGGACTGGGTCTTTTCATTTCCGATTGGGTCTTGGAGAAGAATAGTAATGAACTTATTCGGCAATGCTATTAAGTATACCGACACCGGATACATTCATGTTTCTTTGCGTTCGAGCAAACTAACAGACAACACAAACGCCCCCACTGCAATCACACTCACCATCACGGATACCGGCTCAGGTATGAGCCCTGGGTTTCTTGCAAATCGGATATTCCATCCGTTCTCCCAGGAAGATTCCCACGCGCCGGGTACAGGCTTGGGCTTGAGCATAGTAAGAATCTCGACATTCGATTGCACGTGAGACATACACTAACTTCTTACACTATATGTAGGTCCGACAGATCATCGACACCAACGGTGGCAAGGTTGAGGTCAGCAGTGATCCCCAAGTCGGCACCAAACTCATCGTCAAACTCGCCCTTACCAGACCCGAAGCTCCTGTCTCGTTGACAGCGGAAAGAGCGCAATACCTGTCTCATCTACCAAGATTAAAAGGCCGGAGAATATGCATCCTTCGCAAGAAAATAGCGGAAGCAAGCGAGAATACTAGCGTCTCAAAAACAGACGAAGGCCTTCTTCGCTTCACCAATGCACTAGCCGATACCCTGGAGACACAACTCAAAATGCAAGTTGTGAAGACAACCGAGTGGGGAGGTCATCATGCAGACATCGTCATCTGCCCTGAACTGTCTTTTGAGTATCTCGCTACGATTCGCAAACGAAGAGCTCACGGTCAACGCGCCCCAGTAACCGTCTTCGTCGGGATGGACGCGCTTGAAGCTGCTACCCTCCGTTCTGATGTCCGTGTGACAAATCGGGAATCTGTCGTTGAAATCATCACCCAACCTTGTGGCCCTTACAAGCTGGCCTATGTTCTCAATCGATGTCTGGACCGCTTTGATCATCCAGCAGAAAACTGGCAGTATACTGCACCAACTAGCCAGTCACTACAGCCCTTGTCGCAAGAAACCAAGCAGCATACCTATCCCTCCTCACCGACCAACTCATTGCAAAGCACCCTTGAGTCTTTGAATTCGGACGCGTCTGGACCGGTCGCTTCATCTACAGCTGGATCCACTACTGCGCAGCCTTCGGTTACGTCGCCTACTGAAGAAGAGGATCCTGTGGTATCCCATACCCTCATCGTCGACGACAATTTGTTGAACCGAAGGCTTCTCATAGCATACATGAAAAAGAACGGACTTCAATTCGAAGAAGCATCAAATGGGCAGGAAGCTTTGGACAAGTATCGGGAAGGATCGCGAAAATTTGATGTCATACTGATGGATATGTCCATGCCAGTCATGGACGGCATGAGCGCCACACGTGCCATTCGCGAACACGAACGAGATAATAACATGCCAAGGTCTTCTATCGTTGCGCTTACTGGCTTAGTGTCATCAAGTGCTAAGCTAGAAGCATGGAGTTCAGGGATTGACCATTTCATGACGAAGCCGGTCAACTTCAAGGCGCTTGGAGAGCTTCTCAAGAACGATGAGACACGGAGGCATACGAGGATGAGAAGTACAGGGATTATACGGGATGCGGCTACTATAACCTCTGAAGATGGCCAAGCGACATGAAAGATCATGTAGTACATTCATCGACTCTATCCGAACAAAACTCCACTCTCGTTAGGGTGCTGGAGTAGCTACTATGTACACAGCTTTTGTTGCCCCACGAAAGCGACTGCAATTCGCCGCTATGGCCACAGCCCTGCACACGTAGACTTCTCTCTTGTACTACGGATCACTGCCGTATCAAGAAAACCCTGAGATCAAGTACACAGTGCATTATGCACGATCAAACATTCGTGTATCCTGTGTTTACTTTTCTAGTCTTCTGTGACAGCCACTTACAAATTTTGCGACACATCATATACCCACACTCTCGAAAAACTTCTCACTTTCGAGGAGAATCGCAAGATCAACTTAGTTTAATCTAATGTGACGATGAACTGCGGCTGTTCTCATCCATACATCACTCTCCCATCTAACACCCAGTCGAAAGACAAGCTCCACATCCTGATAGCGCACCAAAAGGGTTGAGCTCCACTAACTGTACGCCCCCATCTCTCTGTAAGGTAACATCAAAACTGAAACCATACCTTAGCAACAACCCCGTGATGTCCTCACTAAGCTCCTCTGTGTAGGCTATGATGTCTTCTAGAACCTTCACTGCACCCTGGCTAACCAAATCTATCGTCTGCTGCAAGTCAAATCCCCATGGCGCTTGGAATGCTTTTGGCCACCTGTATTGGCTGATCGCACTAATCGCAAACTTCGTAGCATGTGGTTCCCTTGTATTCTTTGCAGCAGGTGGCGATACAAAAACTCGAAACTCTTTGTCAGGATCCATACCCTCGTTCCAAGGGTTCAGCACAAGCTTGATTTGCGTGTCCCTGTCTTCCATCTTCGCGTCGTCGAATTCACGAGTCAGACAGCCATACGCGCGCATGCTGGTACAGATTCTCGTAATGACCTCGTGAATTGTCGAGCTAGGCAACTTGCCGCCCATGGGAGAGTCTTTTGGCGACATCTGATCAAGGCGAATGAACCATTTCCTCTCACCGTCAAGCAGTGTTGCTAGTTTCTTTCCTGACTTTGTACATTTCAGCATCTCGACAACATCATCGAGAAGGGACGCGTGAATCCGATTTGTCGCTACCCAAGTGCTGTGACAACGCAGAAGGTCCTCGTAAATGAAGGTGGGAAGGAGAATTTCATGATGTTCGCTTAAACTTTGTGATTTGGCGATGAGCGGATGCCAAAGTGTATAGCCGTATGGTTTCCAGGGTGGTGTTTCGTGGGTGGAATGCACGTTTGAGGGCACGACGAGTGTGATCTCGTCGAGGCGATGATGCGCGGTAGAGAAGCGTTGGGAGCGAAAAGATGGATTGGACGAGTCTTGGATGGCTTGTATGGCGGCGGCGTCGGCCGCGACGAGTGAATAGGGTATTTTTCGGAGCTGCATTGCTGTAAATGTTCCGAAAATTCGATAGGAAGAGTCGTTTAGATGGTCGAGAAGAGGATGCTGAGATAGTGAGTATGATAGATGACCAGTGACTAGAGAACAGATGCAGCCTTTGATCTTGGTCCGTGGAGATGCGTACCGTGGTTGCGATGTAATCACATATCCATATCTGAGAACAAAGGGCGCAACCAAGATGCCATCGCTGCCTAACTTGCCGTTCAGGCTAACCTAGTGTAATTCGGAAAGGTGCACAAACTTATCATGAAGTAGAAGAGTCGGCAAATCACAACAGATATTGTGTTCCTGGTTATCTCTTAGTTACATGTCCTCCAAACTATCAACATGGTTATCCTGATACCACCGGGAGGTCACAGATAGAACTTCGATGCACAAGCAATCGATCGATTGATAGAATTGTTTCCATCACAACCTCCCGCTCCATACCATCTTCTATGCTGAGCTACCTCACCAAGGCCTACTCCGACGCGTCCATTACGGGCATCTGTTCACTGTCATCGTTCACAAACCCCAGAGGGAAAAACATACCTCAGTGTACCTCTTTCCGTTCCAAGCCCAAACCAAGGTCCTGACCGTTTGCGCTAAGCCACCGAACCACACATACCCACTCACCCATTCATTACAAAAGGGCAGAAAGAAAACTAGACTTACCATCTGGGAAGCCTCCATATGGCGGCATGGACAGTACCAGACAATCTTTCTGCATTAGAAAGCAATACTTACACACACAAACACATCTGACAACAACAAATTCCCGACTCTGAGGGCTAGGTTGAAGTCTCCGTGTTCATGCGGGGGCATGTCTGTCCTTTGCTGGCTGGTTTTGGCTATCGCAAGAACAGACGTGTCAGTTCCTCCGCGCGAAAGCGAATGGGTCAATGGGCCGGAGGTCTGACGAAAGGGAACGGGGGTGGTCAAAAGGATAAGAATAAGAATAAATCAAATAGTGAAGACATTGTTGGTGCCTTGTGTCTTTTGTGTAAAATCTCCCGTCAAAGGTTCAGAGTCGAACGGGTGCCGGAAGTGGTTGATGGGGTTTCGCTGGGTGCTAAGATATTGTGGTGGGTAGATAGGTTTGACGTTGCACCCTTCTTGACATCACAACTACGAGCTTGTTAGCGTCGAAAATGGGAAACCAATGCGATGGGGTTGAAGGAGATGAGCGGGTTGTGGGTGGCTGACTACTTGAAAGAAAGACGATAGGAGAGGAAGAATGGCCGCTTATATGTATACAAAAGGTAGGTGTTTGCTGTCTCACAAGTGATATGATCAAGAAGCGCTTGTCCGAAACTCTTGTTTCTGCTCGCAAACTAGAAGACTTGCCGACCTGATCAGTTTCCTGTTTCTTTGTCATGGTAATCACAAGCACGTTCATTCAGGCTCTGTAGGATAATTTCTCAGAGGCATACCCATCACTCGTTGCCCTACGTGGTCTGGCGTATTCACAACAAGCAGAAGATGGAGAATAAAAAGAGGAACACGTAGAACACTATATCTTGCCATAGCCAAATGTACAGTAATTTGATTACATTTTCCTGCCTATCCTACGGAGGGGCCTCGACAGCCCATGGTACTATATCTCCAAATACGCCAGTCCCCTTGAACGCTAATGCAGGAAACCAAGAAACAACAAACACCATAATATCGTCCAACTGAGAGTAGCGTTATGAGTGTGGGGCGTAGGGTGTGTATACAGAAGGCGCCACAAATTCGTCAAGCACATTGCTGCTTCCTTTGTGTCATGTGCTTCCCACTGGTGCGCTCCACAGCGCCGAAGATGAAGGCCCTGCTATCGCTGCGGTCGAGCTTTCAGACATCATTGTCGGCGAAAAGCCGACATGAAAAAGACAGAGAATAATCCCCAATGTATCAAGAATTACCTCTTCTTGCTTCCCGGCCTCGGCTTGCACTCCTCCCCTAGAATGGGGTGAAGCTTGATCTTGATAGGGTAGTTTTGTGTGTTGCCACCAAAACCCTTGCTCCAATCGTAACTGACGGCGTAGGCGAAGATGTTGCCGTCCTTGCTGAATCCTGTTGCGACAATGCTGCCGCCGACCTCGGGGTAGCCCTTGAGGCGGTGCTTGGCGTCCTTGTCCCAAAAGTGGAAAGTTCCGTCGGAACCTGCAGTGGAGAAAGTGCCGTGTTGTGGGTGGAAGGATATGGCGTTTACCGAGTGGACCTTGGCGATGTCGCGGTTGGCGGGGTCTTGTTGGCGATGGCACTTAAATGAGAAGTTGAGGCTATTGAGACGTTAGATGGTGGAAGGTTGAATGTGCAAGGAGAGATGCTTACCTGGTATCCTTGTCTTCGACATATTGAATAGCGCATCGTCCTTCAATGGAGCCAACAGCAAAACCAGTCGCATCCGAGAAACAGCTCACAACCCTGGTCTGCCACTTGAGAGGGCTGGTGATGGTCTTGTAGATAGTTGTGGGGTTTGAGAGGTTCACCATGTGGATATGGCGCTCAGCGGTCGCGATGACTAGCAGTTGGTCTTTGACGTCCATGCTGTAGACACGCTCCTGGCACGTCAGTGTACCAACCGGTTCAGCGCCTTGGAGGTTCCAGAACTTGACGGTCTTGTCCCAAGAACCAGTAGCGACGTAGTCCTGCCCTCCAGTCTGGAACCAGCGGACGCACTTGATGCCATTCTCGTGGGCCTTGGCTTGTTGCGCAGGGACGGTACCGCTGGCAGGGGCGGTGCGGAAGTCGACAATGTTGAGCATGCCTGTTGAGTCGCCGGCTGCGATACGAGTGCCATCCTACGTCTTGTTAGCATCCAGTTACCGCATTTGCATGGCATCAGCAAACGTACCTTTGACCATCCCAGACCCAGAACATGACCCGGGCATTCGAACATCCACTTTCCTTGCGCACCGTTGCCGTTGACCTCGTAGATGTAGACCTTCTTGTCCCAGCTTCCCACTGCAAGGAAATCGTTGGTCGGCGAGAATTGAAGGTCAGATATGCTGTCGCTGGGTACTTGGCCGGCGGGCACCTCGACGTCTTTGCTGGTGTCGCCTGTAGTGGAGCTCGCAGCGGGAGCTGCCGCTTGACCGAAAAGAGCCATCTCTTGCGATTATGTCGTGTGGACTGGGCGCGTTCAAATCGAGGGTGTTTGTGGTTGCGAAGCTTTGCGCGAGCTCGCGGTGTTGATATCCGGGCAAGAAAAGATGGGGCGTTTGTACGCGCTTGTCGGGAACCTTGTAGTCGCGGTGAGGTATTTCCAAGCTGGTGGCAGTGAGTGGCAGGTAGCGCGCGAGGGAGACGGGATAGCCTTTATGTTCTTCACCGACGACGCGCTCAGCAAAGAAAGAGCCGATGCACGAAGCTTCCCAGGCACCCTTGCAGGCGCCAGTCCGCTTCCGCCTAGCCTGCCTGCCCGGCGTTACGATCCCCCGGCCTCCGCCCCATCTAAAAAAGTTTCCGCCCTCCAACCTGATTTCTTTCTCCAACGTTCCTCGCTCAAAGAATCGCAACGAAGCATACGCACGGAGCGCCTCTCGAGGTGTCTCTTTTCGCGCTTTGGGAGAAAGTCCCCGGACAACGATCTTCGCGATCGCACTTTCAGCAATGAACCGCCATAGAAGCCGCGGCTTCCATTACCGACTACGACACTTTCCGCGTCTCTTTACCCGTTCGCACTCCTTTTCGTCGGCTGTCCGGAGGCTGTGAGTGGAGGGGCTGGCACCTGGATGACGATATGAGTCCGTTGGCTACCTTGCTCACTTGCTGAAGAGCGCCTGGCAATCTGGAGGAGGAGGGAGACATCGGGGAGGGCCAGGTATGGAGGGTCTTTTCGTCCAGTTTGATGGTTATGCGATTGCCTTCTTGCACTTTGATAAAACAAGGTGACATGGATGGTAACTCAATGGGGCTTATTCTTGATGCGAGGAACGTTCATCGCCACACACTTTTCGGATCTGAGGGTAGGCGCTCTCCGACAACAGTTGGAGATGACGGGCTACAACGTGCTTGGTCGAACAAGCCAGATTCATCCAGCCATATACGGTTTATGTGATGAGACACATGGAAATAGAGTCAAGCTCTGAGGCTGTCTGAATCCCAAAGCGGTAGGACGGCCTTTGCTGAATTTTCTACGACGGTATCTGATAAACCTTATGGCTTAGATAGTTTTCTATCAATCGAAAAAATCAAAGACATTGTCCTAATTCTGCTTTCTCGACTTGTTGCATGTGGTATCATAAATGTTGCGTGTCTACTTTGGTCCTCTTCACGCCTCAGTGCCGACAACAAACTCCTTGACCTCCTTGTATGCCTTGTCCAGGTCGTCGTTGACGACGATCTTGTCGTGTGGCGCCTGTCCACTATGCGCAAACTCCATCTCGACCTTGGCCTGGTTGAGCCTCTTCAAGATAGCCTCCTCCTTATCCGTTGCCCGGCTCCTCAATCGCTCCTCCAGGATCTCCATCGACGGTGGCTGCAAGAACAGGAATCGTGGGCGAGGGAATGTAGGGTGGTTCGCGACTTGCTTGACGCCCTAGACCAGCACATGTCAGTTCACATACACATCGTACAAAGTAACTAGAAGAACATACCTCCATCTCAATATCCAAGATACAGATCTGGCCCCTCTCCGCGATATCATTCACAGCCCTAATACTAGTACCGTAGTGGTTTCCTCCAAACTGCGCATGCTCCACAAATCCCTTCTTCTCTACCAGATCAAGAAACTCTTCCTTGGTCACAAAGTAGTACTCTTTGCCATCTTGTTCGGTTCCCCTAGGGCCACGCGTTGTGTGCGATATGCTGAAACCAAATTTACCTGGGAAATCGTCAAAGAGGCGCTTGAGGATAGTGGATTTGCCGGCGCCCGAGGGACCAGAGATCACAATGGGCTGGTTGGCGGCGAGGGCGTCTCTGGAAATGGGGACAGAGTCGATGGGCGACATGGTGGAGGTGTTGTGGGTAAAGGTGCGGAAAGAAGGTGTGTTGTGGACGTTTTTGGGATAAAGATTAGACAGGGAGGGGTGAGTCAGGCGTAGATGCGTCGGAATCTGTAGGTCGATGCTTCGTGACTCTTTCAACAGGCTTCTGGTGATTCGCGATAGAATCAATGGCATGCCTCTCGTGGATTTGGAGCTGCCGAGCGCTGCGGGGTGTGATTGGCGGTGAAGCTAAGGGGTCTTTTGGTGTTTGGTGGGGCTGCAAGTGGGATGGCGGCGGGACCTGGTGACATCGCGTTTTCGTGTTGGTACTGACCTCATCGAGCTGGGATTTAGCTTTCCACTCCATTTTCCGCTCATGTTACGGTGCTTGCGCCCAAGAAGCAGGCCCTTAGAGTTGCGAATCAGTCGCCATGGTATGTTGCTTGCTGTGCATTGCATACGTCACTCTAACAACCCCAGTCGAAACAATACCTCACCCTCCACACTGTCGACTCGGCGCATCCCAAAGCGAGCGATGTCTTCGCCGTAGCACCGACCAGCACACAATTGCTCTCAGCTTCCGGCTCAAGTAGCATCAACGTCTATGACACCACACAGGCCGAGTTTCCAGTAATCCAAGAACTCGACAAGGCGCATCCACTCGGTATACACCACCTCGTGACCGCGCGGGAAGAGAAGGCACGACGGGCCGCAAGCGCAGGCTTCGAAGGCAAGGTCAAAATATGGAGCCAGGATGAGGATGGAATCTGGAGTGAGGATGGAGAGATCGTTGGTGGGTATGCCTCATGCTTTCTTTGAGATCGCAGGAAGTGTTGTTCTAGTGACCCAGAGTGGGCTGACCTTGTCGCAGATCAGAACAAGCCTGGTGAGATATGGGCGATTGCTTTGAGCGCAGATGGCCAATACCTCGCGAGCACCAGCATAAACGGCAAGATTAACGTCTGGAGTCTGAACAAAGAAGAAGGAATGCCTCGGATACGCGAGTATGAGACCAAAGGCAGCTTTGGGCTCTGCGTAGATCTGGTAAGCTTCGCCACCCTCTACCTATATTTTTTCAACGACGAACATGCTGACGTACATATCAGAGCCGCGATGGTACCTTCACAGCCTCTGGCCACGAAAACGGGTCCATTTACGTCTTTAATAATGAAACCGGTCGTCTCGCACACTCCTTGGCCGGTCTCGTACACCCAGTCCGCAGCGTAGCCTTCTCCCCAGCATCCAAACTTCTAGCCGCGGGAGGCGATGCTCGAATCATCGCACTCTACGACGTCACGTCAGGCGAGCAAGTCGCAAACTTGACCGGACATGGCGGCTGGGTACTCAGTTTGGACTGGAGCGATACAGGCGAGTATCTGTTATCAGGGTCAGCATCACTTCATTCACTCTAGCCAGAAATGCTTACTAACGTTTCGTGTCAGATCTCACGACTCAAAGGCAAAAGTATGGCGCATAGAAACACGGTCATGCGTTGCCACGCATTCTCACGGCGATAAACCCCTCTGGAGTGCAAAATGGCTACCAAAGTCACCTATGAAGAGTGAAATGTTTGCGCTGGCTGGAGGAAACAACTCAATCAGCTTCTACCGTGAAGCAGCAGGTTGAACAGTTATCGACCTTTGTCTCAAACAACGAGAAGCATCAGAACAGGTATGCGTCCGTAATAGCAGGGACGGACATGCGGATATTACGAGAAAGCTGCTGTAGCGTAAAGCGTAGTCTTGCAAGACTGCCAACCTGTATGCGCGGAGCGGCAAGTGGTAAGCTCTGTATAATTAGAACAACTGAACGACCATCACATGTGCTATACACTGTGCATATCTCCAGTGCAACATATCTTTTGCCAATGTAAAACAGGAAACCAAACTGAAGACTTAAAGATAGGTACGGTTTCAGTAGATTTCAGAGGCTTGTCAACAGGGAGCCCGCACATGTCCTTTTCCGGACCGACGACAAATATAGGAATGTCAATCTTTGGTAACCATATTTCGATTGTTTCATCATCTTCTTCTACTACTGTCACTATCGAAGTAAAGATACCAGCTGGTTGCGAAACATGACAACCGCCCATAGCCCACAGAAAGATAGCGACCATCAGAGATATGCATACTCCTGTTAGAGCATTTCCTTCTCATCGCTCCTTCCATGAACGCCTAAACACCGATTCCACACCATGTAGGGAACGCCTCGTCCGCTAATACCAAAGTAAAAGAGCCTAGTCGAAAAAAACCTTGAGAAGGCGGTCAGTTGCATACCTTACGTACTAGCAACACCAGTATTTTCAGCACCGGATGGCGCATCAACTCTCTGCTTCTTAGCGTCTGGACCTTCCACACCCGCAACCCCATTAGCACCGACATTACTGACATCCTGCAGTGCTGGCCTTTCTCTCTTAACACCACCAGGACCAGCGCTGTTCATTGTAGGTGGCTTGTATGCGCCACGGTTCGCGCTAGGACTCATGGCGTAATTTGGTGCCCCAGGCATACCAATCCGGCGGTTGGCGTCCATTTGTGGGTTTACGATATTGGGACGATTGAAGGAGCCAGTTGATGTAACACCTGGTCGTTGAGGAGGTGGTTGAGGTGCAGGCGGCGCACCGACTGCGTCACGTTTGATGGGAATGCTGCGAGCGTGGTCGATTCCGGGTGTGCGTTTCTCTTTGGGTATTGGGGAATCGACGTTAGGATTGAATGATGGAAGATTGCTGAGCGAAGTTGCGTCTGATGCTTGGAGAAGCTCCGCAGCACGAGAGGTGACGAAGCCTACCGGGGGACGGTGATTAGGAGGAGGTGCGTTTGAAGCAGGTGTGGTCGATTCTGAGGGTTGGGGTCCTGGACGTGTTTGGTTTGGTGGTTGATGTGCTTGGGGTGGTGTAGGCCGGAGAGGTTGATTGTTGGGAGCGAGTTGTTGATTTGGTGGTGGTTGTTGTCCTAGAGGTCTTGAGGCAGCTCCGTTTTCCATTGCTGGTGGAGCCATGCGACCACCGTTCTGCACAGGTCGGGCCTGTTGCTGGATTGGAGTCTGTGGATGCCTTCCGTTTTGCATAGGGGGCCTTCCAGGTGCTTGATTCGGTTGCTGCTGTTGCATAACAGGATTTCCACGTCCGGCTTGTGGGGGCCTGCCATTTGGTTGACGAGGAGGGCCAGTATTTCGAACAGGTGATGTACGAGCAGATGGTACACTGTTTGGTTTCGCCGGTCCGGCTGCGCGTGATGCTGTGGTTTCTGAGGCTGACAATGTTTCGGAGAATGAAAATTCGTCACCGTGGCCCTCCGTGACATCGACTCCATCAAACAAGTTCTCATCAGCATCGTCGTCGAAGTCAGCGCCGAAAGATTCGTTGTTCAAGTGATCGGTACGTGTGCGAAGGATCTGGTTGGGTCGGGATGGTGTTTGCTGTGGCTCTTGCTTGACCACGGCTTGCTCTTCAGGCTGGGGTGGTGGTTTGAAGTCGACGTGTCGATAGAGGCTGTCCTCCTGGAATTTGATAGGCTTGACCTTCATAGACTGGACCTTTTTGAGATACTCTTTGTCGTACAAGCAGTTGCCGAGTACGTTGCCGAACGTGCGTAATGATCGTTTCAAGCCATCTGTCGCCGCCTCTTTCTTCGCCTTCTCAAATGATGCGGCTTTGCCTTTGCCGTTCTCTATCGAGCCATAGCCAATGTCCTAAAGAGCTATCAGTAAGAGTCAGATTGAGGATACGACGTATTTACCTCGTGATATGTACCATCCTTGAGTGTGATTCTCACCACTATTGAGAGACCCAAGCTGACCTTGCCGTTCTGATGCTCGTCGACCTGCTACTGTCAGCATGTACTCCCTAGCCAGTGAAGTGAGCACATACGTAGTCAATCTGCACCTGCCCCAGCGAGCTCGACCAGCCATTAAACCCAAAGACTTCGTTCGCCAACGCTATTGCCTTGTTTCCCTCCAAATACGCCACCTTGCCGCCGCCATTACCCGGTCGTTGTGATATGTATTCAGGCCCGAGTTGCTTGTTCAACCTGCTCTGCAGTGTCGCGATTTCCGTTGCTGTAAAGCCATTTACGACGCGTTCTTCGAAGGGGTTCTTGACGTTGCCGCCGCTGTACTGGTCGCCTGGCCTGTGTGATCGTTAGTCAACATTATTGGTATCGGAAAAAGTATGATTAGAAGACGCGCGAACAGACTGTACGTACGCAGGCATTGTTGTTGTTACGAGGTGCTGGGCATGGGTCGCCGCTTTGCTGAAGCTGAGGCCTGGGTGGCTGAAGATGACGCGCCTTGGAAGGGCAGGAACGCGGTCACGCTAGTCCCGCGCTCACGTGCTCACAAGGCAGCATCGACCCACCATATACCGCCTACACAGCAACAACGTCAACAAGTGTCAACCTGTGGTGTGTTGATTGGACGACATGCACGTCAAGAAAACAAAAGTACCGGCTTGAATGTTAGGTGCGCTTTTATTGTGCAGCAAAGCAAGTCAAATAGGCGACCTCGGCGTCCCGGACGCGTCAACGATGAGCATAGTATGATCTGGCGAGACGAAAAGATTCGATTTCGACGTCCCGACTACGCCTGCAATGCTATATGATATCGGTCCCAAAAACGGAGTAATCCCAATCTATCCTGATGCTTCCTTTCTTCTGCCACGATCACTGGAGCTAGCCTCCTCATCATCGCTGTCTACGCCCAAAGAGAACGTAGAGTCATTGTGCGACTCCCTCGTCTTCTCCGAATTTGCGCGCGCATAGCCATTTCCTGGCTTCTTTGGCGCATCGTCAAGATCATCAAGCTCCCGTTCGTCAAAGTCGGCAGCCTCGAGATCCTGCCTGCGTTCTCTTCTCCTGAAGTTGTCAAGGCCCATGCCGGTTAGAAGAGACTCTCGTCCTTCGTCACTGTCGGTACCCTTGTATTCGCTGCTTGCAGCACGCCTACTGCGCCACCACAAGAAGCCGCAGAGGCAGGCAGCAATGAGGACAACGACGAGTGCAGCCTGGCCGGAGCGAGTGTAGGCCTTCCATTCTGCCGCCTTGAGCTCTTTCGTTTTGTCTTCTTCTGCTTGAGTCGAGTTGGGGTGGTCACCAACGCTGGTCAGTGGACCTTTCTCGCCGTCGATAAGGCTGTCGGCAGGAGCACCACCGATTGCCTCGATGTTGACTCCCATGAAGCGATCGAGCATATCGCGGGTACGTCTGGGGTAGTCAAAGGGAACCATGTGGCTGGAGTTGTAGAAGACGACGTATGTGAGGTTACGCGCCTCCTGCCATGTCCCAGCAGCTTCGCCCTCGAACATCCAATCCTGTTTAGCATTCTGTACACCAGGGGAAGCTTCGAAACCCTTGCCACCGTTCCACTGCATGTTTCCAATCATAGCTTCTGTACCAACGTGATTGCAAATAAAGTCTTTGTCACCAGAGAACAGCAAGACTGGAATCTGCTCGATAATCTCGGGCAGGAACTTGACGGCAGGCTCGCTCTTCCTGGCACGGAAATGACCAGAAACGGCCCCGTTGCACTCTTGCCAGCCAGTCTTCTTGTCAGGGTTGATGTGAAGTGCCTGAATGACATCGGGGCGGCGGAGGTAAGGAGTGACTTGCGCAAGATCCGGAGGCCAGTTCATACCACACGACGAATCGTCACGGAGACGGATATCGTACATGTTCAGGCACTGGTTCATGTTGTCGGCCTTTGTGTCTTTGGTCTCCTCCAAAATCCTAACCATGATCTGCTCACACTCGCTTGTGTCGACAGTGTTCATTCCACCAGCGTCGAGCTTCTTGATGCAGATCCTCTGTTGTTCCTCGACACGCCTTGCCATGTCCGTATCAGCTCGCATGAGACCATTCTGGTAGGCAAAGGGTATGTAAGCGAGATACTGGTCGACGGGCGATATCCAACCGTTTCCAATCATGAGTCCCTTGAGCGCCCATGGCGTTTTGGAGGGGTTCTGTTTGTTTCGATTGAGGATAGCACGACCGATGTAGGGGATGTGTTGACCAGCGTACGATTCACCAGCGATGTACAACTACGACATGTCAGTATCCCCGCGTCTCCACTTAGTCAAGCCACTCACATCGTCATTCTCGTATTCGGGGAATAGCGCAAACCACTTCTCCAAAAAGATGAGCATGTGGTCGGCCATTTGGTCGAGTTCAGTGAGGTAACTGTTTGTGTTCACATAACTGAAACCAGTCCCAACAGGTTGATCCACGAAGAGCAAGTTTGCAAACTCGTCCCATGAACCGTTGTTGTATTCGAGGTTGCCGCCCTCGCGCACTCTGTATGGGCCGACTTCCATCATGGCGCCGTCCATCGAGGAGCAGCCAGGGCCGCCGTTCAGCCATAATACCGTCCGCTGACGGTCTGCAATGTGGCGATTCTCGTAATGCCAAAAGAAGAGGTTGCCGTTGTTCTCTGCGTCGACTTCGATGTGTCTAATCAAGGCGTCAGCACTGCCTGCGCGCATCTCCCAAATCGCGCTTACCCTGCGTGCATCTTCAGCAATGGCTTTGGCGCACCGGGCAGGTCATGTATGAAGTAGTCGGCCTGCGTCTTCTCCTGTGCCATTATGCTCGGAAGCCACGATACTGTCGCCAGGAGGCCGCCTAGGAGCGCCGTTCGCCATCGCAGCGGAAAATGTGAGGAGGCCATAGTGAGGCCGCGTGTCGGAGTGTGGGTGCCGCGGAGGATGCGGTGCGCAGTCGCTATATCATGGGAACTCCAGAGGTGGAAAGGGCAGCAGCTGCAGGCTAAAATAAGATGAAGTGAATGCACAACCTGGCACAGTGTAAGGTATAGGCGCTGAGGTTGTGAGAAGTTCGGGCTTCAAAGATACAGGTTAGGTGGCTACTGGGGCGGCTGACGAGTCCGAGTTGGGATCCAGAACCAGGGGCCTGTTGACAGTAGATCGTGAGACGTAAGACACGTGAGCGTTCCACAAAATGAATGACAGTTTCAGCGAATAGCCTGAATGTTGAACATGTAAAATGAATTGCAGAAAGTTAATTGACATGGATAATAAGTCCATATCGCTATTGAGGTACGTCTTTGGAGTGCTGTCCAAGCTTCGTTGTAGGGCCAATCACAGCACACAAGGCTCATTCCGGCTACTGCCTTCTCCGCGTCTCGAGAACGCGCATCGCGCATGCCATCTGACACGATTGAGCGTTCACTCATGCTTCAACCATGTGTCAGCTCCGTCCTCAGGCCGCGACTTTGCCGAATATATGCACACCACTGAGCGTGTCCGCGCGTCCCTAGCTGCCGATATTCGCATGCAATGGTTGATCCCACTTCCTAAGGTTCGGCCGGGCTGGCAATAACTTTTTGGACTACAGACTACTAACTATATAGCACTAACTTCTCTATGCCGTCATGCTGCACCAACGTGAAGGTCGTTCTAGAGCATGATAGCATCCACATCGGTCCGTCTGGTCAATACTCCGACTGAGAGCTAGAGTCCCGCCTAGTACTACACCGCGGACCCCTTTCTCATCCTTAAAATGCTTTTTTGGGGATTCCCGGAAGCGGTACATGTCAACCATCGTGGATGACTGTGTGCCACAGTGGCGCATGCTCATCTCCCATACTGCTGGTACGTAAAGATGGGATGCTTATGGCATATTAATTACTGGTCTTCAGAAGAGATCGTTCAAGCTCTTGGCCGAGTCTTTGACGATCAGCTCACGCATTCCCTATACATCCTGTCAACATTGCGTTTTGGCGCATCAAATTGCTAAGTCTGCTCACCTTGGGCATGATTGGCTCTCCGTTTTCATCCTTGACATAACGGAATGGCATCTGTGTGCTCTCGTTCTTGTTGATCTTGAGATCGGGATGATCGATGTATGAAATCTTGTCGACGGGAACTGCGCCTCGTCAGCATCTTACACCAGCATCCGATTGCTCGACTCACCCTTGTCCTGCACGCAAATCCTGGTGACACGCACTGCTGTGTCAGTCGTCATCTGTACAGGTCCCAAGCGACGTCCTTGGTATCCTTTCTTGCGCAGTTCTGAAGTACGGTCTGGAGAGTACGTTAATCAACTGTTGCTATTTCGCATAGCACTATTGGTTTCACACACCTCTTGGCGGGTCGTCTCCTGATCAGAAATTAGCTCTCTCTCTATCGTGCAGCTTTGTCTGGATGAGCACGGATGCTTACCAAGTATACCGCCGAATAAGAAGATGTCGAATGTCTCGCCGTCCTCTGGGCTCAAGTCCTTGGATGCGGCAGGGTCCAGCAGACACACCTTGTCTTTTCTGTCCGCATAGATTTCTTCAATACCTCTTGTCTCGACATTCAGTCCCTTTGCACCCTGCAGGTTTGCCGGCAATTTCAACGACGTCGGTACGGAAGACAGCAGGAACTGTGCACCAGACGCATGGGATTCTGCCGCGATACTGGCGTACTCCAGAGAAGACCACTCTTCAAGCTCAGGGTCCAGATGTTCCACCACAAAGGTCTTGCCGGTGCCAGCCATTCTTAATACGATTGGAAGCGGGATGCGACTCCGGTCTTGTGTTGTTTTTGGTGTGAGATTTTGCTGCAACAATTAAGCGAATTGGCCAACGGGCGGCGCTTGTGTGGGATGTTCCTCAGCTTGGATGCTGTGTTTTGCTTCCCGAATTCTGGATCGATGGTGAGAACCTTGAAGCCCTGCAGTAGTATCTCGCTAATCAGAGTAGGTGGTGGTGGGGAGCATGGCTGACCGTCAGGGTTTGATAAAGTCTAGAGCTAGCGCACTCAAGCAGCCTATCACGCTCAAGCAACTATTTATCATGGTAAGCGGGGAAGCATGCTTTCGTAGTTGCAAGATAAAAAAAAGTGCATCGTGATTCAATCCAAGCAGTCTACGAGGCGTGTTCCATGTGACGACATTACGCACACACGCCAATGGCACGGAAAATGAACAATTCAAGCCTCATCGAGATGGGCCCTGGCGATCAAGGAGGTTATGAGGCCAATGATGTGTACGCGTGACGTTGTGAGGGTGCTGAGTCTGGTAAGGTCCACGGCAATCCAACGTGCATCCGACCAACGCGCGCAAGGACTAAGGTTTACACTTTTCGCGCGGAAACGGCTGCTCTGCCATTCATTCCTTGTGTCTGCTGCGTCAATTCACCCGTCAAGTAAGCCACGTCTTGGTGATTGTTTAAATCGGCCCACCCGTCGCCTGCCTACATATCCACTGCATCTACCCCTCCTTGGTTGACAATCTGCCTCGTGCGAAGCAAGTCGAGAGAATAACAACGCTCGAGTCTATTGCATCCCTCACAATCTTCTGCACACTCTACTACTGTTGTACACACTCAATTCTTTGCTCTTCTCGTCATCACGATCCCTCGCTTTGTTGCTTGATTCGCATCGTGCAGCGTCCCGGGCCGTTGGAACCTCGGGCGATCCAGGCTTATCGCATAGTCGACTGGATAGAGGGGCACTCCTCCCACTTGCACCAAAACATTGTCGTTTCAACAACGCCTGAACGATAAACCAAGCGAGTCATAACACGTCAACGGTTGTGTTGTCAGGCAGCAGCAACGACCTACGCCCGAGCTCTGTCGGCACCCAATCGTCAGCGCTGGAAGCCGGATCAATCACGTCTATTCACCCTGTCCCTGTCACATAACGGGTAACGGTACTCGCCCAAAGTGGTCAGCGCGAGCCAACGACAACCATCTTTTAAACAAGTTGCGACTTTTTGACCCTTTTTCGTGCCGTCCATCACACAACAAAGCCTCGACACGACACAGCGCCTTTCGCGAGCAGCTGCCCCTCTAAAGAACGTCACTTGCGATCCGCAACACCACAACCCTCTACAGTCGCCAACATGAACCCCCACCAGCAGAACAAGGTCGATGTCAGCGTACGTCACAATACTCCCTGCACGTTTCTGGAAGCTCAGCAGCTAACATGGTGGTTTAGAAAATGTCAGAGCAGGAGGCCAAACTCTTCCGTCTCTATGGCAAGCTTCCCAACAAGAAGGACCTGCTCCAGAACAAGCTGAAGGTATGTCAAGCCTGCGAAGTACTGGATCCCCACTAACGATCGCTGCAGGAGCGCAAGTACTTTGACAGCGGCGACTACGCCCTCTCCAAGGCTGGCAAAGCTGGTGACGTCGGTGTCACCCAAGTTGGTCGCGAGCACCCCAACCCCGAGAAGATCCCACACATCGCCCCGCCCACCCCAACCGGTCAGAATGGCAACGGCAACGGCAACGGCAACGGCCATGGAAATGGCAGCATCAGCGGCCAGGGCGAGCTAGCAGGTAGCCCTGTCAAGGAACACACCTTCTTGCACCGCGAGACCAGCCTGAACCGTGAAACATCGGCCTCCGATTTCGAGAACAACGAGAACAGCGAGGCTCAGGGAGGCGCAGTTAAGGCATAGCTGGCACGCCCATGCCACTAGACCTTTGCGCTTCCCTTATCTTGCACTCGTTTGGCGCAACCTTGGATGACGGTGCCCAAAATGTATCTATACGCACCTTCGAACGGCCTGAACCTATCATCGTTTACGGAGTCGGATGCGGCGTTCCGGAGAGCCTTTGATGGCGGCCTAGCCTTTGTATCGGCACCACAACGCCTTACGGCCAACATCTCCCTGGGTATGAAGTTGTCGAGTACAAGGACGTTCTTCACTTCTTGTGTAGTAAACTTGACAGAGGATGGTTGGGATTGCTGAGACTGGAGCTTGTTCCGGGTTCATCTCGCAATCAACCAAACTCCATCTTTCACGGCTATAAGCGTGTATGCGTATTTGAGTAGAAGACATCGTAGCAATATGAATACTGGAAAATTCACTGCTGTCTGCTTGTTGCAAAGTGACGACTTCGTGACTGTCAGCAAAATACGTTAGTGAGGGCGCTAGACCACGTGATCGTTGGTGCCTTATCCCGACACACGTATATGTACATCCATGAGGGACGTTGCGTGCCCTCTTATCTTCAGTCGTCTTTACAAAACTACCAATTGTCTAGTTTTTCAAGCAGTTGTGTGGAAACATGACTGCACTCGTTTGTACGAACAGCATGGCTCAACACCGGACCACGCATAGCTCTTTGAGCTCGTCTTCGACCTTCTGTCTGATACTTTCCCTCCCAACCGAGTTGCGTGATATTATCTACATTTACTCGTGGGGTTTTCGAACAATCGAAGCCTCAATTTCTTGTACGCCACCGACATCAATCCTCGCCATACCCAAAAGTATCGTCCATGACCGATTGTCCAAATTCTTATTCCGACAACGAGGCTTGCCGATCTGGTTATCGGCATGCAGACAGATGCTAAGAGAAGGTATGAGTTTAATGTCAAGAGAATTCGCGTTCACCTCTTCCACGCTGTCTGCAATCCAGCAAGTGAAGACCGTAGAAGAAACCGATGTCCCAAACCGGTTGGTCTTCGAGGCTATCAAAACAGTGGTGCTGGATCGCGCAACACCAAGTTGGATCCAAGATGTAGATTCGGAAACGCAAGCCGAACACGAAGATGCAATACTGCCCACTGGGATAAACCTCGTGCGGTGTTATTTCAATACGAGGCCGAACGAACTGGGGTCTCTCCCAGGCGCTTACAGATTGCGAGATCATCAGTTGTTGCAAATCAAACTTTGGCCTGCTGATGAGGCGATGCTAAATATCTTGCACAAGGCTGGCACGGGCGTCAGGGAGCTACACATGCACTGGATCTACGATGTTGGTACACTAGTTCCTGGTGACCAGCCGGTTGTTAGGAGCAAGATTCTGGATAAATGGGTTGGTGAATTGGAACGTGTGAAGGTTACAGTAAGAAGTGAGCCTAGTAAGACTTTTGCTGGGAGGATGGCGACAAATTTGGTGGAACGGACTGCGAAGAGGCTTGTCGGTGAGAAAGGCAAGGGTGAGACAAGTATGAGATGGAAGGAGAAGGATATAGAAGACGATGGAGGGTTCAAAAAAGATGAATGCAAGATGCAGACAAGGTATGTTGTGGTGGAAAGCCATAATGGGTGAGTGCTGCAGCGTACAACCTTCACTCAGCCAGCGATTGGGTTCTGTGTATCAATCTCGTGACAAATATCGACTTTCGTTCTCAACGAAGGTATTCCGGACGCAGCACTGACCAGATAAATGCTACAAAATCACTCCACCTGCGTAGGATTTATACAGGCCCTGGAGCCTCCCGCATACACCAACAAATTCTACTTCCGCTGCTCAACTTAACACTAAATTTATCACGAGCGAACTGAACATGCCGCAGAACACACAGTCACTTTTCACTTTCACGTCCTTCTCACGCAGAAGATATGCTAGAGTCAGCCGACCGTGCCGCGTTAGTGCCTAGATCATCGCCTAACCTACTCCTTGATCTTCCATTGGAGATTCGAGATGAGATTTACAAGTACGCCTTCGGAGATGCTGCCCGCTCATTTGTCGTCAGCGAAGAACTCTCAGCTTATGCGTTGGCAAGCGCTTCCACCTACCGCGAGTATGACTGAAACACTGGCATGCTCACTGGCCTACCCATCTGGACTTTGACTTGTAAACAAGTTCTCATCGAAGCAATGGACGTCTTTCGCCGCTTCCGTACCTACCTCTCCAAAACTCAACAACGAATCTACCCAATTAGTTAAAAAGTATTGCAAAACGCATATCTGTTTGCCTCCGAACACGCTTACTTACGGTGGCAGAGGCAGAATCAGCAATTTTGCCTTCCAACCTGGCGGTGACGCTTGATTTCTGCCGGGCGCCGACGAGCGTGAGATTGAGATTGAGTTAGGCGAACAGAAAGAGCGTGACCGTGAGCGGCTTAACCAATCTATCATGGACTTTGCAAAGACTCGTGTCTGCAGTTGAGATGGAGACGCTCGTGGCTTGATGGACATGCAGACTTCGGATCTAATCATGTCAATTGGCCGCAAGGTGAGAAAGAGGTCCTCGATTGCTTTGTCGCCAAGTGGAACGACTGGTTCCGCAAGGTGAGCGTTACTATCGAATACTCTGAAAGGGATCAAACAATGATGTCAAGGATGATGGAACTTGCTAAGAAGTGCTCGCAAAGACTTATTAGTAAGACACAGGAAAGTGAAATTCTGCTGGACAGAGGAGGCTTCGGTTTGACGGCTTAAATTTCGTGAACTCAACATTTGGGTAAAGCCTTTGCTGGTTGAACGTAAGGTTTGAACAGTTCATTGCCACAAGCCTTTCGCAGTCAACTAGTGAGCTCTTAGTTAGACTCGATGGTTTTTGGAATGTAGCAATCTCCGCTGTTGTATTCAACGAGGTTGGACATATAGTCTTCATTTTAGCTTACTCAAATTGATACGGCGATACTACTATCTCGATTCCAAGCATGCGAACGTAGGCAGCAATTCAACTAAGCTGAAGACTTTTATCTACTCCTTTCCCTTTACTATGGAAAGAAGACTGTGCCCATAGTCACGAGCGCTGCTAGCATCATTACCGGTTCTCTTTAGCATATAATATTCCGCCTTGCTCTCTCTTGTCGGTTACAAACCCGAATGAATCTACAGCCGATATCCGCGCTTACCACAATCACTCGATCAACTTGGTTACTCACATCTCACTCAGTCGACAAGTCGACAACAGCCGCCTCAGCTGTATTTCACATCTGGAACATAGAGGACGACATGACTAGCAACAGGAACCCACCGTCTAAGAAGCGCGCTGCATCACCATCAAAAGGCAGTCAGACCTCCAAACGCTTACAAGTATCAAGCAAAGTGTCTCGTCCGCCACTCTCGAAGATCACCTCTCAGCATGGAAACGCGCTTCTAAGTCTCCCTCGTGAGATTCGAGATCAAATCTATACGAAGGCTCTCGAACAACCACCTCCTACATTTCGCGTGGATGAGCTCATGGTCATTGCGACACACCATTCGGAAGTTTCCATCGAGGCCTCGGAACCAGTATGTCGAGGTCTTCCACTCTGGATGCTATCTAGTCGACAGGTGCTTTACGAAGTCCTGGATTTAATTGCACGGACCTTCACTTTCCAGCCGCTTAAGCGGATAACTGGTCCTGAAAGAGAACTCGCGGGAGCACCGAATTCACTTATTCTCACTAACGACGGCGTACGAAACATCAAGCTTCGCTACCTGAACGACACCCCGAAAAATTATATCCGCGTAGGATACCTGAACAATCTTTTCCTCAAGCTAATAAATGACTTGTATCTCAAAAACGCGTGTTTGGAGCTGGTTTGGGGATGGAGAAGCGTCCAGTACGCCTGGATGCCGGACAGGACCGATTGGTTCATCGATGCGTGGAAAGAACACTGGAATGGCAGATTCCGCAAAGTCAAGATTGAAATTAAGGTTGAGAAAGATCTTGAGCAGATGTGGATCATGGGTGAGGCCGAAAAGTGCGCATTGAGGCTGATTGGTACTGGTGGATCCGTATCTTGGACAACGCTAGACAGCAGCGATGTTCAGTACTACAACATGTACAGGAAGCCTACTCTCTTGCCACGCTATGAGAGACGATGTGTAGTTGCTGAGCGGAAGATATAACAAGGGCGTAAATTAAAGGTATTCGCTGTAATTCTTCTTAAGGTACTTGCAGCATATCGCAAGTGTATACCCTCAACGTAGACTTTGTGTCAAATGCAACTAGACATCAGCCACTGGTAATGTACAGTATCATGCTCCACTTCCAATGATCTGCATCATATCCGGCCGGCTATTCCACCTTTAGTACCCTCATCCTCCCCGTCTCCGACACCTTGCTGCTCTGGTGCCCAATGGCGGTCCTCTTGACTCTTGATCAGCTCATGTACATCCAGCCTCAAGTCCACTATCTCTTGTCCGTTCACAAGGTCATTCTCATCGGCCCTCTTTCGCGCTTCCTCCTCATTCTTGGCGATGCCAGCCTTGACATGACGATGAACCAACCTCTTCCGCGCAACATCGAAATCTACATCCACGAACCAGAGCTCGTCCATGAGCTTCGCTGCTTCATTCCAGGGCGCCTTATCCAATGAGCAGTAGTTGCCTTCGAATATGACGATGCGTACGGATGGCGAGATGGCAATGTCGTTCTCGACCGGGTCTTTGAGCGCGTGATCGAAGCTGGGTGCATACAAAGTCGAACTCTCTGGACATATAGGCTCTCGTAATTTCTTCACCAAGCTGTAGAAGGAATCGCCATCAAACGTGAAAGCCGCGCCTCTTCTAGCATGTGCGCTGTCTGGATCTGGCATTGCATCAAGCTGTTGGCGTGATAGATGGAAGCCATCCATTGGTATGAAGGCTGCTAGTGGATTACTGTTGGCGGTACCCGGCGACTGTTGTGCATGCTTCTCGTTGAGTTTGGTCGAAACTATGGCTGCGAGCGTTGTTTTGCCTGGTGGTGGTCAGCTGGTTGGAGAGCCAAACTTGCCATGTATGTACCTACCAGACCCTGGAATGCCAGATACTGCAATCAGTAATCGTTTCGACGCAGGAACATCTTGATATTTGTCTATAACCAGGTCAATGCGTGTGTTGTACCCTGGCGTCAGGTGTCATGTACCCCAAACCTTGTTTACGAGGCGTTCTACTTGCTCTTCCATGTTGATATGATGTTTGTAAGATGGTATGATGCTAAAATCTGCACAGCGTCTTTATATCTTGCTATCCTAGAGTCGATCGGGATCGTCAGTGTCCAAGGCGGGATGGCTGCTTTTTAGTTCGCCCGTCCGCACTTGCAGATTGTGGGGGCTCGGCATCGTGGGTGGACCCAGCATCAACCGCTGACGTCGCGCGGGAGCATGGCGGCTGAGGACCGCAGCTAGCCTTTCTTCCATTGCCAGCGTTGTACCGCTCCTACGAATGTAGAACATCAATCATTTCATGTAGCAGACTTGAGCAGTACTGAGAGGTAGATGTAGCTTGGAAGATAGAAAGCAACAACGCCATTGGCAGACATTTGCGGTATCTGAATGGCTGGAGATCGGGTACCTTGCAACCGGCGTATTGTAGCTATAGCATCAAAGAGTGATGTGTAAAACGGATAGTGATTCTTATCGCATGCCCTTGATTTGCGATTGAGGACGAGAGTAGAGTTGTTTTGGCCATGGCGTCACATGCTAGCAGAGCGCATCGTCCAATCAAGGCACAGCAGGGTCCAAGACAGCTTTGGCTGGGCATAATGTCCGATATTGCCGGCGCATTGCTGTCGCGGTCAGCTAAGAGCTAATCCAACGTAGCAGAGATATGCCCTGAAGCCTCGCGCCACCGCTGCATGTGTCTGACGGTTTAGTCTGCAACCAATTGGTCGACGCGTGGTGAAACGCGTCATACCCGTCATACTTCACTATGCTCCCGTCAACCCTCCTGACCCTCCTCTTCACGCTTCTCTCACCCACGTCCGCCATCGACCACAAAGTACCGACCAGCAACGAATCGCTGCTATGGGGTCCTTATCGCCCGAACCTCTACTTGGGTCTTCGCCCCCGCGTGCCCAAGAGTCTGGTTGCGGGACTCATGTGGGCGAAGCTGGAAGACGTTGAGACGAGTAAGTAGTCATTGTAAGGCTGCGCCTACAGTGCTGACCAGACATGCAGCACTACGCCACAACGTAAACCAGAGCGAAGGCATGGCCCGATACGGTTGGATCGCATACGATGCACGAGAGGGCGGCAGGCAATCCATAGAGGATCCTGGGAACAAGATAAACCTCGTGACTGAGTTTGTAAAGTACTCTGAAGGCCAGAGCCAGGGCAATTGGGGGTTGCGCGTACGGGGCATACCAAGACCAGACGCGCCGGAAGACTTCAAGACGACTGTAGTCTTCTACATTGGCATGCAGGCCATGGAAGCTTGCGCCGACTGCAAGCTCGAGGCGCGTCAGCAATTCGAACCTGACGACGACAAGACCGTCCAGGCAGTGAACATGAATATTGCGCACCCAAAGTTGGGGACTGCTGGTATCCACATTCCTGTACCTATCAACGCAGAAGAAAAGCGTGAGGTGGCATACATTAAGACGCTGAACGTAACAGAAGATAAACTATGGCAGGGCAAATGTGAGTGCAATGAATGCCAAATCTTTTCCACCCCATCTACCCGTATTCCAAGCCTCATCTGTTGGTGTGAGTAGCTAGCTGATGAGTTTGTGTGACAAGCCACCTTCCTGGATTCGTTGAAAGACCAAACCAAAGACCGTAAAGAGCCAGGACCAAATGACATCGTGCTGCGCAACGCCCCGAGTAACGGTAATATGCAATTAGTCCAATTAGTATGCCATGGATCATTTGAGGTTAGTCTCACTATCTTACGTCTCTACCGCGACTGACCTCCTGCAGTTTGATATTCTTTACTCCAGTGATTCCGCGAAGCGAGCCATGACTTGTGAGTTCTCGTTTCAGCTATGTCACATAGCGGAGTGGGTTAGGATTCAAGCATACTGACACTACCAAGCCGCTGGTCTTACCAGCAGTCTAGAGAGTACCCTCAAGTCTTTTGACAAGAACTTCGCCACCACGTTCATTCCGAAAACCCCTTTTACTACCGATCAACACCGCGCCTTTGCTCAAAACACCTTGTCGAACCTATTGGGTGGACTAGGATATTTTACTGGTACTGCCAAGGTCGACACATCAAAGAAAGCCATCTATGCCGAGACGACGGGAAACTTTTGGCAGAAATCAGTCGATGCGAGGAAGCACTCGACACCCAAGACGAAAGGCCCATACGAACTTCTTACACACACACCGTCGCGCGCAGCCTTCCCAAGGGGCTTTTTATGGGATGAGGGTTTTCATCTCTTGCCCGTCATTGAATGGGATGCAGATCTCGCTTTAGAGGTGATAGACAATTGGCTTTTTCTCATGGACGATGATGGCTGGATCGCAAGAGAGCAGATATTGGGCGCCGAAGCAGAGGGTAGCACGCCTGCTGAATTCGTCACTCAGTTTCCGCACATTGCTAACCCACCAACAATGTTTTTGGTTATCTCAAAGTTCATCGATATGTTGAAGGGCAAGACAAGGTATCATGGCCATGACTCGGTTTACCTTGCCAAAGCTGAGACTGGAAAGGCCTTGATGGCAAAGATGTATCCATACCTCAAGAAGCACTACGATTGGTTCCGGAAGTCGCAATCTGGAGATGTGGAGGCACATTCCATCCCAGCAGCCAACTTGAACGAAGGTTACAGGTGGCGGGGTCGAACACCAGGAACCAACTTCGCCAGTGGACTGGATGATTACCCTCGGGCAGAGCCTCCTGATACCACCGAATTGCATTTGGATGCATTGTGCTGGGTTGGCGTCATGGCGCAGACCCTTGAACGCATCGCGTTCTTAACAGAAAATGCACACGATGCGCTCACATTCCAGAATCATATCCGCGGCGTCAAGACCAACATCGACACCATACACTGGGCAAAGGAGTCGAACATATATTGTGATGCCGTCGTACGGAATAACCTACATATAAATGCCTGCCATAAAGGCTATCTCTCAATCTTCCCGCTTCTCACTGGTTTCACTGATGCATCGCACCCACATCTACCAGTCATGCTTACCCTTCTTCGCGACCCTGGAAAACTATGGACGGACTTTGGCGTCCGTAGTCTTAGCCCTGGGGACGAAGCCTATGGAAAGGAAGATAACTACTGGCGCTCACCCATCTGGATCAACATGAACTACCTCATCCTGACCAATCTACTTGACCTCGCCCTGATACCCGGCCCGTCACAACAACGCTGCCGTGAAATATATATCGAGCTCCGTCGCAACATTGTCCATACTGTCTTTAATTCTTACCTCAAGACAGGGTACGTATGGGAACAGTACGACCCTATTAGAGGTGATGGACAACGCACGCAACAATTCACTGGCTGGACGGCACTGGTGGTCAAGATCATGGCGATGCCTGATCTCGAGAAAGACGATGGCATGACGGAGAAGATGAAGGGATATTATGAGGAGGCAAAAAAGCAGGCCGTGCAGAACCAGACGACTGGGGCAGGCAGTTTGGTGTTTGCGGTTGTGTTCATGGGGTTCGTGTATCTGACGAGGAGGAGGTTTGCGGGGACCTTGAGGAGTTGGCGGAGGAGTAACTGAGCTGGTCATGAACACAGCATGAATACGGAGGGCGCAAATGCGAAGATATGAATCTGTTCAATCTTTGGCTTAGAATATAGAAGGGGATGGGAAGTCAATTACTATCGCGGCAATTACATTCTCAGTAAATGTACGCTTGATACGTCCCATATGCTGTTCAAGCTGCTACTGACGATAGAACTAATCTAATGCCACCATCCGTTTATCTGCACATGCCTGCATATCCATCTTGCTGAGCAGCAGCAAGGTACCTGCAGAGGCTATAGGTGTCTGTGTCCTTATAGTAAACCACTGCGACCGCGCCACCGTTTCCTGCAGGAAACTGGCTGCCTTGCTCCCATTGTGGAATTTGGATCTGGAAGGTAGAAAGTGGCGAGTCAGTAACGATTTACCAACCAACGTACACACCAAGGATGCAAAGTGTTGATATAAGGCAGCACGCCGAGATCGTGCAAACTCACCCATCTATATGTATCATCTTCGTTGGAAGGGCATTTCTTCTTGTCATCAGGTGTGGTCAGGAAGCGAGATGCTTCTGGAACCGCATCCGTGGTTGCCCATTCCTGGACGACGAGATCTTGGAGTTGAGCTGCTGTGACGGGAATGTATGTGCCGTCGTAGCGCTGGCAGGCGGTGTCAGAGAAGCCGTTGAACGTTGCCGCTAGAGCCGAGGCTGAGAAGAACGCGGCGGGGATAAGGTGCTGGAGCTGCATGTTGTGTATCTGTAAGGAATGGAGCTGTGGTGAAGGATGCGGTTTGTGGCGATAAGTGATATTCCAATCGACGAGATGAGTGAAGGTACTTATGTGTCTGATACTGTAGGCCCGGAATAATTGATATTCGCTCATGCACTGAACTACAAAGAGACGAGCATACGTCACACTTACCGGGCTTTGCTGTCTTGGAAATACGGTCAGTCATTTAAAGGGCAGCAGAAAGGCCGAACGCTCGGATATCACCTTGAATATCGTAAGGACTGGCGTGTGTGACGGCTGAAACAACCACTCTACCAGCTCAAGCAAGGGTAACGCAGAGAGGCCTCACGGAATTGTACTAAGCGGTTGGTTGGACGGAGGAGAGATTGCACGAGTATAAACGTGAATAACGACCTGAAGCTTGATCGGGCCGAATATAGAGTGCTGTTATTCATTGTACTTCAGAAACATCCGTAGCTTGTCGCAAAACAGACATTCAGGCCACTGGATGTGGCTGAGGCGGTTAATCAGCCGTGGCTAGAAAGACCGTGATACACCGAAGTGAGACCGGTCGTGTGCTAAGCAACTAGACCAATTCTATCAATGTCTGGTGCGTACGCGCTTCCGACACCAGAGATGGTGATGGTGTTAGTACCTGTAGTGCTGAAGCCCGACAACTCTACGCCATAACTCTTGTACACATCTTTATCCCAATTGTACCCGCTCAAAGGAAAGCTGACAGTCTTCGCGGCTCCTCCGTTCACGCTGACCGCTGCGACGCGCTCGTTGCTACCGCCCATGTAGTCAACCTGGCCATTGATATAGTCAAAAAGCACTGTCTGTGTAGCTTTGGACGTGCGAATATTGGAGATCGTTACACGGCCGTTCGAAGACCCACCCAGGTTACCGACTTTATTAGAAGAGGTGCAGCCGGAACAGGATTGGGTGTTTGCACCCGAAGAGAGGGAGCCAGTCGATGCGGAGACGAATGTATAAGTGGGCTTCGTAGCTGTCGAGCGGCGAATGTTGGAGAGACGGATGGCGAGAGATCCATGGGCTTTGACTTGTTTGGAAAGAGAAGCTCCGCTGATAGTCGTACCAGTCCAGAGATCCTTGATAGACGCCGAAGCTATATCAAGCTCAGAAAGCTGTAGGCTCAGCGTACGAGCAGTGTTGCTGATATCTACAACTAGGACAGCCATATCTCCATTGGCAAGATCGCCGGCCCAAAGGTCTCGATCTCCACTCCAGCGCTGGCGGAGCGTGACCGGCTTGACAGCTGAGTCCTGATTGATAGCAATCAGGTCCTTGTTCTGCAGAACAGCAACAAGCTCATTTGATAAAGCTGGAACATCAGTCGATATCATCAGCGCCGACTTCAACATGGCCCATGCAGCGAAGTGAGTAGCTTGCTCGTCGAACGTCATACCAGAATTGCCCACCATGAGTAGATCAGCATCGGCGATATGTCCGGGGCCTACTAGGCCGGACTTCGCAATGTGTACGGCTTGATTGTAGATGCGGAACATAGACGCCCAACCTGACGTGATGTCATCCGACAGCCGGAAGGATGTAGAGATGCCCTTAGTCCACTGAACAGGTCCTTGTAAGCCAGTGGATGTGCTGAAAGGTACACCCCATTGGCAGATCAGCAGTCCAGGGATGCCGACTCGTTGAAGTTCTTTCCACATGACGCCAAAGCGAGAGACAAAATCGGTCCTGGCGTTTTTGGGGGCGTTCTGGCTGGCTGCAGGTCCATCGGCATAGCAATTGTCGTCTGAAGAGTTGTAAGTACGGCGATCAAGATGGGAGATTACTTCTTAGAACTCACATTTGACGTATTCGGTGTTCAGCGTCTTGAAGAAGTCGGCATCCGCAGCTTCGTGGCCCAAGGAGCCTAAGACAGGGCTTGGTGCTTGCGGGTCGCACATGCGCACACCAGCATCCGAATACATGGTCCACTTCATGCCTTTGGACCTTGCAAGGTCACTCAGAGGCTTCAAGCCGCCTGGAAAGGCATTGAGATCCACCTTTAAAGCGCCGCTCGTCGCGTTACGTTGTCCATCTCTTGAGGCCCACCCACAGTCGATTTGGAAGAACTTGTAGCCTGCATCAACAAAGCCACGACTGGAGAGAGAGTTGATGGTGGTAGTTATCTTTTGGGTATTGGGGCTACATGACATCTGGTTGTACGAGTTCCAGCCCATCACTGGCGTTTGCTGGAATGACTGCGACGCGACATGGGTCACCCCGGCGAGGGTGAGAAGGACAGAGTTGGTCCACATCATGGTGAGAATCTCTTAGCAAGCAGTTGTGCCCGTACCCAACCATCTAAGTGTCTGGCATCTTTATACTTCTGCATTTTGAGTTTATCGTCACGAAGAACTGGCCACTAACCTTTTACCGGTGGAAGGAATAAGTTCATGCGAATGTCTCTCGTATATCGGGAGTACTCCTGGATTTGGAAAACCTCGCGCTCGATAATTTTGAATACGATGCGCAGATCATAGGCCTATGATGCGCTACTTGATTTGCAACTTATTTCTTCCGCGAGATAAATTGACGTTTGAGGAGTATTGCGGGGACTCCATGATGCTGCTTTGCTAATTAGGCAGTTGCGTGGCTGAATGCGCGAAAAGGGTTTAGGTATCGGGAGCCTGTCCTGTTTCCAACTTTGCGAAAGATGCGTACAAGAGTACAGAAGTTATCGCCCGGTTTCCCCAGCGTTCATGTCGCAGCGTGGGTTTCGACACCGATTTTCCCCACACCCGGCCTACTTTCCTTTTTACCCCGCGCTCGCTTCACCTTCCGTACTTGACAGCCGACACAGCATTCCGCCTTCCCTGAACTAGTATTCCGCGATGCATTATCCCCATGTTCGCAACCTCAACGCTGCAGTCGTCATTCTACCCTTACGCTCTGATCACTCGTCGCCTCGTCGCTCGGCTAAATCGCCGCTATCACCAGTCACAGAGCTCTAATGTTGACTATGTGGGCCCACGGTCTACGGGGTATGGGGGATGTGCTCTGACTCTGGGGAAGTACGGTGGATCTCGAGACGACCAAACGCTTATGAGGCTTGACAAGCTTCGCACAGGAGGATAATGATAAGCGGAGAAGATCCCGAGGCTGGGTATGAGAGCCTGTATAAAGAGGCCATCCTCGCTGTAACCCCGTTGCACATCGCAAAGTTCGGTACAGGGCTCTGCATTGTGCCACTTGTTGACACCCCTCGATTTGAGGATCTTTCCTCCCGATTCTTCAGCTCCTTCATCTCACCCGCGACTACTGCCGCGTTCTGAGTGAGACGGTGGTATCTGCTCAAGCAGCACTCCACCATGGCGCGCAAATACCTTGGAGGCTCTGGTGAGCGACTGACAGTGTGGATTTCCATCGCTGCTAGTACGGTACTCATGTAAGATGCGATTCGGACAACCCTTGTCGTACCTATCTGACGCCTAGCAGCTTCTACGGTTACGATCAAGGTGTATTCGGCAATGTCATTATCTCAGAGAATTTCCTTCATACGTTCGGATATCCGTCCGCGGATATGCAAGGTGTAATGACCTCCATATACAACATCGGATGCTTCATTGGAGCGATGTCTACCATCTGGACTGGCGACATCCTCGGACGTCCAAGGCAGATTATACTCGGTTCGACAATCATTGGTATTGGCGCAATCATCCAGACATGCAGCTGGACCGTAGCGAGCATGATGGTCGGGCGCATTGTGGCTGGACTTGGTACTGGCATGAACACAGCCACGGCTGGAGTCTGGCAAGCTGAGACGAGCAAGATGAATAGTCGAGGAAAGCTTGTCATCATTCAGATGGGTATGTGCATACCGGCATCTGCGATTCTATCTCAGCTGACATGTTTGTAGCGAACTGTATCACCGGCTTCAGCATTTCAAACTGGCTCACGCTCGGCTTCTCGTTCGCACCACGCGATATAGCATGGCGCTTCCCATTAGCGTTCCAACTCTTCTTCACTTTCTGCATCTACGCCATGTGTCCTTTCCTACCAGACTCACCTCGTCTACTGATTCGCAAAGGAAAACATGACGAGGCCTTGGAAGTCCTTGCTGCTCTCGAAGGCCATGGAGCAACGCCAGAGTCAGCATCGGTAATCACACAATACAATATCATCAAGGACATCCTAGATCGCGAACATATGAACACATACACATGGGTGCAGCTCCTTACTGGCAAAGGACCTAGCGGTGTCCTGAGGCGCATGCTTCTTGGTGCTTGGATGCAGGCTATGAATCAAATCTCAGGTATGTAACTTATCGTGCTCTCATTCTTGGGCGGCAGCTGCGCTACCTAACTGTATCCGTCTAATTATTTCGTCTTAGGTATCAACGTCACGTCTTACTACATGAGTTACATCTTCATAAATGCTCTGGGAATCTCGGAACTTCTTTCGCGCATCCTCGCCGCCGCCGGCTCAGTCGACTATCTCATATTTGCTTGCTTGGCATACTTCGTCATTGAGCGATATGGACGCCGCAAAGTTATGATGGTCTCCGCCGGAGCATGTTCCATCTGCTGGATCGTCATTGCGGCATCTCAGGGTCAGACTGAAGCGGGTGGCGATTCGTATAAGCTGGGCATCGTCGCAGTTTCATTCTTCTTCGTGTTCTTCGCGAGCTTCGGAATGGGCGTTCTAGGCGTGCCATGGCTGTATCCAACCGAGATCAATGCCCTTGAGATGAGAACCAAAGGCGCTTCGCTTGCGATGGCGACGAACTGGATTTGCAATTATGGTGTTGTTCAGGCTACACTTCCCGGTATTCAAAACCTAGGCTACAAATTCTGGATCATCTGGGCAGTTATCTGCTTCTCATTCATACCGATCACATACTTTCTGTACCCAGAGACAGCGAACAGGACCCTAGAGGATATCGATCGCTTCTTCGAGACTCAACCGGATATCCTGATTCATCGCAACAAGCTTGCTGTGCAGTTACACCGTCCGACCGAGTTCATCGAGGCCGATGCGAGGATTGCTGCGAACGAGGAGGCAAAATTCGAGAAGGAAATAAGTACGGAGCATGTTGAGACGAAAGAGACAGTGTAAAAAGTAGCATACATCAAGTTTGTACGCTCTCTGGCATGTATTAGCGTACTTGTGAGCACATCAAAACAATGTCGTTATAACAGTCCATTGATCACTTCGGACGAACTACTTCTTCCATCACTAATAAGAGAAACTTTGCCGCGATGATACGCGGCTTCAAGGCTGTAAGACCGCTTGATCTCTCATCCGCTTGATCTCTCATCCGCCTGATCACTTGGTTGCAAGCCTTGCAAAGCAAAGATCTTTGAAAAGCATCAGCTACAAGGCTTGTCTGGATAAAGGCTCATCCAAGCTTGGGCCCCCGGCACGCTAACCGAGAACGCGTAACTTCAGTTCATGCCTACTACCACCAAGTTGTTTCCCAGTGACGCGGCGCAACAATTGATACAGCCGATGTACTACATCTTTCTTCCCTTTAGATCACTGCACACGTATTGCGATATTGCGCTAGTCGGGAGATGCCGTCACTATAGGGCTGGACACCGCCGATCTAGGTCTCTGATAGGGCACGCATGGACAAGAATAGGGTCAAAAGTTTGGCAACAGTGATCTGAGAGATTGCTAGGGGTTACTCTAAGCATGGATAGAGCTGCGGCCATAGATCTGGGTCCTCTACTGCGATGACCATAGTGAAGTAGATGGTCCGAGTCAGGACTGGCAGGAAGTACATAATGCTGGCGAACCCGCGAGGAATGTCTTGCTCACCACCCAGCTCACCCAGCTTCTCTACAGTCATTCCGGGATACCTTCTCGTTGTCTTGTTATCTTCTCATTGTTCGTACGCCCACCATGCGACACTCATCTCGCGCTACGGCCGCCGCTATGGCGGTAACCGCCAACGCAGCCTCGCTGACTGACCTCTGCACCGTATCAAACGTACAGGCCTCTCTCCCTTCCAACAGAACTCTCTTGGGTATCGATTTACTCCCAAGCACTGTAACCGCCAGCGCCGTCTACAATGCTACTCTTGGAGGTGGCGGTATGGCGTCAACAGCTACCGATGGTACTACCTACAACTACTGTAACGTCACTGTTAGCTATGTCCATACTGGAAAGGAAGATGTCATTCCTCTCATTTTTGCCTTTCCCGAACCTTCGACCTTTGCCAATCGTTTCTATCTTTCTGGTGGCGGAGGCTACGCACTCTCCAGCGATGCGACAGGAGGTTTACCATACGGCGCTGCTTCTGGAGCCACTTCGGCTGGCTACGATGCTTTCAACCAGAACTTCGATGCAGCGGTGTTATACGGCAATGGAACGATCAACTGGGACGCCACCTATGCCTTCGCCTACTCCGCCCTCGGAGAGTTGACGAAAATCGGAAAACCAGTCACACAGGCCTTTTACGGGTTGAACGACACCAAGGTCTTCACTTATTTCGAGGGATGCTCTGACGGTGGCCGCGAGGCTATGAGCCAGGTTCAGCGCTGGGGTGAAGAGTACGACGGCGTTGTGGCAGGTGCACCCGCCTTCCGCTACGCACAGCAGCAAGTTCTACATGTCTACCCTGCTACCATCAACGTTGTCAACGACTACTTCCCACCGCCATGCGCATTGGACAAGATCGTCAACGCGACGATTGCAGCTTGCGATCCTCTTGACGGACGTACTGATGGCAAGTAATCTAAACTATATACAAGAGATGCACTCTAACACATGTCGCTGCAGGTGTCATCTCCCGTACCGACCTTTGCAAACTCAACTTCAATCTCAGTTCTCTGATCGGCGAAAGCTACTACTGTGCTGCCCAGACCAGTACTTCCCTTGGCTTTGGCTTCAGCAAGCGCGGCCTCAACAAGCGTCAGATGCCAGGAAGCCAGACCAGTGCTCAACCCGAACAGAACGGCACTATCAACGCCAATGATATTGCATTGGCTCAAGGCGTCTACGATGGTCTTCACAACTCCAAGGGCGAGCGTGCATACCTCTCTTGGCAGATTGGCTCAGAGCTTAGCGACGCCGACCCAACGTACAACAATGCGACCGGCGAGTGGGAGCTCAATATCCCTTCCACTGGTGGCGAGTACGTAACTAAGTTCGTCCAGCTGCTCGACTTGGATAACCTCGCCAACCTCGACAACATCACCTACGATGATCTTGTAGAATGGATGAACATCGGCATGTTCCGCTACCTCGACAGCCTGCAAACCACTCTCCCTGACCTCACGCCTTTCCAGTCTTCCGGCGCCAAGATGATCCACTACCACGGTGAATCTGACCCTTCCGTCCCTGCTGCATCCTCGGTCCACTACTGGCAGTCCGTTCGCTCGATCATGTACCCTAACATGACCGATGCTGAGGCTCAAGAAGCCATGGCCGACTGGTACCAATTCTACCTCATTCCCGGCGCGGCGCACTGCAATGCCAACGCTCTTCAGCCCGGCCCTTACCCGCAAGACAACATGGCTACTATCATCGACTGGGTTGAGAACGGGGTGAAGCCTAGCCGCCTCAACGCCACCGTAGCATCGGGCATCAACGCTGGCGAGGTGCAGCAGCTTTGCCAATGGCCTGCGCGACCGCTTTGGTCCGGAAACAGCTCTGACTTTGACTGCGTCGAGGATAAGACATCCATTGAGAGCTGGACCTACACTTTCGATGCTTTCAAGATCCCAGTCTACTAAGTGTGTATGACCTAGGATGCTTAGGTTCCGTCGCATGAGCAACAGCTGGTCTACAAAGGAAAGAAGCTGTGTGGGCGGAGACCAGAAACTCTGGAGCTCATTGCGGCGATACTCGGTTCCGTATGTGGAATCATGTTTTGTTGTCGTGCACTTCTCTCACTTCTTGTAATATATTAGAATGCCGCTTGGCTACCACAGAATAACATCGGTTTTGGATTCCGATCACTATGGCTCGTTGCAATATCCATCAATGAAGTTCACTGTCAGCTTGTTCCGGTTTTCCTTCAACAACGTATCTCGTCCAATTTCGAGCAAATTTCTCACGTCTTGCCGGCAATCTAAATTGTATTAGTCACAAGATATAAGGTCCTTGCAAGAGACGCGTCTCACCTAGGAACAGCCCTCTAAGCTCTTTTCCTTGCCCACTAGCCAGCCATGCACACGTCTGCCCACAAAGCGAAGGACCATCCTTGAATAGATCTTTGAAGAATTCCTCATCTGTGAGATCACCGTACTTCTTCTTCACATCATCCGCCGCAGGAGCTACGTTGCGTTAGCATGGACACAGCATCAACCTCGACAGATTTGGTTTTACCTCCGCCCATGTTCCCCTTGACACCACCCGGGTGTAGCGCATACATGTGAATCGCAGGATCCAGTCCATCAAGTTCCATCTCAGTCTGCAGCGTATGTGTAGCCCGGATGAGCGCTGCCTTGGAAGTTACGTATCCCAATGTCATGGGTACATCGACGGTACCTGAGCGAGAGGCGATGTTGATAATGCAACCGTGTCCGCGTTCCTGCATTCGTGGAAGGATGGCGTGGATAAGCATTAAGGGCTGGAATTATTTTGTTAGTGAGAATAAATTGACTGGATAAAAGGTGAACTTACGGCCTTGAAGTTGACTTCGATTTGTTTCCAAAATGTCTCAAAATCCCCCATGATGAAAGGCCGCTGAGTAAAAATCCCAGCGTTGTTCACCAGTATATCGATCGGTCCTAATTGCTTCTCCACCTGTCCAAAGACTTCCTTTACTCGCTCCATGTCCGTCACATCGCAGCCATACGCTTCGACCTTTCCTCCAAATGCTGAGCATGTCTTCTTGGTTTGGGTGAGCTTGTCGGTGTTGAGGTCCAGAATGGCTACATGGGCCCCGGACTTCGCTAGCGATTCTGCGATGGCGGCGCCGATGCCTTGACCAGCTCCTGTTACTAGGGCTACCTTTCCGGCATTGGAGCCTTCTAGGGTAGACGGTACGATGGGGCCGTATGGAGCATGATTTAGAGGAATGGTACTGTAGCCGAATTGTGCTGGATCCATGCTTGTGGTGTTTTGGTGTTCGATTCCAGAGTATAGTAATCTCGCTCTCTGAGACAGGATCTGTCGAAAAGATGTGGAAGTTTGACATTCTGTATGTATACGGACGGCATGGTTCCGGCACGGTACAAGTCCGATGCGGGGTGCTGTTGGGGTAGCTGTTGCCCCACACGAAGTATGTGGGGTAATTCAAAGCCGACTCGGTATTTGAGTATGGGCTGAAAGCGAGAGTGATAATGCCCTTGAGCTGAAAGGGATTCATGACTGGCGAAGCTCCAGGAAGCGTTCTGGCGCATCGCGAAACTGACGCGTAGTGACGTATTTGCGCGCGCTGAAAGAGGTATAGTGTACCCGCTATACTTCGGAGAGATCTGTAGCACGTTGAGATTGCTCTAGACTTCATATACAACAACGTGCTCATGGGCGATATTGCTACACCAGTTCGAGGGTGTAAGCCGGTCATCAGAACACGCACTCAAGCGGCGCCGGTTGAAATGGGGATGCAAGAAAGATGAAAAGCGGTACGCGGCGCGAGAAGAGTCCAAGGACCCGACCATCCACGACAGCCATCCTCCACCCACTTCATCTACAGAAGTTCACAAAGACAGCGTCAGTAACCGAAAACCAAAATCCAAGAGATTCAACATATTAAAGATGCGGAATACTGTGCCATCGAAAAGGCCTCAAATCACCTCAAACCGCCACGACAGGGATTTAAATTGGTCACCCTTTGTCACAAAAGCTTCAGGCATTCCTTAAGTCAGCAGCACATGACTCAACCATTGTTCGCCAATGCGTGGATGTCTATTGAAAAATACACTAGCACCGATTATGGCACTGTAGCGTCGCCAGAAATTATACTTCTACAGCACGGTTTGACGACATAACATTACCTTACGACACCTGATACTCCTGCATATTAACAGGACGTCGGTCATTGTCTCACGCTCACCAATTTAGATATCCCTGTGGATATACCACTGGAATTCATGGGTTGCGGGTGAATGTGTAAAAGTAGTCTGCTTGCATTCGCTATAAGTAGACGCAGCCATGCGTTCACAGTAAGTGGTTTCGAATCTATGCTATCTTGATTGTTGCTTATGTAAAGATCTGATTGTGAACATGTCGTTCCTGAGAATACCAAATCCTGTCCTCTTTTTACCTATATTAGGGTGCCTAACATACCCAACCTTTGGGGAGCAAGCGTGCGAAGCATCTTCATTCCAGAATTTGGAGCTATACGGCGGTCAAATTCTCAACATAACAACAAAGACACACATTAACCTATCATTTGAAGCTCCAGCTGAGCAAAACCATTACGCTGTCACTGTGAACGACCTGAACGCTTGCGAAGTCACCATTACATACACACATCCTGGATACAACGACACTATCAATACCGTCATCTGGCTGCCTTCTACTGAGAACTGGACTGGAAGGCTACTAGGCGCTGGTGGTGGGGGTTGGGCGACAGGACCTGAAACCAATACCACGCTTCCATGGGCAACTAGCGAGGGGTTCGTTGCCATTGCGACAGATGGAGGTCACACTGGTAATGACATAAGCTGGTCGCTCGTCAGTCCCGGCAATGTCAACTGGGTATTATTGGAAGATCTATCCTCGGTTGCGCTAGACGACCTCGCGACGCTTGGGAAGGCGGTCACGCATTCCTACTACGGTAGAGCACCAAGCTACAGCTACTGGAACGGATGTTCCTCGGGTGGCAGACAAGGTTATATGATGGCACAGAGATATCCCGATCAATATGACGGGATCCTGGCAACTGCTCCTGCCATATACTGGAACGAGTTGATGATGCAACTCATCTGGCCGCAGGTCGTCATGAATGAGAATGGTACGTCCCTTGCTGAGATTGAAGCAGATGACCAACACCAACTAGGATTTCCGTCCCCACAGGAGTTCGAAGCTATAAATGTAGCTGCCACCGAAGCCTGCGATGGACTAGATGGACTAAAGGACGGTATTATCTCGTTACCCCAAGAATGCACTTTTGACCCAATGACCGTTGTTGGCAGACAATACATTTGTCCGTCTACGAACCAAAGCATGACGATCACAACCACTCTAGCCACGGTAGCCAAGATGATATGGCAGGGTGCTACGACAACCGAAGGCCATTTTCTTTGGTACGCCGGCAACATCGGTGCTTCATTTGCTGGCCTCGCTTCAACAACGTGTAAGAGCAACAATTCATGTGTTGGTGTACCGTTTACCGTTCCCCAGACATGGATTACCGACTTTGTTCTGCGGGATCGTGAGTACGATACTGGAGGACTTAACATCTCGTATTTCGAACAGCTCTTCTACCAAGCTGTGGACCGTTATGATTCTATCATCGGATCGGCAAACTCGAACCTCGATGGATTTCGCAAAGCGGGTGGCAAGCTTCTCTCATGGCACGGACTTGCTGATCAAGCCATCGCGCCTGACGCGACCGCGCACTACGCGCAGCAGGTTAACGAGCGTGACGCGAATGCTAGCGATTACTTTCGATACTTCGAGGCGCCAGGTGTCGATCATTGCGGTGGTGGGCTGGGTTGGTATCCTGGAAATGGTCTTAAGGCTCTTATTGACTGGGTAGAGAGGGGTATAACACCTGATACGCTTGAGGCGGAGACAACAACGGGCAGGAAGGCGGAACTTTGCTTATGGCCGAAGCATTTGGTATATGTTGCTGGGAATCCCAATGAGGTAGCATCGTTCGAATGTCAATAGGGAGTGGTTGCCAGTCACTTGCAATACGCACATGCGATGACTACATTTTCGAGCGTATATGAGCATCGTGCCATTTCCTATTCAGTCAACAACTGCATACTGTTCCTCTATGATCCGAGTGGACCGTAGCCGGGCCAATCAGGTTTTCCAGATGTTGAACGCGATGGGCGTAGCGCGAGGCTGAGCACTGGGGATGCTCTGCGCCTCGACCCACCCCAATGCAGGTCTTGTACTCTCCTTACTTCTGTCATCTCCAACAACAGTTTCCTCATCATTTTCTGTCTAATATGTGGCATTCGCTCGAACAAAACCTCTGCTAAGTCAAAGGTACAGGCTCTCTGTCCCTGATAAGAAGTTAGTGGATGCGTCACAAGGCTGGAACGCGCCAACAAGATGGCGGAAGTTCTCGCCATCCTCGGTGAGCAACGTGCCTGTACCAAATGCATGCGATAAATACTAACTCCATACGCTTGAAGGTGGAGTCGGATCAATTGTTAGTATCGTGGATGGTATAAGCAAGGTCGTTGGCATCATCACAGATCTTCAAGCCAGATGGGGTGAAGCGGATCTCGCTTTACTCAGTCTGGCGTCCCAGCTCACAGCCTTGCGGGCTGCCACAACCAAGATCCAAGAGTGGATAGACCTGGATCTCCAAGACACCCATCATCAGCTTGTGATGGATTTGGATGTGTCTATTTCTTGTTGCAAACTGTTGATGGATAAGGTTGAGAGTTTTTTTACCAGCATGGCGCAACTAACAGAGAAACCACTCGATCTTCGCAATAAATTCAAGGTTGCTTTTGGTAGCAGCGGTCCAGAAAATGTACAGAAGCTTATCGAGCACCAGACGAGCGCACTGACTCTGTTGTTGACAGCGTGCAACTGGTAACTACTGCGACAACCCAACTCTCGACATTCCAAGCTTACATGTCTAGCAAAACACTCTCTGCACAGCAAAGATATCTCGAAACAAGTAAAAACCGTAAAGTACTCCATCGGGCGAAAGCAGATTCGGTGTCACTGTATGTCCATCGTGACTCTGCCTCCCTTACCAGCAAAATGACAGATAATTTGTCGAAGATTTCTCGTGTGTTTGAATTTGATTCAAACATTTTTTCTACCGGAGTTTACGAGCGTGCATTTCGAGGCTCGGTCAGAGATCTTTTAAGAAGACGACAGCAGAACATGACGGCTCAATCATCCACCGCACAGAAGACAGAGTCTGTGTCAATGTCGAACGGCTTGAGGAAAATCCGTATCTTAGGGCAGGATCACACTGGCAAGGGTTTACTAGTCAATTGCATTGAAGCGGCTCATCTGATCGACCAAGAGCAATATCGATTGTACAACTCGAAGCTCCAGGAGCTATGCATCGATCTTGTATCCACGATTGTCAAGGATCGCTCAGATGTCTGCGATGATGAGGATGTGTGGATTCTCACATCATATGCAGTCTTAGAGCCATACTCAAGTCAGACTTCAGTGCGTAAAGATGCTCTGAATTCTTGTGTGGGGATTATTAGGAAAGCAGTAGAACTGAACGAAGAGTTTTCTTCAGTTGCTTTCAACTTTCCAACTGATCGTATTGAGTTCGAGGATATGGTTTTTTGGGTCAGATGCATACCTGGTCGCGGGTTAAGCATCAACAGTGGCAATCTTGCAGCAGAATTGTATGCTACATTGGCCCTTGGAATCACATATCTATGGCTGACTGGTTCTCAGTTTCATACATCAAATGTTAGACAGTCCATTTCCAGATCCACCCGATAATACCGATTATCTCACGAGCTTTGCAGCGTTTAGAGCGGAGATTCTTAGAGCGGAAAATATGACGGAATCTCCCCTTGCAACAGTACCATACAAAGGCGTATCTTTTCAAGTTACTTTTGGGGCTAGAGATCTGGTAACCGTTATCGATGCGCGAAGTCACTATCACGAGGACGAAACTGCGCTTGTGTTTGTGTTCGATCTCCAAGACTACAGCGTTGGTTGCCTGCGATTCGAAGAGCTCAAGGGAAGGACTAAGAGAAATTCACTCCTGTTAGCAGAGTCGATCGTCTTTCCTCAACGCCCAGTCGTTGGACTTGTTCTCAGAAATTTTGGCGCATTTGGGAAACAAGTCAAGATGTTTGGATTTACATTGGAAGGCAGCCAGCCTATCTTTGATGCTGGCGTCGCGGTCGAGCATATCAAAATGAGTCTCAACAGTCAACTCAAAGCACAAGGATGGGGCTACACCTTTGTCCTAAACGACAACAAAGATATGGACCCCATCGAGACTCTTGACCGTCTTCGGGAGCTTATCACCAGTGTCGACAAATCCTCTGTAACACCTGAGAACACATCGAGCCCAGAGAATCAGATTCAACTTTCCAGCGAGACTGTCGAGAGCATTGGCGTTGCTTTTTGACATATATCGACTGACTATCTGTTCTACAACAAGTTTATAATACTTGCTATCATCTGGAAAGGTACTTGTCTATGCTCCAGTTCTCGAATGAGAATTGTGAAAGAATTGAACATAGCATTATAGCTAAGACTGCTTCAAGAAGGAGTGAATCGATGACCAACGCTTTCCAGGTTTGATCCGTCTCTTTGAACCGTGGCTACATTGGCTTGTTTACATCTTCCACGGATACTAACGAATGTATCTGAAGATTACATCAGCTGCGCAAGGATGGGTCACATCTCATTCAGTCTCCGGTCTAGTTTACGTGCAAACAAAATACACAAATGCCTAGGTATCAACTTTAGTTTCACCATCTACTTTGATTTAACCACGCTACTGCTAACGATTTTGATTTTCAGGTCCGCACCAGACTCATCAAACCAGTTGGATAGCATTGGCCAACCGTATCTCTGGCTATTATCATGGAAGTGTAGCATGGTTCTCCATGAACGATCGAGTGCGACCATCCTCATGGGCTTAATATGTACGTGGTGTTGTGTTGCACATTCTGTAGGCTTGCGAGGAGTTAACCTTGGGTGCGGCCGTTCGTACGTTCCCTTTAAGTCGACCAGTAGTTACTGAGGCTGACGTTGTGTATGGTGTGAAGCTGCAACCATTAGCTGTCTCGACAAGTCATGTGGCGAAGATCTCAGTATCGACTTCACACTCTTGGTAGCTGTTGGCGATGTTATTCTGAAACCACTCGGACGGCGTGTCACGTCGTGTTACTTTCATAATAGCACATATCTTATCGTTATCGCCACGTGAGCTAGCGCCGTGTCATTCCCCTCCTTCAGCCTAGCATTTCTCAACTCGTCATCCAACCGTTTTCAGAAAGAAATTACCATGGCAAAACTTCTCTCACTTCCCAACGAGTTGATACAGCACATTACATCTTTTCTTCCCTGCTCCTCAGCTCTCAACCTTTTCAAAGTCGACCGAAGACTACGCAACATCTGCAATGATAAAGTGGTTTTTCAAAACATTGCAAAGTACAACTCGGAGCGATCTCTTCTTTTAGAAAACGGCATAGAATTGTCAGAAAATTACTGGGCGGAAAGCGACGCCATCCTGACGAATATTCCTCTTCAACAGACGATCCGTTTAGCATACGCAGCCGAACGATCTATACAAGCCTTGCTTGAAAAAGATGATACATGGACATTGAGCACATCTAAGCGGCTCAATTCATTCAAAATCACAGAATGGCTACCACAGATGATGGCTCTTCACCATCCAGCTGCCTTAGAGCTCAAGCCCGAAACCTTTCTGCAGCTCCAAGGCCAAGTACTGCTTAGGATGCGGGTGCCGAAATCGATTGATCCCGACCTTCTCAGCGCCAACTTCGTTCTCAGCTACACCCTTCTTGCACAACTCAGAAAGACTAGCAACGGGAAGCAAGTCAAAGAGGCCTTCGACCGCTTCTTCTCCGTAAACCGTGCCACAGATCCACCAATCACACTGAGCAACGGCGTAAGAACCGATGGAGACGCTGTCAAGAGTCTTAGACAGCGAGTGCGGGATTATGGTTACTTTGGAGATACATTTGACTTGGACCAAGCTACGACATTGCTTCCCACCCTGATGCTGGAGCTGGAGCTGTCTACACGTCACTTAACTCCAAGTCACATCACCGAGCTTCCCTCACCTACTGGAATACCTTTCTACTCTATGATGAATTTGCCACCTGTCTTCGACATAAGCAAACCGCCCCCCTTTGCAGACGGAAGCATGTCATTCGGCTGGTGTCACCTTGACAAAATGGTGTCGCCCGACTTCCTCTCTTCCGGCTGCTGGACGGGCTATTACTCTGATCAGCGACGTTACTTGGGACGACGGCGTTTCGACCCTGCAATGCGCGATATCCGAATCGTTGCTAGGAGGACATGCAAAGAAGAGCGAGAGATCGACTCTTCTCTCGCGGAATGCACGATGGTTGATCAGCAGAGCCGGGGAGTAGATGCAGTTGGAGAGTTTTCATTACAAGGTCGTGTTCAAGACGACGGGTTTGTCTATTTGATAAAGAGATACTTCTCGGAAGACACCATGTGGACGTGGAAAGCTAGGATGACACCTTTCGGTATTGTGGGCATGTGGGGAAGTGATCAAGAGAGATTTGGAGGGTACTTTTGGATATGGAAGGAGGAGTGGTGTTGACACAGTCAGCATACTCTCTTGACACGTAGAAAGACGATACGATGATCTCACGAGAAACACACGATTAGAGATGGACAAAATACGAGAAAATGGCCTTGTTGATTGGAGCAGAGCCTTTCCCTCAAAGTGTCGACATTCATATGTCTATCTCCGTTGATGCATGTAACGAGGAAGGCATAACACCACAATGCGTCGCCCTAGAATGCCTCGCAAATGCCATCTCAATACCCAAAGACCCATTACTCTCATGCCCCATATCCAGTAAATGCGCCACCACAAACACCATCAATGACCATAACTACGCGATCGTCCTATTCTAGGTAGACATTCTAAGGGCCTGCCTAGGAGGTGTCCATAGCATCACCAGCCGGCGCAGCAGCAGCATTACGCTCCGCCATTTTCTGAGCGAGCAAATTCGCCTTCCAGTTCTGGATCTCCTCTCGGAGTTCGTCGTTGGGGATGACGTCCTCGATCTTGAGTGGCGTGCGGTTGAATGGATCATGTGGGTCGCTTAGAAGATGTGCTTGGATGGTACCACGATCGACGATTTGTTTACTGATAGGGAGCGTGACGGGGTCTTCCATGAGGGAAGCGAGGATGGGGTCGAGGTACTGGTCAGGGATTTCTCCCAGATCCGCCTCAACCATGTCGGCTTGGGCCTTTGCTTCTTTGATGCGGTCCGACATGGATTGCCATTGTTCCATTTGCTCTGGCGATTTCAGCTTGAAGCGCTGGAGGATCTTGTAGGCTTCGGTCATGTATTCCTCCCGATAGGAGCGTCCGTCTGTAGCCACAGCGTCGATGAATGACTGCTTGCTCTCTAGATTGAGATACACGTCGGTGACCTCAGCCAACATGTTCCTGGGGTTCCAGCCATACTCCTCAGGGTTCTCAACCTTGAGTTGCGACTTCTTGGGGCCCACAAGCGCCTCCAAATTGTAGTCCAGCATATGCGCTAGTCGCACGACGACCTCCTTCTTGGTGAACGAATCGGCAAGTGCCTCTGTGAACAACTTCAACATAGCAACGGTCTCATTGGTGAGTTGCATGTAGCTCTTAGCTTTACCTTGGGCTGACGCCAGCTTCTCTTCCTGTTCTTGACGTGCAGTCTGCTCCATATTTGCTGGTGCGTTCTTCAGCTCTCTCGAAAGATCATGGATCTCCTTGAACGCGGTAAAGGACTCATCTAGAACGAATGTTACATCGTTCAAAAGGAGGTTGACGAATTGGACGAAAAAGTCTAGGTTGACACGCGCCTCGGTAGCAAGATGCTCTCGGTAGATTGGGTTCGGCCAAATACACTTAATGACTTGGAAGATTTCGTATCGTATGTTAAACTTGTCGAAGAATTGCGTATGAGTTCCTGTGCTCTCACATTCTATGTAGAACTTCATGAGTGCGTGCAGCAGGTGCTTCATAGCGAAGTCGTGAGCGAAGAGCGTGTCGCCAAGCACGCCCTTGGGTCGACCAGGAATCCCCCACACTCCGTGGAACAGGATCGTTACCAGACCGGACTTCAAGTATGGGTTCTTGACGTATTCTGAGCTTCGTAGGAAAGCGATACAGATTTTGACCAATTCCTCGCACTGAGTGGTTGTGATGATGTGTGGCATGTAGCGAGTGATGAACTTGAAGTTTCCGACAATGTCTTCGACGAAATATTCAGGCAGACACTTGAACTCTACTGGTTGCTCTTTGGGCAGAGGCAGCTGGAGCTCAGACTTGGGGAAAGAGGTTCCGGGCGAAGCAATTCGTAATAGCCATACGATGACATATCGCATCAGTTGCATAGACCGAGCCTGCATAGTCTCGTCAAGCAAGACACCCTGGATCGCTAGAATGCTGCATTTACCCCGCTCGATCTGGTCCTTCATCTTCTTGACATGGTTATCAAAAATAGCAAGCTGCGCCTGACTGGTCATGTACTTTGACCGCTCAGGTTCGAGCTTCACAAGCTCCTTCTCGAGCCACTTCACGTCCTTTTGAAGGGTGCTCAACTTGGTGTTCGCGGCCTCCAGACCATAGTGATGCGCAGCGACCGTCAGGAAGAAGACCTCACTAATGAAGTTGTTGGTACCCGAGACTTTGGTGCTATAGAATTCATCCGACGTCTTTTGATCAGCGTTGATCTTGGTTTCGTCTTGGATGTCGACGCGAGGCGATCGGCGTAGGTAGTCGATATCGATTCGATCAATCTTGGCGAATGTAGCGTCCATAAAGGGCTCACACAGACGGTCTAGTATGACTGTCACGTTGACCATGAAGCCGTCTGACGAGACTTTCTTCTTGTCGACTTGCATCGCACGCCTCATGTGGTTCTTGTTGACCGTCAGCGCCAACCAATCTAGCATCTTCTCGCGAGACTCCTTGTTCTTGATGAAAGTATTTGTAATGTCGAGCAGTTCTTCCTGATGAGTCTGGAGGGTCATGCGGACAGCGCGTTGAGCGTTTGCGATGAGTCCCTTATCCACAGCGGATGAGCCAGCGAAGTAATTCATAGCCACTTCAGCCTGCATAGGGGACAGCCGGAAGAAGGGCCCCAAGAAGCTGTGTGTCTCGATGTGTTGAGCCTCGATGTTGGCAGGCAGAAACGTCTCGGACTGTGCCAGAGCAGCTACGAGTGGTGGGAATCGGACAAATACCCGCAAGATTAGCATGTGAGGTTTGTAGTCGCCGTTCATTGAGACTATGGAGAGGCGTCTGCTGACGTCTTCCATGGCACCCACCAATGCCTCCCTAATCGTATCGTCTTCGCCTATCCGCTGACTCGCTTCAGTGAGGAATTCGTAGCAGATACCGCGCTCGTCGTCGGGCCCGAGAAGTAAGCGATCAGCTAATGCGTTCTCTGCAGGTGCTTCCTCGCCGAACATGTCTGGCATGGTAGCAGCAAAAATGCAATAGCTGAAGCACAGCCGCCGAGCCTCCTTGACGACGTCGAATCGTGGTCCAGTTTTGTTTGTGAGATTCTTAAGCACTTTGGATACGCGCTTCCAACAGCTCATCATATACTCCAATGCCGAGCCTTGTGTTTGGCTCGACGCTGCCTCCAATATCACAGAGTCCAGCAGATCTGTACCCAGGCGAACTGGCCTGCCCTCATCTTCAAGGTCGCTCTTGGCACCTGATGCAAAGTACAGCTTGTGTCCATGTGCATCTTGCGTATGGGCCTCATCCAGGGTTACTCTGAAGATGTTGCTGAGCGTCCGGTCCTCCCACGCTTCTCTACTCAGTTCCGGCGCCTTCTGAGCGGGTTGCGGCGCTGGGCTGTTGCTCGCTGCGGGTTTGATGGTGATGCGCTTCTTGGGCGGCTCGTTGGTCTTGACGCCTAGTTGGGAGAAGGGGTTTGAGGATGAGGCGGGCTCAGGTTGAGGCTTCGGTCGTGGTGCCTGTGATTCGGTAGGCCTGGGTGATGAAGTGCTCGATGATGCGGCTTCGGGCGCTGTTGACGGCGGCCGTGAGGGACCATTTGGAGTCGCAGGACCACCTAGCTTTGCAAGGCGCTTTGCACGGATCTGAGAGATGTCGTCGTCAGCGTGTCTCTTTGATGGGAGACTAGCAGGCGGGCTCACCTTGTCAGCGTCGGACATGGCATCAGGCTCGGCGGCGGGAGCAGGCGCAGCATCAGGCATTGCGCTGTCTTTTTGGTCAGACATGGCGCTGTCTGGCTGCTCGGGTTGCTCAGGTCGCTCTTCTTGGTGAGGTTGGTCGGGCGGTTGGTCTGCCATGATGGCGTTGTGCTGCCTTGAGGCTACAGTAGAGCTTGGGCGATGGCGGCTGTCAGGATGTGGGACAGCGAGAGAGTTGAGTTTGCGAGAAGCGTGGCGGTAATTAGAATAGAGGAAACAAGATAGAGAAAGAAGTAGGCCGTGGCCGTCTTGGTGTTGTTAGACGTCGAGTGAAAGAAGCGCGAAGCGTGCAAGTGCGTCAGTGCTATCCTATGGTTACGGGACCCGGAGCTTCTAGTCTGCCCCGCCACTTAGCAGCCTCGCTCGCCAACTCACGTGTACCCTGGAATCTGGACGAAGCGCGACGAAGTGTAGTCTATGGTAATGCAGCGATTATGTCCGCCCTTATCTCCGCGTCATTCAGATGCTAGAATGTATAGCTGCAGACAGGACTGTCGCGAACGTCGTTGTTTGGCAAGCACAATGAACAGTATGAGACAGCCCCAGTTCGGCTGAAGATTCTCCGCACTTTCCTCCGTGTCAATCCCCATGGCCGTGGGAACCCTCGCTCTCAACATGTTCCTGCCGGTTGACTAGCACAGCGGCCAACGGGATGTGCCATGTGCTGGTAGGGACGAGGAACACTGCTCAAGCCGATACTAAACATGTCGACCTTGGCATTCTCGCTCCACTGTAGTTACATCATTTCTGCGAAGGTGACGATTAGCTCCAAGTGGGCACGGGAGATCAGACAGACGGGGTGAGGGAATCCGATATAGAGGCGCCGTTGATGGCCAGGAGCACGCGCACTCGCTCGCTCGGCAGGAACAATGCTGGGGAAAGAGCAGGCGAGCTGTCACATCAAAGCTGAAACCCTTGTTGCTACCAAGTCCTTGCCAGGGCAACAGCCGACTGCACAGCGAATGGGTGGACCGGCTGATTGCAGCGAACTGGCGATTGCAGCGAACTGGCGATTGCAGCGAACTGGCGATTGCAGCGAACTGGCGATTGCAGCGAACTGGCGAGCAGGACGGCGGTACGGTGGTGCTGGTCATTGTTGGCCATCAGAGACATGTCAAACCATGGTGCTCGCTGCGTTGCCATGTGACGGGCTCCGGGGGCGTGTGCATGGGTAGTTTACCATGTCGGTTAGTAGCAAGGCGCTTGATGCAGATAGCTAATCGCACCTTCTCCTCTTCTCTCGGCCAACCTACATCCCATCGCGACGACGCTGCACAAACCCTTTACGTGATTTTCAACAGAGCAGCTGTCCAGGTATGTCACATTCACTCTCCCTGTCCGCCCGCTAGGCCGCAATCGCCGAAGCGCTGCGTGGCGCAAGCAGCACTCAGCCGCAGTTGTTGCAGCACGACCCCCGTTGCGGCCATGGTGCCTAGAGCCATAACACCCTGAAGCCGCTGTTCTCCAACTTCAATCACCGCCAGTCCTCCATCCAAATACTCACCACCTCCATAACAGACTTGCTCAACCCACCGCCGTCCTCAACAGCCCCATCACACACGACACCATGGCCGAGATTCGACGAAAGCTCGTTATTGTCGGTGACGGCGCCTGTGGAAAGACCTGTCTGCTCATGTACGTCCCCAACCAACCAAGCGCCCCATCCACGGCCTCAACCAGTCTGCACACGAGACCGCCATTGCTAACGCCGCCCTCTACAGCGTCTTCTCCAAGGGCACCTTCCCCGAGGTTAGTACTCACCACCCGCCGCCTCGCCTGCCATCCCTGAGCCGCGTCAGCCTAGTAGCTGGTCCGCATCCACAGCGCACCCATCTCTGCCATCCGACTCCACAACGCCCCTACTAACACGCTGCCCTGCAGGTCTACGTCCCCACCGTCTTCGAGAACTACGTCGCCGATGTAGAGGTTGACGGCAAGCACGTCGAGCTCGCCCTTTGGGATACCGCTGGCCAGGAAGATTACGACCGTCTCCGCCCTCTCTCCTACCCCGACTCGCACGTTATCCTCATCTGCTTCGCCATCGACTCACCCGATTCGCTTGACAACGTCCAGGAGAAGGTACGAGACATGTCTCACGCGCGTCCAAACAGCACCGACTGACAAACAACAGTGGATCTCCGAGGTTCTGCACTTCTGCCAGGGCCTTCCCATCATCCTCGTTGGATGTAAGAAGGATCTGCGCTTCGACCAGAAGACGATTGAGGAGCTACACAAGACCTCGCAGAAGCCCGTGACACCCGAGCAGGTCAGTAGCCACACTCCATGTACCGTATCCACACACTAACGTGACCAGGCCGAGGATGTGCGCAAGAAGATTGGTGCCCAGAAGTACCTCGAGTGCTCGGCCAAGACGAACGAGGGCGTCCGAGAAGTATTCGAGCACGCCACCCGGGCTGCTCTGTTGACCCGGAAAGAGAAGAAGACCAAGAAGTGCTTGATCTTGTAAGCTTGGACAAGACTTTGCGACGATATAGGTCGAAAGCCGCCGCAACCGCGCGATGTTGAGCCTGGCCAAGAACAACACTGTGGCGGCTATCGGGTGTCTAATAGTGGTCTATTTGAGAAGGAAGGGCAACATGTCATGGGCCGGTAGGGGTAGCAGACGAGTCGACTCCTCCAGTCTGCTTGCAGTCCATCTCTGACGGCACCTATACGAGGCGTTACTGTGCTGGATCTTTTGTGTTTGGACCGTACATCATCTTGGGGCAGTTCATGATGGGGTTATCTTCTCAGAGCGTGTGGATCGAGATTGAGCAAATGGTAGGATCTTTCTAATAACCGGTGCTTTGTTTTGCTCTTATCGTGTCTACCCATACCAATCGTTGAGCTGGATTTATCAAGATATCCATCGTGACTTGACTTGACACTATATTCCCATGCTGCACTGCCTTGAAGATTTACAATTCTCTCGAATAAGCCAAACTGACGTCGCAGCCACGGCAATAACAAACTGAAACACGCCCATCATCTGCCCTTATCTCGCATCAAAGACCGCATATCTCTACTGACTCGTTCCCACCTTGGCCTCCACATAACCCTCCATCTTATGCATGCATCACGTACCATGATTGTCTCTAATCTTCAATGCTCGGATACGTCGTTCCGACGAACCGCCCCGCTTTCTCGCCTCGAGCTTCCTGCATCTGCTTGGTCTTGATTTGGGCTGGTGGATAAGGCGGTAAGTGGAGATGTCATGGGATCAGGCCACCACTTCGGCTGGAAGCCGAGTGGATGGGAAAGTGTATTGCTGCTATACAGTATTCTATATATGAATAGATGTGTACCGAGTATGATAGAGTGTACAAGTTTCTACACTGTGCTTCTTATGCTGCTCCCCTGGATCCTTCCTGAAGCATAGCTATGCTGATCCGATGATGCTCTGTCCCTAAACGCCGTGCTAGAAATGCTATCCGTATCTATATGCCAGATGCTATATGAACATTGAAATTGCAGTAAATGCTCCAATAACTGCGAGGAGAGAAGATGAAGACCGAGCAGCAGCACCGCCTTGCTGATTCTGAGACTGGCCACCACCTACAGATGTTGAACTGGCTCCTCCAGTCTCAGCTGCTGTCCTCGATGCCGAAGGAGACGCAACACCTATTGAAATCACGTCAGCAATTGTCACTGCTATAATCAAAAGTAACGAGTTCAAACGTACCTGTAGAGCTCACGCTCTCCGTCCCCGCAACCAACTGTTGGTCACCCAGAACACCCAAGCCTACCCTACTCTTCTCGAAATCAAAAACACTATACACATTCTTCAGAAACACGTCGCCCACCAGCCACTGCGCGTCCCCAAACGTTTTCCTGCCTACAACATTACTCCTGCACAAAGTAGAATCATCATCCTTGTCTCCCACCCAATCCGCCGTGGAAATATTATAGATGCGATTGTTGAAAGTAAACTGCACCACAGCCTTTGTGTCGCAAGGGACAAAGAACGTCTCACCATCCTGCTCGAAGCCCTCGACCTTGCTATGGATGGCCAGAGCATCAGGTTCAGGAATGAGTATGAAACTCGTTCCTGTATCCATAATCGCCGTCCTGTTGGTACTTCCCGTGCTAAGATTGGCAGAGGAGCCGTCAACACCAGCGTCTTGCAATGGTACCTCCCAGAACCCAGATTCGTTATCCACGCAATCTAGGTAATTCAACTCCCCACTAAATCTCTCTTTGTTCACCTCGCCCAAGTTCAACTCGCCGTCTAGTTTACCGTCGGTGTCTCGGGAGAGGTGGATACCGTACATTTTCGCACCGATGAGGTTCTGCGAAGACAAGATATCCATGATTTGAGGAGTAGCAATTTCATCTGTTGTACTGGCACCTTGTGTGCCGCGGCCGATGCCTAGGATGCCGTCCATGGGATATGCTCGAAACTCGTCGGACACGTTTGTTGCGAGGCCGAAGGTGAGGGAGACGGAGAGGGAGGTGCCGATATGGAGGGTATCGGTTGCTAGATGACCTGAAGAGGTACCTGTGCCATAGGTCACGCTGAAGGGTGTGGTTTCGTCGGTCTAAAGATTGGGTCAGCATTCATCTCCAGGCACTGATAAGAGACCTCTAGGAAGAAACCTTGAAACTTACTTTCAGTGTACTTGAGTCTCCTGTCCCGAATGTAGCATGCGTCTTACACGCTTCGCTCGCACAATCTTGCCCCATGACCCAGGTGTTACTCGCTGCTGAATCGAGCAACATGTGGTATTCGTCCGAGCTGTCACCGAATGTCACGGCCACCATATAGCTAAGATCGCTGCCATCTTGGTCTATGGCTACGCTATTTTCTTGCGTTGGGTTGTTCGAATTGACGATGTTATAGACGTTTTGGCGCGCATGTAGAGGCGTTCGCACGCGACGCAGAGGGACTGTTACGGAACGCGTGTTCTCATCGTGGGAGGGCTGTGGGGAGGTTCGATGCGAGCGGAATGTGGTAGAGGTCTTGCTTGCGGAGTAGTGGTACGGGTAGAAGGCCGTTGCTGTAGGTAAGATTGCTGCTGAGAGCGCGAACCACGTCGGTAGTGAGGTGTGCATTGTGTTGGTGACGTCGATGCCGAAAGTCTGAGCTCCTCAATGCTTTTATTCCTGGAGGTATAAGTCCTCCCACTGGATACTCTTGCAGAGATCGGGTATGAAAGCTGATTACGAGTAATTCTTAAGAGTCGATGTTTGGCGCGTCCCCTTCGTTGTCAGCCTTTGGCGCTTGCAATTCGATCGTCAGGTTCCAATGTAATGAAGCGCAGTAAATGGATAGACAAGAAGAAGAAATAAAGAATATACAGAATCCGCCTCAACGAACAGCACCAAGGTAAGACTTTCGGCTGAAAAGGTAGTCCAAAGCGTAAATGCGGGTGATCGTCCAAGGGTAAACGTGCTGCCCTTCCAACGCCACGGCAATCCCAAGTTATCGTAACAAGAACAACGACGACAACGAAATGGAAGAGAACAAAATGGAGGAAAGAGCGCAGGAACAGAAAAGCCACCAACCCATCCTCTTCCAGCTCGCGCCTCCACCAAGGTAAGCCTCATCCAACATGACGTCCTTGGCTCTCACAAAGGGTAACGATATCGATGCGGAGGACGCGCATAACGGAGTTTAGTGTGGGGCGCTACCGTATTTACCCCTGGGACGAACGTTGTTTGAAACAGCGAGCTCATGTCAGACACGACCAATGACAGCTGCATGATGTTGCAATCTTATCGCATGTGGCATTTTCCCAATCGGGGGATGCTGGGTTCGCACTGTTTGATTTGTTGATGGAGATAGATGATCAGTTTGCAATGGAAGCTGGGCTTGGCTTGGCTTATGCGATGTGCACCTGAATGGGTGGAGCCGACGCGTCTCTCTTGGTAACACAGCATTTTGCTGATGCGTTCGTCTGCAAGAGAAAACATGTTGAATCAGTAGCAATAGTAATTGAGGACATTATGTGATATCATCGTTCTTTCGGGTTCGTTCGTATATTTTTACAGATCGGTCATTTAGAGAACTGACTACTACTGTTTGGCAGCCGCCTGAATCATCTCCGGTGCCTTCTTAACACCCACAATCTTCTTTGCCTCCATGATCTCCAGCTTACTCAGTCCCATACCACCCAGGTACTCATTGAAGCTACCGAGGATCTTCTCAAGGCCTTCTCTGAGACATTCCCGGGCTTCGTCTACTTCGGGAACCTTCTTCCTCTCCGCCTCCGGCTTGTTGAGCGTCTCAATGTCACTTGAATGAATAGGAGCTACTTCCATATACTCATCAATCTTCTTGAGCGCAATAGTGAATACACGTACTATGCTCGGAATCCCTTGATGGAAGCGACCCATACTGTCTTCGGCTAGTGAAAATACGGCAAGGTTTGTCAGAGCAGTTGCGGCATTGCAGACTCGAGAAAGCTGAGAGTAAGGTGCGCCGAGAACAACAATGTTTGCTGTCCGTTGGAAGGAATGTTGGAACAGCACGCCGACTGGGGAAGAGACAAGCTTGTTGTAGTACATCGTGAAGAATGATTCAGCCTCCTTGGCACCATCTTGAGCCTTCTTCACTCCCCTGTTGATAGCTTCACGACTGTATGCTTGCTGTGCGTTCCCAGGGGCGCTATGTGATTTTGCAATGCTGGCTGTTGTTGCCTCGATATGTTCCCATCTAGTGTTCGGTTTTGGTGGGGCAGCAGATATTGGCTTATCGTCCTTGAGCGGTTGTGCAATGCGAGGCACCAAGCTGACAGGTCCGGCTGGCTGGTCCTGGCCAGATCCGCTGCTAGGCTGGTAGGCGGGATCAAGGCCAACGCTGACACGATCGACAAGGAATCTGAGTTCTCCCAGACAGAGATCTGTAACTTGCTGGTGTGTCGGTGCCTTCTTACGTTCCATTTCGCTGTAGATAGTCTTGCGGCGATCAGGGAAGGCGTCCGTTATAAGGGCTAGTTCCCAGAAAGCAATGGCCTGGACGCGTTAGTAATGAACGACCTGATTGAACGGCTTTGTCTTACCCTGACAGTGTCCTTCTTCGACTTGAGTCCATTCAAGAGAGATCCATTGGGATCCGTGGAGTCGTTCGTAATAGGTACATCGTTCTTCAATGGTTCTTGCGCAATGTACACGTCGAAGGTCTTGTTGACAAACTCCCAAATCACGACAAGCAGGGTTCCTTCTGTGATGAACATGAAGCACAGAGGCAGAAACGGTGCGAGCCCGGTCGGCGTGGAAGTCTTGGACAAGCTCCAGAGGTATCGACCAAAGCTGTAATAGTAGCTCCAGATCAGGTTGCGGGTTCCAATAAAGTAGAGGGCGAATCCAACAAGAGCGATGACCGAAGCTAGGGAGCTCGACAGGGTCGCGATGCCCTTGAGCTGTTTGAAAAGGACGTTTCTCGGCTTGGGTGCTCGTCGCGTGGGTGTTGCAGGTGCCGCATCACCCCGCTCCTTCTTGGGCTTCATAGCTTGTACCTCGATCTTGTCATAGTCCCTCCACAAGTGTATTCCAGACTGTGCCGCTGCCAGGACGTAAAAGAGATAACGCAGGTAAAGCGGCCTCTCGTTCAGTCGGAATCGCTCGTGCATACGGCCCGCCTCGATGAAGTTGAGCCTGTCCTTGGTACCCCGCGACCAGATATACGTCTCTACAAACATCATCGCAGAGAAAGAATAGGCGATGAGCGTGACCAGCGTCGCAGGACGGAAGAAGTACTTTGTGAATGTTTCCGCTCGAGTTTGTGTTTGGCGCCGGCCAACATGCCACTGAGCAACGCGAAGGACGTAGATGGTAAGGGCGGAGAGGAAGATTAGGAGGGTTCGAATGCCAGTAAGGCCTAATGGAAACCATAGCCATAGCACTGTATAGAGTCAGTAGATATCTTCAACACGCCTCCAGTGCATCTCACGGTTATTCCATTCTCCCATCCAGCACGCGATCGCATAGCATAGCAACAGCGTATAGCGACTGGCTTTGTTAAATCTTCGGTGCAGCGCTGGCGTCAGGTAGTCCCTGTATGGGCGCACTTGGGTTCCAAGCGGTGCGAGCGCCATGTTTGCGAACGATTTGCGGTGAGAGAGCGTATGAGTGAGGAACTGGCTATATCATAGCAAAGAAGCAAAAAGATGGCGTCGCGCCAATAATCGATCGAACGCGCTGGTACTGTAGTGTGGAGTACCTCAGCAGCAGTGAAGGCGCCCGACTTTGGTTCAAACAAACATTGTTGATCGGCGGAGCTACCACTTCGTCGCCGACAGATGCATGCTTACATAAGGGACACCCGCCTGTGCCTTGTGCCATGTGCCCTTAGCCGCGGTCCTTCGTCATCGCCGCAGGAACCACCGAGCAACCAACCTCCAGGTAACCACGATTGAACCTCTGCACCAGGCTGCAGTAGCTATACACACGATCGCGCAGCTTCACACATCATCCTGATAGTTTTGTTGGAAATAGCCAGTGTCTTGCTCCTTATCCGACAACATGTCGTTCCAACGCTCCAGCGCCCTCGAATCGCAACCCACAACATGGCGAAGGGAAGACGATGCATCTTACGCCGATGACCCAGAGTTCCGCGACTTCGCTGATAAGCTTTCCGATGACCTCTTCGCATTGACTCGTAATGTTGCCCGTCTGTCGCAAGAGACCGCCAAGCTAGGAACCAAGCACGAGACAGCCCGTGTGCGCGAGCGCGTGAAGACCACCGTTGAGGAGACATCGGATAAATTCAAAGAGCTCGGAGAGGGATTGAAGAAGATTACAACCTGGCCTGATGTCGGAGTATGGATGCACAGCTCTTGGGATGGAAGACAGTAGCTAACGGGAAACAGCCATCGCAAAAGTTTACGCAGTCGAAGCTTCAGCGCGAATTCAAAGCCTCGCTCACCGAGTTCCAACACCTACAGAAGCAAGCGCTAGAGAAAGAGAAGCAATCGGCACAAGCGGCACGCACTGCCCTGCAAGACGTATCATCGCCAAGCGAAGAGCGGGGAGGGGAGTTCGGGCAACAACAAGAGCAGGAGCAGCTGCGCTTGGCAAACCAGGATGAGGTCGACTTCCAGGAATCGATGATCATCGAGCGTGAATCCGAGATCCGCAACATCGAGCAGTCAGTTGGCGAGCTGAACGAGCTCTTCCGCGATGTGGCGCATATGGTGCACGAGCAGGGAGCTCAACTCGACATCATCGAAGAGAACGTCGAGACTACTCACGACGCGTCGAGAGGTGCACACGTGAACCTCAAGCAGGCAAGCAACTACCAGAAGAGTGCGAGGAGTAAGGCGTGCATTCTTTTGCTTATCCTCGCTATTGTTTTGGTCATCATCATCCTTGCCGTTGTCCTCGACTAGATGATACTTGCATGCTCTCTTTAATGGCTGCTTCTGTTTGTTTCGGGCGTTGCATTGAATACTTGGGAGGGATCTTATACCATGGCGTGAAGTGCTACGGTTTGTTGCATTGTAAATTCCTGTCGCTTTCGGATCATGTCTTGCCAACTCTATAGTCTGGCTTTTTATCGTGTGTCGTGCGGTGGCTTTTATGTTAGCCAGGTCACATCTAATCTATGTTCACCATCCTCATCTCACCATAGGGCACCCATTCCGGTGCCAGCCTGCTCGCTCTTTCGCCCACGTGCCTTCTCGTCAAAATCCAACCTTGCGGAAAAGGTGCGTTTGTATACTCTCCCTTTCTCTCACCTCTCTTACCTCTCTTACCTCACTCACTGTTACCTCGCTTCTCTACTTGACTTGGTTTGGATTTATGTTTAGCTTCAACTCTACGGACATTAACACCTCTGGTTTCCTTCCACAACTATTTCGCGACAACTCCAGCGCCATATCCAACAACACGAGAACCAGGACCATGACTACACCGCGACCTACGATCGGAAATGGCGACCCGCCTCAACACAGGTAAGGAAGTTTTAGTGACGTAGGGTGGGTCTGACAATGCACCAGTACTGCGGCGCGACGAGATTCTTCCGACAGCATCGTTGTTGAGATTGGTCACGAATGCATGAAATACAACGTCCAAAAGGCATTCTTGACTTACTACTCGGGATACTTCTCCAAGGCACTGAATGGAACCTGGAAAGAAGCGAGAGACAAGGTTGTACGTCTTGCCGACATTGAGCCTGCCATCTTCAACCTATTCATCGAGTGGCTATACACCCAAAACCTGCCCAATCTCACCACTCTCGATGCGAACGAAATTAATGCGTCTAATCAATTGTGGAAGATCAAGCTGTACGCATTCGCCGACCGATTTGCAGTGAGTCGATTGAGAACCGCTCTGAACCTAGAGATTGTGAAGGATGCAGCGCCTCCCCACCTATCGATGTGGACTTATACTGCTATCATCTATGCTTTTGCGAATCTTCCCTCCACAGACCCGCTCCTGGACCTTTTCGTGGATATACACTATATATACTTGAGTGACAAGGTCAACAACCCCGAGGCAAGAGGCTGGTTGGACAGATTGCCACGGGAGTTCCTCTTACGTTTTTTCAAGAAAGTAGGAACGGAAAGACGTTCTCACAGGCAGTTTCGTCTTACAAAGTCTTATGCTATCGATTTCTGCAGCTACCACGAACATACAACAGACCAGCAGAAAAGGGAATGCGCTCACCAAACCAAACCGCAGCCCCAATTGACTTTGCTGAAACGGGGACTTAGGCAGTGAGTGGTCAGAAAGCAAGTAGCTTAGTACGGAGGAGGAGTGGTACTTTCGTCTTAGAAGTTACTCTATGAGGTCTCGGTGAAGTCCATAACTGCTACTTGAACGAGTCTACTCCCTTATCTTTTTGCAGATTATAGCATTGTACACTACATACGGGTATCTACTCAATATTGGCGATTTAGCTAGCCACAGCCGCTCTATGCGCTGTTAATAGGCTCACCCTTCTCATCAATCAAACTGTGCTCAGTCTTGACCGGACCCTCACCAACACCTGTCAAGATAACTCTGCTAACACCCTCTTCCAAGAATGCGATAGCAGGGCCTGCATCGAACTTGACCTTCTCAAGCGAGTCAGCGTTGGCCTGGATAGCCTGGCCCCTCTCGCCCTGCCATCCGTCCTTCTCGTTCAAGATCTGCTTGAACAGACCTGCAACTTCTTTCTCGTTCTCCTCAAGGTAGTATACGACCGCATTTGGGCCTGCATCGAAGGTGTACGCAGCGATGATCTTGCCTGCCGCAGCGTTGATGCTCTCGACAACCTTGATAGCCGCTCGGGAGACATCGTTGAGGTAAAAGATGGGAGGGAAGGTGTCCAGGCATGTGGCGTGGAAAGAGTTGCTGTCCATCATGGTGACCTTGCCGAAGGCCTCAAAGTCCTTGTTCTGGATAGCCTCCTGCATCTCCTTCATGCGTCGAGGCACAGTCTCTGTGGCTCTTGACTGGAAGAGGCTAGATGTAGCGACAGTGGTCTGCATACCAGTGGTGCTGGATACGCCCTTCTTGGCTGCACTGACAACCAAGATGACAGCGCGCATGTTAGGCCAGTGGCTTGCGGGCGCGACCTGGAAAGCAACGCTGTCACTACCATCTGGAGCAGAGCCTTGTTCCCAGCCTACGTATCCACCGAAGAGCGATCGGCATGCTGAGCCTGAGCCCTGCCTTGCGATGCGGGAAAGGTCGGTAGGCGAAGAGGGGAGCTCGTAGAGGTTTGCAATTGCACGGACAAGAGCAGCGAAACCGGCAGCCGAACTAGCCAGTCCAGCAGCGGTAGGGAAGTTGTTCTCGGAAACAATGCGCAGGGGAAGGTCGGCCAATTTCGCTAGGCTTGAGTCCTTCTCCTCAAGCTGTTTCCTCAGCGCCCTAAGCTCCCTGAAGCATGCTTGTGTCCTTGCACCAGAGACATCTTGTGATTGACCGTTGAGGAGAAGCGTGTCCTCTTTCGGGTAGGTAGACGAGCATGAGGCGGTGGTGTGAGTACGGAGATCGGACTGCGCAAGGGTGACGCTGAGGGAAGAGTTGGTGGGGAGGTTGAGCTTGGGGTCGCGCTTTCCCCAGTATTTGATAACAGCAATGTTTACAGGCGCAGTAGTGCTGGCACGATGGATGTCGGACATCTTGAAATTTGGTATACAAGACAGAGGGAAAGAAGCAAATTACAAAGGGTAGCGGTGAAAGTCGGGGGGTTTTGGTGCAGGTGGGGTTTTGTTTATACCGGTATGCAGGGTCTAGTTGGATGCGGTCTAGAAAGCGCGGATCCAAGACAGCGACTTGGGAAAGCGGAACTATCCGTCGCAATGACAATGCTGACAGGTTCAGTCTTGGGAATTGATTACCCGCTATAGAGTTTGTTTCATCTGTAGAAAGACAAGCGTGCTGGACACGTCTGCAGCGGTAAATCGCGATACTCCAGAACCAGCCAATCAGCATTGGACGGTTTCCGCAAAGGCCCGTGCCCAAGATTTCTCGAACTGCTTCCGTCACCATCCCGAGTCTCTCGGAATCTCCAATCCACACATCTCCACCATAATGTCTTCACAAGACGACCCAGCTGCAGCCTGTCCAGTCGACCACAAAACTCGCGAAGCATGGCTCGCCCAAGCCCGCGCCCAAAACGCCAATGCACCCTCAAATCCTCATAGTGCACCCATACCAACACCCACCGCCCCGCCAGCGCCCTCACAATCCGCCGTCCAGCAATCATGCGACTCCTCTTCCCTAGACCAAAGCACAACATCTCCGCCCCCTTCACATGCAAGCATTCTCTCCCAAATACGTCTCGGCACCGACCGTGAAGTCAGCACAATACCACGCGCCCTCCCCGACAACTTCGCTGCGCCAACCACACCCGACGCCCGCCCAGCAAACAACGAGCGGGACACAGGCGCCGATAAGAAAACTGGAAATTGGATCTACCCCTCTGAGCAAATGTTCTTCGACGCCATGCGCCGCAAATCCTACGATCCCTCCGCACCAGACATGCGCACCATAGTCCCCATCCACAACGCCGTCAACGAGCGCGCCTGGCACGAAATCAAGTCTTGGGAAGCGAATCGCGGCGCTGAGAAATGTGGAGGACCTAAGCTCGCTTCCTTTTCTGGGTTAAGCACTAGTTTGACTCCCAGAGCACGATGGAAGAGTCTGATGGGGTACCAGCCGCCGTTTGATAGACACGATTGGGTTGTGGATCGTTGTGGGACAAAGATTGAGTATGTGATTGATTTCTATGCGGGCAGAGATGAGGGAAAGGTGGGGAAAGCGTTGAACTTCTATTTGGATGTTAGACCCAAGCTGAATAGCTGGGAGGGTGTCAAAATGAGGATTGCTAAGTTCTGGGGGTTCTAGGTATAGAGAAGAGAGAAGAAGTGGGCAGTGTAGGATAGGATGTGCGTGTGTATGATTAGTGAATCCGGATCGGAGTATGGTACTGGACGAATATCTTGATGAGTATGAAAAGATGTATATAAGGACGCGGAAAGGGAATAGAGTAACTTCGCTCAAGAAGGGAACATCCTGCGCCTCGACGCGCGGTTGATGCTACCAAACGCCTCTATACGCCATGCGTGCATCTAAGACTAATCGTGTCCCCAAGGCAATTCCCTCAAAAGACCGTTCAAGCCGACCATTCATCAACAAGAAGATACTGTACGTACAGCCAAAACTACAAACAAGTCTACCCATATCAAATGTACCAAAAGTTCCTGGCTTAGTACACTTCCAGCCCCAACTTCCTAAGCTTATTACAATTCTTCAACTCCATGTTCCGCGCCTTGTTCATGGCTTCTTGGTCCACACTGAACCAACCCTGTGCTTCCTCCATCGCTCTCCTCTGCTTGACCCGCTCGTTCTGACACCGCGTGTTGGTAATATGAACGTACTGATTCTCAGCCTGCTCATCCAGTTTCCGCCACTTCTTTGGTGTGTAATCGTGAACGTCCTTGGGGTCGACAAAGTAGTCGATCTTTATCCGCGTAGATACGCGCTTCAATGTGTTGGGGGAGCGGGGGGTTTCAAAGACGACGCTGGGGCCTGCGGATGTGCTACTTGAGCCGGAGAAGAGAGAGGAGAGGAGGGGTAGGACGAAGAGGAAAAGGAGAGGAAGGAGATTCGCAAAGGCTGAGGAGACGTTTTGTTGGCCTTCGGAGCCGGGGGGTACAGCGGTGCCGGGACGTCTGCGTGGTCGGCCGCCGCCGAATTGGTGAACGCGGACGCCAGGGCCGCCGCCTAGATTGAAGACAAAGCCTGGTCCTGTGTCCATGCCGCCTATGGGATGTTAGTCTATTGTTGAACGGTTCCACTTATCACCAGCACCGGAATCTGGTTGAATGAGTGAATACATACCAAAAGGCCCTCCGAAAGCACCGCCAAAGAACTGTCTAAACAACTCTTCGGGAGTCATTTCCTCCTCAAATCCTCCTCTTCTCGCGAACCCATTTCCGAATGGACTCGCACCACCTCCACCATGCGCACTAGCATGCGCTCTAGGATCGAACCTCGCATCAGGGTCCCCACCAAATTGATCATACTTCTTCTTCTTATCCGGATCGCTCAACACCTGGAACGCCTTGCTGACCAGCTTGAACGCATCATCCGCGCCATCGTACCCATTCTTGTCCGGATGCGTAAGCAGCGAGAGCTTGCGGTATGCCTTTTTAATATCCGAGTCTGAACAGGTGGATTTGACTTCTTCGAGACCGAGGATCTTGTAGTAGGCGGTTGGCGCACACGATTTGATGCGTATTACGGCGGCTTTCTGCTCCACGGTAAAGGCTCGGCCTGCGCTGCCGTCGTGGTGATCGCGCGATTTGGCGTCGGAGCCAGAGGTTTTGCCGGACATTGTTTGGCGGACGAGTTTATGTGTGTGGGGTATTGGTGTTTACGGGATGGGAGATTATGCTGCCGGGCGGGCAGCGGTGTCGAAGGAAGGCCGATGCACAAGTGTGGGCTGTCGGTAGCGTTACAACGACGATTGCGACGTGTAAGTGCGTTGGATACGATGTCGTCCAGAAGACACGGTTGTGGTTGTATTAGTCGTGATAGGCGTGTTATCTGCCTCTGTTGAAGTTCGCGAGTTCCGAAGGCCAGTTTCCAGGTGCTGGGTTGGCACGGGCTGACGGTCCACTTGCCGGACTAACGTCATTCAACTTCACCCAATCTCAACCCATGTACCCTCCAGCGACTGTTCTTCCGGCACCAAATTCGTTCACACAGCCATAAACTCTTCCGCGAACGCTGAGAAGACATACGAGTGTCACGATGACTGAACAACCGAAGCAGTCCGTGCTCCAATCGCTGAGGAATTGGGGAGGTACGTTCACATGTCACTTCCTGGTTCATCTCGTTACTCACGTGTTTCATTTTGACCTTGATATTCCGATACAAAATCGCTAACCTTACTGTTCCCTTGTAGAGAACTCTGTACCACCTACACTCCTGGCCACCTTGATCACAGCCCAACATGCGCGTCCTTTCCAGTTTTTCCCCATGACGTTTACGCCCGTCCTGCTCTTTTCCTCTTACCTGAATCTGAGCAACTACAAAACCGACGCTGCCGGTATCACGGCTGCATGGAGTGGTCTCTATGCATTGCTGGCCATGCGGAGAAGTCAGGTATGCTTGCATTGCTCTACCAAACACAATACTTAGACAGTGGCAAAAGCTAATCGAATACTAGGGTATCAAGAACAAGCTTAGTGCTCGCGGCATAGTAAGAGGAGGATCACTTGCTCTTTGTGCAATCAATGTCGCAGGTTGTGGATTAGCCTACACATTCGGCAAGCGAGAAAAAGAGGAGAAGAAGGCGTAGAAATCGAAGACGCTATCATGTGTAACATTATGTATCCCTAAGATTGTATGCTCTAAAACTTTCCGTCTGGTCTGATTGAAACTCACCAGGTGTAAACCATCGCAAGGACGCCGTCGCTATGCTGAACAATCGGCATCATTTGCAAGACACCATACCACTACCAGGCATCACCCCAGCCTTCTTCTTCGTCTTCATTGGCTTTCGGTTCTTCTTTCTTGACCTCTTTTTTTGGCGGCACGATGACTTTCCTCGTTGTTCCTGTTGTGCTCGATCTGCTTCCAACCGCCGGCCTCGCTGTCTTTGCCACTGGCGTTGCTGATTTAGTAAGACCCTTCGGAAGAGCATTCTTCGTTGGCTTCTTCGCATTGGATTGTGCTGCTAACCAACCAGCAAAGTCTGGTTCGCCTTTGTCGTCATATGACGTCGAAGATGCTGGCTTCGACACGGCTGGTGTGCCCCATGGATCCTCTTCCTCATGTGGTTTGTCCTCTTCATCAGCAAAGCCGCCCCAGTCATTGTTGAAATCCTCTGCCTCGTCATCAAAGGCCGCTGCTGGGTCTGGTGACTTTATGAGAGGAATAGATGCAGTACTCTTGGCGCTATGAAGGGGCATCCCTGGCTTTGTCGACATTGGAACTGGCGGTTTGTTGGTCGTAGTAACAGCTGGCGGTACTGAAGACGATCTTTGATCCACTCCTCCGTTGGTTGTTGAGCTGGCTTGCATCTCGCCAGCTGTAGATGCTAGCTTATTGGTGAAGCTTGATATAGCCCAACCAGTCCACGAGGTACCATTGGCAGGGGTCCCTATGCGTGGAGTGGATTCTCCACCAGACGCGAGGCCTGGTGGTGGGAGTACCGTATCCGGCATTGTGGCAGCAAATTTGCGGATACGTGCGATATAGATGTCAACACTCTTTTGCGCTTGATCACGAATGAGCTTCTCCTTGTCCACCAGTGACGGACACATGATGGGAAGGAGTTTGGTCGCGCAATCATCCTCGCTAAAGAGATCGGCTGTTGCGGCCAGTGCCAGGAGGGCAGCATTCCGAGCGTGCACAAATGGATCACGTAGCGAGCGAGAGAATGCAGCAGCAAGGACCTTGGCTCGACTCTGTGCGTACGTCAGTATCTGCTCTGTATCTCGAACATATCGGAACGTACACTGGCTCCCAAATTGCGCGCGATCTTGCCTAGACAAATTGTGGTGTTCGTCCGAATGCCAGGCTGCTCGTCGTTCGCGGTTTTTGCCAGATGGCGAAGAAGCTCACCATTCACTACCCGGTCCGACAGCTTGGGTACTACCGTAAGGATAGCCTTTACGGTCTGTTCCCTAACAACAGGCGCAATATCTGAAAAGCCAGTCACCTGGTGGGGTTAGCATATGGGTAGTGATACCTAAATGGTGCTTACCATCTGTGGGAAGATCTTGTCGTTGACAAGCTTCTGGGGTAAGTGGTCAATCATGAGCGGCAGGTTGTCCAGCAAGCAGACGCGTATTGCTCGGTCTGGATTTCCGAAGAGTCGCACCACAACTGGCGTAATCTGAGTCTCGTACTCGTCATCTGACAGCTTCTGCCCTATCTGCATGACAGTGCCGAAGACTTTAGCGCCTCCGCCTCCGAACTCAACTGACTTGAGTAGCTCGGGAAGAACCTTCATCTTGAAGAAGTCTGTAGGGAAGTCATCTGCGACCGCGTCAAGCTTTCCAAGCAACTCGTTTCGCTCATCCTCTGCTTTCAGTCCCAGGTTCTCAATATCGTCCGTGACTTGAATCAAAGGCGTCTGGAAGAAGCCTCCTATGCGCTTTCCCTGGTCCAAGAACTGGCCCACGCTCATGCGTGACTTTGGATTCGGGTTGAGAAGGCGTTTGTATGACTGGTGCATGGTTGGGGGAATGCTCTTCATTTGCCCTAACTGCTCGCTGCTGTTGTAGCTGCCGTTGAAGACCTCGAAGATGAGAACACCAAAGTTGTATGCATCTACCGCATGTGTCGGGTTCTGTTTAACAACCTCCCATCCTCCTTTCGAAACCTCAGGCGCCATGTACCGTCCTGCATCTGGTATGAGACCACCATAGGTCGGTAGTATTGAATCATCCTCCTTCACGGAGCTCAGCGCATCGAAGCCGCCAAGTTTCCACTCGCCACTTTCGCTGAAGAATACCGATGCCGGACGGATGCAGCCATGTATGGACGCAGCGTCTGCATTTACGAACTTGAGCGTCTTCGCGATGTTGTGTAGCCCCCATTTAGTGGTTTCTTCCGTCAGGCTCTTTCTCTTGACATGCCAGCTCAGTGGGCTGAGTCGCTCAGTCGCAATGTAGATATAAGTCTCCGTCTCTACTGTGTCTAGGACTTTCACAACCCCTGGATGACGCAGCGTTCGTAGCTTGCGCAGCGCATTGCGAGCGAGGGGTAATCGCGATTTGTTGGCGGTTATATCGAAGGAGAAAATGCTACATTTAGAGCCGTCTTCCTAGCAAGTGAGTGTTAGCAAGCGATTAGGCATGTGCAGACTTCCGGGCCATACTCGCTTTGTGCCGTTGTGCAGTGTCCAGATGGAGTCGTTCAAGTCGACCCGATCACCAAACGTGTAACCAAATGCAGGGCCTTTTGATATCGCAGACGCAACCGCCGACTTTAGAAAATCCATGACGGCAGCTTAGAGTTATGCGCTGCAATAAAGTTGGTGAGTCTCAACAGCGAGCACATGCGAGTGCACTTACCCGTAGAGGCCAGATGCGCCTGCCCCACCGGATCATCGGCACGTGATAGCGCGACGAACCTCCAAAGCTAAACCTGGATTCTTTCTTGCCATCAGTACCACACCAACCGCCCATCTGTGCATTGCCGCATTCGCCGTCAGCCTCGCCTTCTCCTCTCATTTGGACGTATGGTACACTACAAAGTCCGCATGGCTGGACGCAGGCCACTCTCACTTCGTCTTTCCCCTTATGCTACGCGCAATCGGCATCTCGTTCTAGACGCGTCTTGTGGGACTAAGCTCACTCTCTTCAGTATCGAGTTAGCGGACTGAACCACAACAAGTAAGTTGCAATATACTAACACTTAACCCGTATCCTTTATTTCATGATGACTACTGGTAAAAGGTTAGATTGCATAGCATTGTGATGGTTCTCCTTTGATCCTACTGCGTGTCCTGGCACGTCGCGGAGTTACTACTTGCACGCGCCTGCCAGCCGAAGAAGCAAAGCGGAAGCCTCCAGTGCTGCGAAATGCTGCCGTATAACAACAAACTGAAAAGAGCTGATTCATCTCCTTCATCACCACTTGACTTACTCGAAAACAACTATGAAGCATGCGCTGACACGCACGTACTATTCCAGGTGTCACCTCTTCCTTCCATACAGCATTCCAGATGAACGACCATGACAGCAAACGACGGGCACCCTTTCATAGTCATGGGAAGTTGCCACATCATGGTCGGCCCAATGTTAGTATCAAGAAAGCCCCCGAAAAGCCTCGTAATGTGCGCGAGAGCCATGTGCAACCACGCCAGAAGGGTTCGATATCACCGCCTCCACTGAAGCGTCAACGTACAACATACGACAAGTTCAACTTGGAGACACGTGACCCACTTTCCACAAATCGAAAAGCACATCTGCCAATTAGCTCTAATGCACTCAAGCACAGGTATGGTGAGGTTCAAAGTAATGTTTGGCCACGCTGACATGTGCCTCTAGCTTCAGCGAACACACCGAAACTGCCTCTGTCGCATCAAGTAAGCGAAATCCAGATACGGTTTCGGTATCAAAGTCATTCCCAGCACCACCTGCTCCACATAGGCATGATAATCGAAATACCCACCAAAATTCAGGAAGTAACCTTACATCTCGTGAGAGAAAACCTTCAAAAACAGGCACATTGGGTAAATCTGCATGTCGGATTTGCGAGAAGAGTAGTGCCACGAGTTTCAACCCAATTGTTTCGTGTTCAGAATGCTCCAGAACTTACCATGATAGCTGTCGAAAGCCTCCACTCTCTTCTGGAATCGATCCGTAAGGCACGAGTACGATCACCATTGGTAGAGGCTGACAATGACAGGCAAAACTGGAGATGTTCCTTGTGTTTGAGCGATAGTAGAGCGCGCAAGAATCTCAGCCTATTTTCGGTACCGGCGTCGACCAGCCACTCTATAGTGAGAGACATATTCAAGCCAAGATATGCTCAACCAGCTCCACGTACTGCGTCGTCAAATCGTCTTCTCGAGAACAAGTCCGACACGCATGTTGAACCTGAGCCTGCTCGACTTACTACAAAAGCCACCACTGCTGGCAAACTTATCAAACCTAAGAAGGCCCCTGGTCCCTCTCAACCGCCTGTACCAGAGCCGATCAAGCGTACGGAGATCCCCAACACACCATCACAAGGCTCAAGTCAGACTGACAGCTCCATACCTGAGAAATCATTCAGACACCTTCGCAGAGATCAGATCTCCCAACAATCCCTTCATACGCAAGATGATGAAAATGCCTTGCCCCTGGACACCTCGGTTCACGTCGTAATGTCCACTCCTTCAATATCTTTTTGTTCGACTTGTCAAAAACAGGGTGATTTGGCCAAGTCTGCGGAGATTGGTGTTCAATGTTCTAGCTGTCGAATCAGCACACGCTTCGCTGAGACAGGAAGGTTAGAGATACCCGAGACTCCGGACACCAACACTATTCGTAAGCCATCACTCTTGCCATCGAGCTCGGCAAGTTCGACTGCTCATATTGCAGCTCCGACCGTGGATGATCCTGTATCGAGTATGGCTTCTTCAGTACAAAACTCAGCCAGATTAGAAGCCGAGCCTGACTTGCCAACGGTCAAGGAGAACCCTTTGTCCTGGTTCGATCCAGAACAAGTGAACATCTTACCGGAAGTCAAGAAGGTTCGTGATAACGAACTGTCCTGTAAATCTGCCGCAGACATCCAAGCTACGGATACCGCATTCACATCTCATGAGACCTCTCTCGAGCAAAGCACGCGCATGGAAATGCGCCCAACTGCTGATATCAGTGAACAGAAGATTGCTCTAGAAGTGGAGCAGGTATTGCAAATGGATCAAGTTTGCGACAACGATCCATTGCCGCAAGTCGATATGCAACGTGAGAACTGTACTCCATCTACTGATAATTCGAATCATGATGAACGCTCGAGGACCCATGAGCCTGACACCGCCAATGACACTTCACCCGGCAAATCAGATATACTGGGAGACAGTGAACCTCGAAAGCCAGCAGCCGTTATCGTTGGGCCTCTCGAATTGAGCTCAGGTTTTATACCCCAGCAACCTTGTGCTGAACGTACGACGGATCGAGTTGTTCCTATATTATCTGCAGAAGAGCAAGCACCAACAGTCTTAGAGTCGAGAGGAACGACTGAAGGTGTCCCAGTTCCCCCGGTCCTAAGCGTCTCAGTGAGCCCGACTCCGGCAAGCACAGGTTCGCTGACACTTAACGAACGTCTCAACAATCGCGATTTGGCCAGGATAGCACTGGTATGTGCGAAGGGCACAGGTTTGACTGCCTTGCAGGTCATCGACTGGTTGGCTTCAGAATTTCCTCACTTGCAAAAGGGTCAGGGTGGTTGGGAGAAGACTATCAAGTCTGTGCTTTCTCTTCTACCTGAAATCCATGGCGTGAGGTCTCCGCGCCAACCAGTTTTGTACAGCTTCGCCAGTGCAGCTCTTAGAGCAAAGTACGAGAAGCAATATCGAGGCTACCTTCAACCGATCCTAGTATCAGGATCTCAGGGTAGTAAATATAAGGCCAGAAAGAGTGTACGACAACAGCATGGAACAGATGCTGTTAGCCAACAGCAGCATATCCAGATTAGACCACCTGCTCAGACCGAGAGAACTGCTTCAAAAGCTATCAAGAGTGCACCAAGTCGCCGAAATATTACGGCCCACGACTCTACTCTACTACCTCTGGCTCTTGAGGGAACACTTTCCCATGACCCTGTTTCAGCGCCTGCGACCGAGCCTGCTGAAATTGACACGTCAGCAGCCAATCTCTACAGCGAAAAGCCACCATCAGCCCCGCCGGTCTTCAGACCCAGGGTTCAGGATGCCGACGCAGACAAAGTGAAGATTACTTCAAATTATGACGACTTGTTTCACCCATTCGAGCGCATTGTTGCGTCTCGTCCGAATATTACGCTTTCTGATAATTTGGAGACTAAACGTGGAACGAGCTTACGCAGTATCTATCCGCGCAGTCTAACGCCTACAATTGAGACCATGACCGCCGAAGAAAAAGCTGCAAAGATTGCAGAGATTAAAACGAGGCCGAAACGGAAACAGTTCTTCGGCTCAGTCCATCGTCTGGCACACGTGCGAAGATATGGGCGGCAGGATATTCATGACCAGAGTGACGGGGCATGGAAGCCCAACTCCATGACAGGGAGGTCGATGGGTGAACAGGATTCCGCCGCAATGAACGAATGTGGTGAGAACCGATCTTTGTTACAGGTCTTTAATCTGCCGAGTAATGCTATCCCTATGAACGACGGCAAGGAGCTGGCTTTCCGAGACGGCACATTGGTGAATGGCCGACTGCCTCGGCCGCGGCAAGTATATCGAGTTGGCAAAGCGTTTGGAAGCGAACTTACGATCAGATGAGCGGAGTTCTTCGGGGTTGCAAGGTTGTTTTTTCGATGTTTTGTAGCACTATACCCCATCGTACATGAATTACGACATGACAATGTTATAACGTTCGCTGACTGGGCCTTAAGTAATGCTTTTGCACTTCGAATTGATTAGCAGACAAATGTCCGAGCCTTCTTAAGGACTCTGGAAGCCGATCATGGTTTGATCAAGATTGAACGGGTGGAGTAATCTTCGATTAAAGTTCCGTCGCTGACAGACCCTCACCAGCTGTCCTCGCTTGGCGCCCTGTGTACCCGCCAGTTTCGCGCCTTCCATCTCCACTGCAGGCACCCCAAAACAAAGACTTCCAGACTGTGGCGCCTTGCATTGGAGGACTGCGATGCTAACGACTGAAGACCCGCTCGTATCTTGCCGCCCGTAGATCGTGCGGCCCACGTTGTGCGGATGTTTCTAGGCCTGAAACACGACCCTTGCGGCTACGCGGGCGCGTTTCAAGGCCTCAACACCAATCATTACGCGACTGCCACATCTCGACCAAACCTCGCCTCACCGGCTGGATGCCAAAACCCCACGTCGACCCTGTACCTTGCTCTGCGACAATTTCGCTGCCGAACTCACCAGCTGAGAGATGATTGACTGGGCCGCTCTGGTTCTGCACATCCCGCCGGATCTAGCGGGGAGCGTTTCACATGCGCCGGTAGTACTGGCGCGACTACCGTTACTGGAGTCATTTGGGCCACTCGTAGGTGAGGCGACGAGACTACCCAGCGCGAGGGGCCTTATTTTAGCTATTGTAAGGTTCGCGACAATGACAGGTCACGCTAGCGGCGAGTTTTGTCCTGAGGTTTCCTCCTTCACTTCGGATTTTGCTTCTCATCCTTCATCTTCAGTCTCTATTGTTCGTTATTATTGCCGTTGTTGAAGGCGTGCTGCCTTGACGGCGTGGGACACTCCCTCTACTTTATCTTCGTAAACTTAACTTCTTCAATCCATACACTCTCTTTCTCCATCCTACGCTTGACGCGCTTCTCTTGACTGCTGGACAGACCAACTGCATCTTTCTACAAATCCGAGCTCTTCAACATCCTACGATTCTCTCTGCACAATCGAAATGGCGCTCCTTTCAGCCGAACATCTGGCTGGTCCAGGCTACATTATCCTTAACGTCTTGCGAGGTCTGAACATTATTGCCCTCGCTTCAGTGGTCGCTAGCAGCGTAGTCATGCTGGTGAAGACGTTCATCATCTCCAAGGTACATTCAAGAGCCGGCTCCAGAGATTCGCAGAAGCTTACATATAGCAGTTTTTCTTCTTCGACGCTACAAGCCATGTCATTACTGCGATTGCTGGAATATTCTTCATCGTCTCAGAATGCTCATTGTTCCGCAACTTCTACGCCCGCAACTGGCCGCTGCTCAGTCCATCTCATGGCTTTGTCACTTTGGGTTGTGCGATGATGGTAGTCGGACTCAACATGCTCGGTAACATGAACAAGGAGGCCACGAGCCAGAAGTCGCTCACTCTGCCTTTCTGGCGCCTGCTTGTTGCTTCGGGTATCCTAGCCATTGTCATTGGCTTCTTCAACGTCGTCGCCAGTTTCGTCTTCCGCGATAAGTCCCGAAGGATCACTGCTCGCATGGTACGCTCGAGAGGAGCCATGACGCTTCACGAGGACATCGAGACCCAATCTCAGTACGATCCCAAACACAAGGCCTTCACTATCAGCACCCACCACACTGGAAGCACCTCCTCTCGCACCAACGTCCACGGCGGCACACCACCCATGCGAATGGGTACCCCACCAGTTGACTGTGGCTCACCTCAAGTCGCTTCTCCTAACAAAGAAGACCCCAACCGCCTCTCCCAATTCGACTTCAGCCCCCTCCGCGCTTTCCGAACAGCTCGCCAATCCTTCCTACCCTCCTACCACAGTCAGTCCCCTGCTAAACCCAGCTTCTTCTCGCATCGCCCATCAAGCTCCATCTACTCGCGTACCACATCCGGCGAGCCGGCCAGGAAGAAGTTCTGGCAGCGACAGCGCGAGGAGCAAGAGGAAGAGACGGCACGCATGCCTGAGATTAGTTACCCTTTGAACGTCAACCCACAATTTGCACACCTTGTCAAGCCAAACCTTGCGCATCACCCTAGCGTGAGGAGGCCTGAGGCAGACTATGACAAGATCTAGATGGACCTGTCGAGCCATGGGGGTGAGCAGAGCAGTTGACGGCGGAGTACGATTACTATGATACCACTTTCTTTTTCCTTGTCTGTTGCATCAGCATATTGCTACATACGGCATTGGCGTTTACACATTGGGACCACAATCATATACGCTCCAGAGTGACTAAATCTGTCGAGCGAGCTGTCCTTCACTGGAAGCGCTACTTTCTTTTCGGTTTTCTTTTTCCTACTGTTACTACATATACACCTTTAGCAATGTCTAGTGTTGCCATCTATGACTTGGTTCTCATTGCCTTGTGGTGGCGTGTGATGCGCGTATATACTTACATATGTTACACAGCGATAAGATCGGCTGAATCTTCTTCACTTGCTGCCCTGCCGAAGTCTCTGCTAATGGCTAGAAGATGCTGAGCCGCCAGCTCTTACTTCCATGATCTCTCGAGTATTCTCATACTTTCCAGACCAGTCCTGCCACTCTCCTCAAAACAGCCACAACATTTCTTTAATCCATCTACCGCCCTATTCCTCCACAGCGATGGCCTGGAACGGATCAATAGCATTTCCCTCCGGATCATAAAGCTCCATCTTCGTTCCATCTTCCATGGTCAAACTATACTCCTGCGTATAGTACAACCCACCCCGGCCCCTCCTCCTACACCTGAGCTTAACCTCTCCCGCCCTCTTTGTCCCCTTGACCCAGAAGCTAACATCAATGCGCCCATGAAGCTGGTTGATTTCGCCCTTGATCCAAGGATATTTACTCGCAAAGTAGATCTCGTCGCCGAGTTGTTCGCGGACCATGGGGTTTGTGCGCAGCGCGTAAAGGGTTGCGGTTACGACGGAGGATTCTTGCTTTTGGTAGTTGAAGAAGGCGAAGAGGGAGATTGTCATGGCGATTATGAAGATGGGGAGGGTTTTTAGGACTTGCGGGGAGATTAAAGGTGGTACTCTAGAGGTTGTTGTTAGTATGTTCACATCGAGATGGCAGGCAGGTTCGTGGCAGAAGGTTTGAGCGGACGTACGGTGGTAATGCGCGGTTTGGTCGGCGCTCCAGTAGTACCTCGCCATCTTTGGGTGGGGGGATGAGATTTTCGGGCGACCACACACTGGTGGGTGTTTTCCAGGGCACGACGGGTTTTATGTCGTTTTGTGATGGTGTGGTTGATGCGCGGCGGAAAGGTGCTATGCGGCGGAGACTTTGGTAACTTGCTTGCGGCCGCGCTCGGAGTAATGCCGGAGAGAGCCGTGGAGGAGGCATTGTGTTGTTGTGGAATCGCGATTCGGTGGGTTTGGAGATGGGTGTATGAGATCAGTCGACACGCCGGTGGTGATGTTTGCATGGTTTGCATATCGGCGCTAGCGGGGTTGGTTCGGCGGGACTTGCTTCACCTCACTTCAACTTCATCTCCATCACCATATTCGGTAACATATGTTAGTCTATGCACTGAATTGCGGTAGATGACATGTTCTGGCTTGTCGAGCCCTTCATCCAATGAACTTTCCAACTAGACTTCTGCGCATACGAACGTGTCAATCACGAGCCTTCCGATAGTCTGATCATTCAATCACAAAGATGTTCGTTTTCTACGCTGAAGTACTCATGAGAGGAGTTTGCAGCTTTTAATTCGTTGTATTATTCACCCAAAAACGTTGTGAATGTCTTTGGGGTTAGGTTTCAGTTGCTGGATCTTCAGACATATCAGTTGCCTCATAGACTGAAAATCAGGTGAGATGTATACTGATTCGCTGTTGTGCTGCCTGTTGCCGAATTTCAAGTAATGTCATATCCGAGGGGAACCCGTAAGTATGCCGATCGAGCCTTTCTCGTTGCCGTCTTCTCTCAAGCTCTTCTGAAAAAAAAATGTTATTCCAATCTGTATACGTCTCCATTATATGGTCCATAGATCATTTGACTATTGTTCAATCGGCGAGGGAACACACGGCAGCCTCTGGATTACTTTTCCATCCATCATATTGTTGTTTGCTCTCTCAGCTGAGCAGTGCGGGCGTCGCTGCCCTCTGCTTCAACCAGTCACACGAGAGCGCGTCACTAGCGGCAACGCCAATTGTTGCCCTTTCCGCATACGGTGTTTGTATACACTTTAAATTCAATCCATTTCTCTTTCAGATACAATTATTGCACCGGAAAGTCGCCCACCATGCCAGGATTGACTGTCCGCAGAGGACAAGCTGTATCGCTGGTTCAAGATCAAGATATCGTGCTCACAACCGAGCCTGGTTTGGTATGCCACTTCCACCTGCGTGTTTCATCGACTAATAACATTACTTGCAGTCCGATTTGACCATCACTATCATCGGCGCCGTTGGGGACGATGGCGTCAAGCACGTTACGGATCTACTTGTCGCCTCAGACATCTGCAAAAAGTCACCCTATTTGAGGGCGCTTCTTGACGGTAGCGACGACAAGTCGGAGCTAATCTTTGGCGGAGATGCCACATCCAAACACGATGTGGAAAACAAAGAGGCTGCCATAGTATGGCTTGCGAATCTTCACGAGCTTCCAGAGCAGCGTTTAGACGAATTGCGTCTCTTTGACGTTTCACTCATAGGCGTCTGGGAAGTCATTGAGCTGTGGGACTCCCACCATGACGGCGACATCAAGGAACAGTTAGGTGATTGGTTCAACAAGTGGTATGAGAGGAACATGGTCAAGGCCAACTTGACTGTGCCGATTGCTCAAGCTCTTGCATACCCATGCTACATGTTCAACCATGCTATCGGCTATGCACGTGTCACCAAATACCTCGCCTACGAGCACATCGGACACGTCAAGGAGCGCCCACCCAAGGGTTTCAAGGGTCCTAAGCACCTTCATATTAACGAGCGGATGTTCATCGGTAAGTCCTTCTCATCTTTCGATCCTGGTTTCTCTCTTGTTCATCGTCCCTCTTCCATTTTTAAAAAAGGCATAAGCCGGGAAACGTTGAATACCAATATCAACGAATAGGTCCTTTGAATCATGCCCGTGGAGGTCTGCGTAACTCCCTACACAAGTCACTGTACTCCCGCGTTGGTAGGATCCTTCGCTCTGATTCTTCGCTATGTTCCTGCTGGGACGCTACGATCGGTCGCTACCAGCTTGCCCTCACCAAGTGCGATGCGTGGCCAGTCGACGACGTCCTCAACTACTCCAGCATCGGCCAAGTCGTGCGTCGCCTCAAGGCCTTCGATTACGCGTATACTCCAAAATGCAATCGCTGCCGTAGCATCGACTGGGAGACCATCGTTCTCAAGGCTATTTCTAACACACTTGGATACTTCAACGGCATGTGCCTTGACTGTATGCATCGCAGCAAGCCTCGTGGAGACAGCTTGGACGAGGAGTATGAGACGCACAATCAGCCTGTGGGAGGTCGCTGGGACACGCAGTGCCGCATCAAGCATGGACAGCCTACGTGGTATATCTCATGGCTTGGCAGCCCGGACATGCGCGAGAAGATTCTCCGCGGTCCTGACGGCTACCGCGCACCTGAGGAGTGAGTGTCTCAAGACGGACAGGTACAGCAGAGCATCCAAACGACAACTTGTTGACTTGCCTATCTGGATCTGCTCGGATGAGACTTATGGGGTAGTTGGGAGAAAGACTATGCAGCCTCTTTGGCATGTATCAAGCCGAGTGGGTAGTCCTTACTGTACCTAACGATCACAGAATACAATGTGCAGTATTTAGTGCATTGAAATCAAATTCAGGAGGACAATATGAACTTCATGTGATTCATTAAATACTAAACGCTCACAACATCGGGTATCTCCAGGCCTATCGTACACTTATCGTAGCGCTAATAACAAAGGAAACGGTCTCATTACTCCAGTCCAATATGCTTAGTACACACGGCGGGCGTTCCGGCCGTCAGTGCCATGCATGCGGCGAGTGCCAGCAGCCTATGTATTGTTAGTAAAGCACAGTGTATTATGAATGACAGTTGCTTACCTTGAGACCGGGTCTGCGCGTCAAAGAACCCCGTAGCTTCATCAACGCTCCACTGACTTTGTCACCCATAGTGGCATGGCGCTTATGGTGATGGACGGGAGCGGCAGTAGTAGCGTGACCGTGATGACCACCAGTGCGAGTCGTCCTGGTGGTTGTAGTAGTGGTAACGGTGGTGCCGCCTGTGCGCTTAGTGTGTGTACGACGGTTTCCACCAAGAAGGCGGGTCTTGAGGGAAGGGCGCGCTGCACGTGTAGTGCGTGGTGAGGTGCGCACGGCAGTGCGGGGAGCGTGGCGGCGGGCGAGAGGCATGATTGCTTAAGTTGGTTTTGGTAGGATTAGGTTGATTGAGGTATTGATGAGTTGGTTGTAGGGTTGAATGTTCTGAGGATCGATTGCTTGTGATTGATAGTTGGTGTTGATATGTGAATTCACAAAGCGTGCTATAGCTTCCATCTTATACTTCAAGGCACAATGCCTAGTCCTTTCGATCTGATCCTCTCCAAGTCCCTGAAATCAAGTTCTACCTTGCCCAGCACCCTGTATAGGGCTGCGATCGACTATCTAACGTCATGCAGGGACCCGTGCAAGATTGTACCCTGACGCATGAGTCGTGGCGCATGACGTGCCCTAACATTCTCTAACGGCTTTGGTGTGGCTCACTCAATGTAAGAGCGAGTTACGATGGCCGTTGGTGCTAGGGTCTTAGGATCGAAGTGAAAGGGCGAGGCTGGATGCGGTCATAGCGCGTTGTGTCTGGACCCTGATTTTAGCGCAGGGATACGTCATACCTCTGAATAGCTTGATGAGCGTCATCGCAGGATTGTGAGGATTGCAACAACAGCGCCAAGGGGCTGGTGGAGATGAAATCTGACGAGAATGGAATGCTGAATTCATTAACATTGGTTCTGGCCCTTCCGAACGATGTGAAGTTGGTGGAGGTGTTGTAGGTCTGATCAACTCGATGACGTCGCGACCGAGAAGCTTGGTGGGGTTGCTACAGAAGTTGCCCCGAGTAACTTTCGTAAGTAATCCGAGATGTAGCCTCAATCTTCGTCTCAGCTCAAGCTGCTTGTACACTCAAAAGGATATATGTGTCGATCGCAAGGCCGTGCGAAAGAGCGTGTTGAGGCTACGGGTAAGGCTGAAGCGACGTTAGCCGTTCCCACCAGTTCGTGCCAGCATCGATACATCGACCGATGCTATTCTATCGTCGATGGATAACTTAGCACCGCATTCTCTGATGTTCCGCCTAACTCTCCTACCACACCGGGCTCCACTCTCGCACATGAGCGTGCCGTGACAGCCTTGTGATGTCACAAGAAATCATGAACGTCAATAAAAGTTCCACCTCGAGCCACGATGGCCAGGACAACTTCACCAACTCTACCTTAAACCACACAATTGTGCTCAATCTCTCTGTCTTACAAACTCTTTACTGATCCCGAGATACCCGTACAACAATCACGCATCATGTCTTCTAGCAAGGGCCAGTTCGAGCAGGGTAAATACACACCAAGTTTCTTTCCATGTGTTCCTGCTAATCCAATGTGACAGGCTTCCAGCCCGATGTTCAGCATCAGAAGGCCCCCGGTCTCGAGTCCAAGCTCGACCCTCTCCCCAAGGTCGATGAGCTTCCCACACCCGAGGGGGGTGCTGAGAAGTACAAGGCTGCTGGCAAGCTCAAGGGTAAGCGCGCCATCATCACCGGTGGAGACTCCGGTATTGGTCGCTCGATCGCTGTTCTCTTCGCCATGGAGGGCGCCGACAGCTTCATCGCCTACCTCCCCGAAGAGGAGCAGGACGCACAAGATACCAAGAAGATGGTTGAGGAGAAGGGACAGAAGTGCTATACTCTCGCACTCAACCTGAAAGAGAAGGCGAACTGCCAGAAGGTCATCGATGAGGCCGTCAAGCAGATGGGTGGCATTGACATCCTGGTCAACAACCACGCTTACCAGATGATGGTAAACGACATCTCCGACCTGTCTGAGTACGTATCAACCCCTTGCTTCATCTAAGAAATTTTCTGACAACACATAGGGAGCAATGGCTGCACACATTCGACACCAACATCCACCCCTTCTTCTACCTTTCGAAATACGCTCTACCACACATGAAGCGCGGCGCAACTATCATCAACAACGCCTCCATCAACGCCTACGTCGGTCGTCCAGATCTTCTCGACTACACCTCAACCAAGGGCGCCATTGTTGCTTTTACCCGAGGTCTATCAAACCAGTACGTCGGACGAGGTATCCGCGTAAACGCTGTCGCCCCGGGTCCTGTCTGGACACCTCTCATCCCTGCCACCATGAACGACGATGCCATCAAGCAGTTCACCGCTCCTATCGGCAGACCGTCGCAACCTAGCGAGATTGCTACTTGCTTCGTCTTCCTGGCTAGCAACGACAGCAGCTCTATTAGCGGTCAGACTATCCACGCCAACGGCGGTACTATCGTCAACGGTTAAGCATTTGCTTCCCTGACTTGTTACGGACAATGTATCTCACGACTTCATGAGCATGTAAAATATAGTCAATGAATGAATTTTAATACTGAACTTCTCCTTCCCATATGTTAAGCATTCGTAGCGTTGCCAGATGCCTCCGCAGGTTAGTTGAACTTGACTACATTACTTAGAAAGATTGAATGAATCAATCTCAAGTCATGTCACGCGTATTCATCGCGCTTTACATATTGGTCTATGCCATATGACATGTTCATTTCCCATGCGCCAATGCTTGTAACAACCTATAAACCCCATTACCTAGCTATAGTACAGTATACCCACTTAAGAGATTTTAGTGGTGTGCAGTCCCATCCTGACGCGGAGTTGGGCCCTCCTTCATCTTCTTCATAATGTTGCTCAATTTTGAGCCTCCACCACTTCTTCCTCCTCCTTCAATTTGTGATCCAGAAACTGGTGGCCCCTGGTACGCCGTCTTTCCTGGCACCGCAGATGGTCCTATACTTGGCTGAGAAGGAGGCGGCGGTGCAGCTCCGATTACAGGTGCTTGTTGTTGCTGGTGCTGCACTGGTGTTTGGTCTGCCATATGCGGCTGCTGTTGTTGGTTTGCGTATTGGCGGGCGCGCGCTGTTTCGATTTCCGATCGGCCTTTGTCGATTACGGCTTGGTTTTTTGCGTGGGCGGCGGGGTTGCGACGGTCGAATGTGTCGTTGAATGTTCCGCGGAGGGTTTCTCCCGCGCCCTGAAGTATGGTGTTAGTATGTCTTTGTGTGAGTGGCTAAGCGGTTTGAAGGACTTACGTGGATACCTGCTGCTGCCGCTTTGAGGTTTGCCATTGTGCTCTGCTTGTTCAAATCATGACCGGCTCGGTATGGGACCGGACGGTTTGGGTCGTTGTTTGGGTTGGAATTGATGCCAGACTGTAGGCTAGGGGGTATACTCGACGGCTGCTGGCTAGGCATGGGCGGCGGCATACCAGATTGCTGTTGCTGGTGCGCGGGTAGCTGGGGAATACTTGATCGCCGTTGTTGCTGTTGTCCCGGTACTGGAGGTACAGGCGGTACGCCTGCCTGCTGTTGCTGTGGTGGCATACCGTCAACAGGCACTTGTCGTGGAACTCCTTGAGGCGGTGCTCTCGCGGGATATGAGAAGTTCGCACGATTAGGACTGCTAGGAGCAACTGGACTGACAACATCATCCATCGGGTTTGGCCGCTGAACACCAGGCGATACCGAGTCCAGCTCTACTCTATGCCGAATGTTGTTCTTCGCGGGAATGGGTGGAGACGAAGAACCCTCGATGTTGGAGACCTGCGGAGACAGTCTGTTGCCTTGCTGGTTGTTGTTCATGGGTACTGGGGGGGTAATGTTCTGGGGTATGGCAGATTGTGCTGATAGGCCTGGCCCTTGATGGTAGTGGTTGTCGGGCTGAGGAGGTGCCGGCTGCGGTGGGCTGGGACCAGAAGTGTGCACGCTTTGTGCAGAGCCGGTACCACTGTTCCGGGGCTGCTCTACGGTGGTAGAACCGCCTGGGCCGGTCGTAGTGGTTGTTGTCGTGGTCGTGGTCGTTGTGACTGTGACGATGTTCCCAGTGCCGGCATCGCGGTACGTCTCCCTGCCCACATCCTCATGGCTTGAACGACTTTGGAGTGTTTGTTGAGTCTGTTGTGGAGGAGCAAGGGTATTGTGGTTCTGTGCGTTTTGTGGTGTAATCTGAGCGGGAGGTGCTTGATTGTTCGTGGCAGGTGGGTGGTGGTACTGTTCACCGGAGACGGGACGAGCTTGGTTCGCGAAGCTTGGATCTGCGCTGCTGCGCTCGCTACTGAAATATGCCGAGTCGGCATCCCTACGGGCCTTTTCCTTTTCTTCTTCCTTGTGAGTGTGGTTCAGACTATCCTTCGATGCCTTCTCTTTGGAAGAGAACGGATTGGACATGCGCCATTTTGATCGCTTTTCCTTCTCGGCGGACGTCATGTTCTCGGAGCCAGACATAGGTTGCGAGGAGTTAGGTGCTGGTTGACCACTCAAACCTCCCGTCATCTGCTCAAGCTCTTGTCGTTCGCGACTCTTTCGCTTTTGAAGTTTGGCAGGCTGTCGGAACCCGTCATCCATTGCCAGCGGTATACCCAGATTCGGTTTGAGGAACGGACCCAGATACGAAGCACACGCGGAGAATTGGTCCGAAGAACTATGATCGGAGCTTTTGGCCTTGGAATAAGAAAATATTGAAGAGATCCCAATCAATATGTGAGTATGTCTAGAGATGCACCATATCAGTAGCGGGGAAGCCTTTGTATCGAGGACGAAACCCGAAGCAAGGCTTCTCTGCCCGCTGAAGACCCCATGATATCATACCGTAGTTCTGTGGCGCAGGGTAGGTGTGGCACCCAATGAGGGATAGCCATCGCGCGGCGATCAGTGGAGGGACGGCTGACAGGCATGGATGTTGACGCTCAATGATGGAGGGAACCCTGCCAGCGAGCTATCCAAGTTTTCGGTCTGCGCTATGCTTTGCGAAGCTAGGCCATCCGGACCAATCTGGGACGTGTGAGGATTTGACATTTATTAGTACACAGCAGAAGCATTCAATCGACACTTGCTCATATTCTGAGATATACCGCTTCTTCATAGTGAAAGGTGTACGAGCAGTCTTGAGGTGCTGCCCCCCGCACTCAGCCTTGAGCTCAGCCGCTCGGCTTAGCTCGAGGTAGTTAGTGGGGCTGAACATTATAATCTCATCATAGCCACCAAGTTTCGAAAAGTATCTCAACACTCTTGTGGCCATGATTCAACGCTTCTCCTATCCTTGAAAATCATATGACTATATAACTACAAGCAGTTCAGTCATGGCAGAGATAATAGGTCTGGTCGCCAGCGTCGTGCAATTGGCCGATGCAGGTCTGAAATTATCATCTGCGCTGTACCAATATGCTGATGGAGTGGCTACTGCCGATCGAAGAATTAAGAATATCGCGAACGAAGTCAAACTTACAAGCTTCGTTATTCAAGAGCTGGGGGTCATTTTTGAACAAAACAAGACGGCAAACCTGATTTCGGGAAATGCAATTATAACGGCGAAGGAAACGATCAAAGAGTGCGATACGGTGTTCACAGAGATCAAGGTGATAGTCGACAAGACCAAGTCAGGAAAGATGGGTCGATTTATGTTACCTTTCCGGGATAACAAGATCGAACTCCTACGAAGTCAGATCGACAAACTTAAGAGTACATTGCAGCTGTTGATGCAGGTACTGATATTTGCCCAGCAAGTTTCGTCAAACAAGCTCAGCTACGAGGCCGAAGCAGAACAACGAAAAGAGATCATACAATTGAGGAGGATTGCGAAAGAAGCAGCCGAAAAATACGAGAAGTCGCGGAGAAGCTTCAGTATCAGCGATGATGGTACTGCTGTGAATGATGACGAACGGTCCCTACAAGAAGGTGATGGATTTGTGTCGCCTTCTGATCTTTTCAAGGCTGCTTCATCCATCAGCTCCACGATCAATCCTGAAACACTTGCGACATGTGTAAACCATGTTCGAAACCTCTTGGTAGATATTGAGACATTGCAGCTTGCCCTGGCCAGGGAAGTAGACGGAGATGATCATTCAGATCATCATCAGAAGGCTATTGGGTCTTACTTTATCGCTCGCTCCCATCTCGACAGTGTTCTGCTTGGCAAGTCTAAAGCCAAATTCACTAGCACACAAACCCAGCAAATCACCAGCGAAACGAGTGCCAAAAGCGCTGCATCAGAGCTGCAGCGAAAGTTGATGCCTGATGCAGCACACGAGAAGTTACCCTACAGGCATACCAATACCGCTTCGTATGCTGCGATAGTAGCAAAAGACACAGAACGAGTGTCCCGGCCAGAATGTTCACCTGAAGAAGTACTAAAGATAAGAGAGCAACGCCTTCAGAAGTTAGCCCAAGATGAGGTTCGGCAACGAGAGTGGACTGTTTCCTCTGCAAGAGACGCCCAATCACCTAAGCGGCTTTCACTTTCGTCGGTCCAGCCATCGCAGTCGACCCGCGATGGCTCTCGTTCACCTTCCAAGTACTATCTTATAGAAGAGCGTCGCCCATCTGCATCTAGTACGGGCCCTCTTCAAAACGGCCTGGTTCCCAGAAGACGGAAAAAATCACAACAGAAGCTAAAATTGGGCGACTTCCTTGGAGATCAATGTAAGTTCATGAAGATCCTATACTGCAACAATCCCCTGATACAGTATAGCATTCGGACCCTGGGCAGACGAGATGGAAGACGGACCTGGAAAAGTCCGAACAGAAAGAGGAGGACATTTTGGCTCCAGTAGAGGTAATTCTGAACCATCCAAGGTTGACGAGGTAGATGATTTATTGAGGGAATGGACTACCGTGCTCGGATGAATGTTTAGTAGTTGGTATCGCAACAGTTCGACGCTTGTTGACGAAAGATGTTACCTACTAAAAACACGCTCCGATTATTAAACTAAAATACTCTGAACACTTTGACAAGGAACTATAATGGACTGTCTCATCTAAGCAGCGTCCGATATCGACTTTGTCGGACCGTCGCACACTCCCAACCCTACATTTCCCGACATCGCCATCCCCCTCCGATATCGAAAGCCCAAGCCAGCCCAGGCAATCCGTCCGCGCAAAACATCTTTTCCGCGCCTGTTTTCCGAACTCGGCAGCTCACCACGGCTGCTGTGCGACGCGACACTTTCGCGCCCGGCCAGATTGCGCCGTGGCCGAGCGGAACGCGTTACTAGTTGTCTAGACATCACCGTACCACGCATCCGCCCACGTCTCGGCCTTGTGTGACAAGAAAATTTCACGTCATGTCTCGCGCGTGGGCGGGCCTAGCCAGGACCGGTAATGAGCTATGCTATCTTCTGCATTTGGGCTTTTTTGCTTCTTTCTCTGGTGGGGTCGGGATTTTTACGATTCTGTTTTGGCGGGGCATGGCAAGAAGCAGGGGTATGGGGCGCGTGGAGAGGCAGACAGGCAAGCCAAACGCCACATTTTTGTGCTGCGAAGTTGAATCGCTTTTTCCATGGGGCTTTGTTGACGTGATGAACCTTTGACTCGCGATCATGCTTGTGCTTCGAAGATGATGACCCATCTTGGAGTCATGCCACAGCTGGCAAGTGCGCCTGAAAGTTCATCGGGTACAAGTCCCGGTCTTGGCTGGGAAAGAGCTTATGCAAATACAGTGTATTGGAAAGGCGCGCTTATAAAGTAAGCATCAGGCTCACAGAATGAGAGAGTAGATGATAAAGTGTATCATGATCATATTCATGCAAGGTATCTATGTACAAATGGAAGCATCCAGCTTCCGAACGCCAAGTCCAATGAGAAGGTATCGTAAGGTATCATATACAAAAGGCAGCCCGCTTAGCAGCGACCCATTCACCACCAGTCACCCTGGTCGTGCATGGCAGCAGCGACCTTGCGGAAACCGGCGACGTTAGCACCACCAACGAGGGATGGGAACTCGCCCTCGGCAGGAGTGAAGTACTCCTTGGCGGTACCCAGACAGTTCTCGAAGCAGTCCTTCATGATGCCCTTGAGCTTCTCGTCAACCTCCTCGGCAGTCCATGACAGACGCTGAGAGTTCTGGGCCATCTCAAGACCAGAGACGGCGACACCACCAGCGTTGGCGGCCTTTCCGGGTGCGTACCAGATGGCCTCACCCTTCTTCTCGCGACGGTGAGCCTCGAAGACCTCAATGGCCTCCTGTGTGCAACCCATGTTGGAACCCTCAGCGATGAATTTGGCGCCAGACTCAATAAGAGCCTTGGCCTCGTCCTCGGAGACTTCGTTCTGGGTCGCCGAAGGAAGAGCAACGTCAACCTTCTTGACCTCCTTCCATGGGCGGGCACCCTCAATGTACTTGAAGTTGTGGTTCTCCAGGGCAGTAAGAGCCTTGCGCTCCAGCTTGAGGGCGGCGATCTGGTTGATGACCTCGGGAGTGAAGCCCTTGTCGTCTTCGGCGATCAAAGCACCCTTGCTGTCACTGAGGGAGATGACGGTTGCACCAAGCTCGATGAGCTTGAGAGCAGCGTACTGAGCGACGTTTCCGGAACCAGAGAGGGCGACGCGCTTGCCCTTGAAGGACTCCTTTCCTCCAGACGCGTAGTTGATCATGTGCTCAACGTAGTATACGAGACCGTAACCGGTGGCCTCGGGACGGATCAGGGAACCTCCCCATGAGCCGCCCTTGCCAGTGAGGACACCCTCCCAGCGGTTGCGCTCCGCTCGGTATGCGCCAAAGAGGTAACCGATCTCGCGACCACCAACGCCGATGTCGCCCGCAGGTACGTCTGTGTCGGCACCTGTAGTTTACGTAAGTGAAATGTTCCTAGTGGAGAAGCACGAAAGGAGCGCGAACGTCGCCGGCGGGGCAGTGCCAGACAGACGGAAAGATAGGGCAACATGAACGCGCCAGATCTCGTTGGTCTGCTGTCGGAAGAGTATGCGAACCCGTTGAAGGGTGCATGCCCCACTGAGGCTGGAAGTGACGCGCAGGTACGCGCTAGGGTCAAGACCTACCGATGTGCTTGTTGAGCTCCCTCATGAAGGCAACGCAGAACTTCCGGATCTCGTTGTCGGACTTGCCCTTGGGGTCGAAGTCGCATCCTCCCTTGCCACCGCCCATGTTGACTGTTTGTGTATGTTAGCTTGATGTTGTTATGCGATTGGCTCGGGTATGACGTACGGCCGGTGAGAGCATTCTTGAAGATCTGCTCAAAACCCAAGAACTTGAGGATGGATAGGTTGACGGTAGGGTGGAAGCGGAGACCGCCCTTGTAGGGGCCGAGAGCAGAGTTGAATTGCACGCGGTATCCCTTCTGGACCTGGCACTCGCCCTTGTCGTTCTCCCAGACAACGCGGAACTGGATGATGCGCTCGGGGACGGAGACGACCTCGAGAGCCTTCTTGTATTCGGGGTTCTTGGAGAAGAGGGAGGAGGCCTCGAGGGTGGAGACGAGCTCTATGGAATGTTAGATAGAGTCGCAAATAGTAGAAAGCATAGAGTCAAAGTAGTGACTCGATGATTCCGCAGAGACATGACGCATGTGGAAACGCACCCTTCCTGGCTTGCTCAAACTCAGGCTCAGACATTGTGATTTGGTGTATTGTATTGGTGACTGGTGGAAGAAGTAGAGTGACAGAAACCGACACAGTTGAAGGGTCAAAGGTTGATGGAGAGAAGGCACAGGAGAGACAGTCTGGTATATATAATTACAGTTGACGGAAGCTAAATAGTTCGCCTGGGCTCGCGGTGACGGTACGGGAGAAAGTCGCACTCGATTTGAGTACGTCACAGAGGCCGGAAGATTGGGGTCATGGACCCTTCTCAGTGGTCAATGGGCTCTACTGCACGCCATGTTGATGCAAACCATGGTGTGCACTTTTTCTACTGATAAGGATCTGGCCAATGGGCGGGCGAGGACAAGTATCGCGGGGTGTTTGCACGTGAAGTAGCGGGGGCTCCGGCCACCTCAGGCTCGTGGCGGCCGTGTAATTGTCGAGGGTCAAACCATGGGAGGCGACGTGAAGCCGACGTCGGCGGGCGAGCTTGTTACGTTGAACATTCGCTAGTGTCTTGTCAGGGTAAAGGCAAAAGGCAGAGAGAGTGGGAGAAGCCGGGATGTGGGCAGGCGCTTTGGCCAAACAAGATTGTCTTGGCGATGCGGCGGCCTCCGCGGGTATGCATCTTTTGACTTGTTGCAGCGGAGATGCCGCAGCAGCACTGCCTCGTACATGCAATGTCAGTTTGACAACCTCACACTTCTACACAATACGGAGGTATCCTCGATGCGACGTTGCACAGCCTCGTTAACTGTCGACGCGCCCTCCGGCATCAAGCAGATGCATCTGTTGCAGTCTTTAAGCTGCAAGATGACGGCTAAAGACTCCCAAGTGGTAGCATGATGAGGTTTGCATAATCATGCATCGAATATACGCATAGAATATCACATTGGTTTTTTTAACCGTGAAGAGAGCGATGCTCCCACCTTTCATAAGCTGGCACCCCCACGCGCGGATTCTCCGCCTCCACACTCAATCGCAATCGGTAGGATCCCAATCTGGAGAAGAATTTGCTTGTCAGTAAAGGCAGCGGGATGAGGGTGTTCATGTGACTGTGTATACCAGACAGCTCAAGGAACTTACCGGTCACCAGATACTCGTCCAATCCGTCCATCGTCTCCATATCGCCATCCTCGATTTCGAAGCCTCCAACCTCCGAGTTCTCGATGATTCGCTCCTTCTTCACACTCTTAGGCAGCGGCACGTAGCCGTGTTGCAAACTCCAGCGGACCAACAGTTGGCCCGGAGTGCAATTGTATTTCTTGGACAGGGATACAATTTTGGGGTGCTTCATCCGCAAGGCTCGGGCGAGGGGCGCGTATGCCTCTACAACAATGTTATGCTGCTGGCAAAAGGAAGTAATATCCTTCCGTCTAGTGTCCAGAATCAGTATAGTCATACATATAGTTCACACAGGGAGCTCACGTGTTGAACGGGTGAACCTCGATCTGATTAACCGCTGGAGGTATCGTAGGATTCGAGTCCAATAATTCTTGCAGCTAGACTGTTGTCAGTGATTGACTTCGGCGACGTTGGAAGTCTTGTGACAGCCACGGCTAGACTACAAATCCAATAAGGGGACTACAACGACTTTCCTATCCTGGGTATTCGTTCGCACTAAATGTAGGATACGGGGCTACCCGAGACAACTAAAGCAAAATGACGGGAACCAGGGTCTACTTACATGTTTGACTCCATAATTGGAGACGCCCCCAATCTTGACTTCGCCGTCGTGAATTGCGTCCTCCACCGCTCGCCAGCTATCAAGACGCGCTTGCTTGCCTCCATATGGAGAATGTAGCAAGAACAGGTCGATGTAGCCAAGACCTGCTTCCTTGACTGATCTCTTGATAGCTTTGCGGGCCGTCTCGTATGCGGAATTGGATGCCAACTTGGAAGTAAAGTGGATATCTTCGCGTTTGAGAGAGTCTGTGTTTGCATCACTTGAGAGAAAGTCCGAGATGGCTTTCCCGGTCTCTTTCTCGTTATGGTACATCTGAGCTGAGTCGACTCTGAGTATACGTCATCTATCAGCTGCCGTACAAAGGTTGTGTCCTGTGATGCTACTCACGCTCGGTAGCCAGCCTACAGTTGTGAGCATGGTGTTTACTGATCATCAGGAACAGCCGAAACATACCTCCAACGCCCATCGGACGGCTTGATAAGTCTCTTTCCCGGATGTCAAATAGACGCCGAGATGAATCGTTGGCATTGATAAGCCATCAGGAAGCTGCCAAAGTTAGACACGGGCGGCCAATTGTACAACGATCGTCAACGCACCTTAGTCCGCGACGCCAATGAGAAGGAGGATTGTGCCATGTTCACTGCTGGGGCTATGTTGTGCATAAACCAAAGTAGATGTGCGATGCTGCGAGAGGCAAGCCACGATAGCGGCAGAGGTAAATGGATATCCTCGGCGAAATGGTTACATCATGGCTCGCTTGCGACCGGGGTCTTCACTTTATTGTGGGTGCGTCACGATCACGACTTGGAGATCTCAGATGCAGCGACTATGGCTGTGCAGCGACCCTGGTCAACTGCACCTGCAGTAAAGATGGCGTTACACATGCAAAAGCAAAAAGGTGATATGTGTGTGAGCAACCTATAGCGCCCGCCAACTGTGTCGTGAGGGCGGTGCGTGCCGATTGGGGCGCGTTCCTCTAACCTTTGCACCATGCGACTAGCTCTCGCCGCGATAGACCCGAGTGCCCAGTGCCCGGTCGTACAGTGTCTCGTTAACTCGTATGGCAGCCTCACCGAGGGCTTGAAGGCTTGAATGATCGGCGAGGAACGGTTCTTCTTCAGCCTGATGCGCTGCCGTGATACTGGAAGGGACAGGCAGCGCATTGGTGGGCGCCCTTTTATTGTGGCTCTCGGACACACGAACATCCGTTTTACATCCCATGGCTGTGGATCCCCTACCACGATTGACGAGATCTATAGCCAGGGCGTTTGAAGGCGCCTGTCATTCTAGTCATTCTAGCCAACTTGAATGATGACAAAAAGGATCCAACCCACTCAGAGAGGCTCAGAAGCGAATCTGGCTCGACGCGCCTGGATCTCGGCGTGTCCGTCGATGTATGCCAACTGTCTGGGGTCGCGAAAGGAACATCATTGCGCAGCAAAATCTACAAGGAACGTTAAAAAGGGGGGCAGCGTTCGGCTGAAGCGCACGCAAGCAACCAACGACAGCACAGGCTGCGCAGTCTTAACGACACTTGGTTTACACAGTTTTTGAATAGACCGACTTTGGGGCCGTCGACCAGCCGCCAACCCGCGAACTGCGAAGCCACCATGTCCGTCCCCACCAGGCTTTATGCCGCCGCTAATTGGCTCGGCAGCCTGAATCTACTTGTGAAGGATCAGAGGAGCCCGCGTGGCTCGACTTGATCACCACCGGGATTATTCTCAAATCGAGTCCATCTCACGGAGGCTTCAATAATTCCTCGCAAGGTTAGCAGGGCGGCGTCGACCGAAGCCACACCATATAAGCAAGTTCGAAGCCTCATCATCTGTATACTCAACCTCTTGCATGTATAAAGCATCTTATCGCGCCCGCTATACATGCTGCCATAAGCCCAAGCAACAAACATATTGCAGCAGCCTTAAACTAGCCGCCCACTGGGTCGTTTCGTCATTGATCCTACTTCTCGTCACAACCTGTCAGAAACCTGAGACCCTGGCCTCCTTGGGCTTCCTTAGCTAAACCCGACATTTTGCACCGGCACGTTTATTTGACATTGGTTGCACCCAGCTCGGTAAGTTGCGAGCTGCGAGTACACAAACTGGTGTTCTTCTCCAACCAGCCAACCAGCAGTGCTGACTTTTGCCGTTCCTGCAGTAGCCCCTACTGCCCTCCATCATGGCGAATTTACCCGGATTCACCACCAACTTTCCGGCGGGATACCCAACCTTTCAGACAGGGCGTGGTGGAACTTTTGCGCGCGGTAGCACCTCTTCAGGAGGCTCACCATCTGTCCCAAACGCCTCTTCCGAGCCGCACTTCGACATCTTCGACTGGCACCCGGCGTATCAGAGCTGCCAGCGCTACTTCCTCGACCATGCTCAACACGATAACGGCGTACAGGCCGTTTGCGCCCTCATCAACATCCGCCTGCCATTCCAATGGACACAAAATCCCCTCATGAACGCATCAGGGCCGCTGCCGCACTCGTCGGGCGCTGCTGCTTACAATTTGCCTTGGCCCCGCCAGGGTCCTGTCACCAATTCGCGAGGCCAGCCGGCCCCGGCATGGGTGTCCCTTGTGCCCTTCATTCGACGTCTCGTCATCACAGGAATGGACAGTCCAGGAATCATGCACGGCTTTTTCGGCGAGGACTGGAGGAAGGGAGTCGGCCCAATGCACGAGTGTGAGCGTCGCAACTACCTCTTTGCAGCCAAGAGTGTGGGTTGGGCCAAGGTCAAATGCCAGTACGACATGTCGCCGCACGAGTCGGTGCCCTTCCTGAAGCCACTGCAGGAGGTTCAGCTGGCCGAGATTGAGGGGGCCGAGAAGACGTGGAGTCAGTGGCTAGCCATGGAGGACTGGATGGTGGGCCCACGCGCACCGGATGCGGACGACCAGCCACAGGATGCTCGTCGCCGTCCATCTTGAAGTTTGGCTTGGAGTATGGCGTTGTTTAGTGCACGATAGTGCTCGATGGTCGTCAAGCATCATGGTCGTGATCCGCGTCGCACCAAGACGTGCGTAGGTTTTTTTTGGATTCGCGAGAGCTAGGGTGAGCGGTCAGTGTTCAGCGATCAGCACTATGCGCCACCAGTACGCAGTGGTTGTACATGTTTCACAACATGAGCAAAACGTTTTTCATTGTAATGTAAACTGTTTTCGATACCATCAATGTTATGTTACTATGTTAGTCCCGACGATCTGTGTCCCTTCCACATTCATCTCCTTGCGCATTCAACTCGAATACAATTTCTTATTCGTGGCTGATAGTACTAAAGGTCCGACGAGTGATTTTCTTCTGCTGGCAATACACGTGGAAAAAGTTCCAAGGTTCCAAAGTTCTGTGCGGCCCGCATCCGTGGATCGTGCCTGCCAAGAAGCTTCGGCCAGCCTCAGCTACCTACGATTGCCTTTGTTCCTCGCCAGAACACACCTCATATTCTTTTTCTTTTCAACAACCGGCCCAACCTTCGGGGCGTATTCTTAAAGCACATGGATCATGGAGTCCATGATTAAGGAATGGTCAGTCTTTTTGGATAAGTGCCTCGAGCGGCGTATCCAACCTGATTTGTTCGCTGCAGCCGTCGCGCAGCTCCACGCGAAGTCTCCACTGCCCGGCCGGAAGCTTGCTGCACTGGTGCTTCGACCACGCGTCGCAGGTTCCAACAACATCGATCCACGTTCTATTGTCTTTCTTGAGCAGCTACTGTCTTTGAAGAAGGTCGACGCCTCTGACGTCCTGACGCTGACGTTCCTGTACTCCAAGGATCGCCTTCCAGTCAAGACAGGCGACGAGAAACCAACCAAGGAGGCGCAATGGGACAATCCACCAGAACTCGAGGAAATTGTCTTTCATCGCTTACACAAGGCTTTTGCTGCAGAAGAGCGGCCTGTCAACAATACTGAAGGCCTGCGCACACTTATTGTCTTGATAAGATGGATGCAGGCAATGGTGACCTCGCATACGAACGATAGCATGATCCAGGCTATGGCTGGTATTCAGCAGCCTCAACAGCACTCTATTAATGTTCGGGAAGGTCTTGCAATGCTTGTGATTGGCGTAGTAGAAAACTCAAAGATCCTGCGGATACTGAATAATCCCAAAGGCAAAGGTAAGCGGCTCTCTTACTTTCGTAAAATCTTCCTATGCAAAGCTCAAAACGACTCTTTCGATCCTTGGTGACTGCACCACTCACATAATTCAGATATACGCAAGAGTTTCATTCAATCGTTCTCTTCGTTCATCCCATTTCTCTCCAACAACTCGGGCGGATCGCATCAATCGTTACAACTAGCCGAAAGATTGGAACTTTCACAGAAACGGCATGATTTCTACGAGAAGCTTCCTAACGTCAACGGTGAGGAGAATGGGAACGCAGGTCTTGAGGTCGCTGCCCTTCAGCTCGATGCTGTAATGGAGCTCCCACAAGTGAACACGCGAGCCGGTCTCTACATCTTCTTGAATGCATTGGTAAGTCATACAGATGTCGAGCTAGTCTATTGCTAAAAGTTCAAGCTTGTCGCACGTCCTCTAACCGATGACTTCATCATTATCAATCATCTTCACTCACGATACAAGGTAAGGTGGTGGTCTCTCATTCCGGCAGAGATGCTGACTCGTCACAGTTGGAAGCGCAGAACATGGCCACAGACTTGATCACCGCTGCTTTTGATGTTCTTGCCAACGCCATGTATCGCAGTGAACCGCCACAAACCATGTTCTACCCGAAATCTTTCCTAATCAATAAGGTGCCATTACTCCTGGCACAGCTAACCGGATCGATATTCCCCATGACAGTCGAGATGTGCATCACTCAAGCACTCAGTCATGTGGACCCCCACGCATTTCCATCATTCTCGCAAGGGTTCGATGATATCATGGGAAGCAATAACAACTCACTCTCCGATGTCAGGCAAGACTTCCTCAACGCCTGTGCGCTTCATGCTCTCATCCCGACGGGTACCGTAGAGCGGTTGCTTGGTGAAGCCCCCATGCAGGGCCCACCTTCGAAGAGATACGAGAGGAAAGAATTGCTAAACCAGTGCAAGTCAAACTTTGACAAAGTCAGCACATTCATCGACGAACTTGAGAGCCTGGACGGAAATGCGGGTGCCATAGTCGCTGCTGTTACAGATGTACGACTTGATTGCATGGCTTCCAAGAGAGACTTGCTGACATGAATACAGTTTATAGCACACCTCTGTGAAACTCAGACGACTATGTACTTGAAGCAATTATCCTCGTTACTCTTCAAGAAACCGCAGGCAATGGACGTAATGCTCCAATTCACCTCACCAGCGAGCATTCTGCGACCTCTATGCCAATTTCTTGACGACTGGCACTATGATAGTGATCAAGGTGAGTTCTCAACGATACTAGTGTTGTATTCCGCTGACATATATAGGCGAATACCAACCAGTATACGACGAATTCGGTGCGATACTGGTCCTCGTCATGGCATTCATACACCGCTATGATTTTACGTACCACGACATCGGTATCGGTCATGATACGTTCATCGCCAAACTTTTGAAACGTGGTCATCATAGCATGCTGCCCGACCAACTGAGCGAAGAGCAAGGCAAGCATCTTGGTAACTGGCTAAAAGGACTCTACGACGCCGATAAGGAAGGGCTTAGCAACGAAGTCTTTGCATCTTGCCGTCCTCAAGATTTCTACCTCATAGTTCCCACATTATTCAGGCAGACAGTCGTGGCATGCTCGACTGGAGTTCTGTCATTTGAGTCGGTCAAAGGTGGTTTAGAATGTAAGCTCATCCTGATACCTTTCGTTAAACTTAGCATTACTGACCCGTCCCAGATCTCGGAGAGACATTCTTATTGCCATCCTTGATAGAGGGTCTTACCTGGATGGCCTCATACGCGCTCCTCCAAACGCACAACGATCTCGATGCAATGATCCGTATATTCAACGAAGTCATACTAACGACTCCCTCCTCTGGCGACGCACAGGCTATGCATTCGACTATAATAGCTATGGTTTCTAGTCGCCTGGAAAAGTGCTTCCGCACGCTACAGCGACGTGAGCCGAACCGAACGACACTCGAGCCTTTTATCCAGGCGATCAAAGTTCACGCATACTACGAACGTTCCGTGTACGCTAGCTTGAAAGAGGTAGATCAGTGGACGAATGCGCCGAACAGCACTCTCAACTCATCCATACGGCACACCATACAGCAACTGTCACAGTGGGCTTCGACCTCGTCGTTACAGCCAAATCCACCTGGCTACACACACCGCCAGATCTATGCATCGCTCAAGATGCTGGGTGCGACGAGAACACTGCGCGCAGTCGTAGATGAAGTAAAGGCACAGACAGATGCTGGCAACGGTGCGGCTGCACTAGATATCGGCGTGTCCATCATCTGTGCTCCCACTGTCGAGGATAGTCCCATCACAGTTGACTGGGTAGGAAGCTCGATACCAGCGCCGCCCCAACAGCGAAATCACATGAATCTCCGCGAAATGCTCAAGCAAGAATTCGAAAGCGCTGCAAATCTGGTTGCGACAGATCCCCTAACGGCGGAGACAATAGTACGCCTGCACCGCCGCGTAGAAGCACACTTTGCCTCTCTTGGTGAAGCTGGACTCCAAGCACCGCCTATCAACATCCCAAGTGTCAATATCGCAGATATGCAATCGCAATCCATATCTGACGATCTCAACCGAGCTATCGATGATGCGGCCGCTGCAACAGTTGTTGACGACATCTCCAACATGGACAACAAAGCGCTGCAGCGCAGTATGGACGAACTTACGGGTGCTGAAGGCCTGGATCTGTCAAGCATCGGTATGGGTAACGGCGATGCGGGAGCGGGTGACATGAGCACGGATCTGGGTAATCTACCCGATCTGAATCTGGGCGACATGGGTAGTATGGGCATGGATATGGACATGAACATGGATATGGGTGGAGGTGGAGGTGACGATGACTGGGGGTTGGATTTCGATAACATGTAGCAGATGTTGTATGAAGGAGAGTTGCTTGGATAAGCGTTTGGATCGGACTTGACTGTTTGGGCATCGAGTCTAGAGACTACCAGTACGGCATCTTTGGAGTTGTTCTTTGAATAGATTATGTTACCACCGGAAGTAAAAACAGACTCGGTATGATTATTGTGCCAAATGTCCCGAGGTAACAAACAATAATTCGGAAACGGCATGAAGTAAGATGGATGGAGCGGGGTGTACCTGCATAGCTCCGGAAGCTCTCGCCCCACCTCTACCCCAACGTAGTCCGTCAGTACACAGTGTAAATAACTTTGATGACGTCTCATACCAATTCACAAACTACAGTTTTCTCACAGACTCTTTATAATCCCGTGTGTCTTATTCTCGACGAGGACCCGTTGACAGTATTCTAAATCTACCCCACACTACCACACCAAGTAGCAAAGATGCCGTACGATCTCAAAGGCAGAAACGTGCTTATCACAGGTGGATCAGCGTACGTACAGGGCAACTCCTAAAAAGCCTTCAATTAATTATGCCATCTCTGTGTCACGTTAAAAGTTTGTCACTGACAATATCTCCAGTGGTCTCGGCGAACTCCTCAGTACGACGTTTGCCAGTGAAGGCGCGAACGTCGCTATCAATTACTTCAACCGTATCGAGCCGGCACAGAAAGTGCAAAAGGCATGCGAGGCACATGGCGTCAAAGCTATTGTAATCAAAGCAGTACGCTCATCGTATTCATGTTTGTAGTGAATGTAAGCTAAAGTGTCCGACAGGATATGACATCGACGGCAGAAGCAAAGCGAGCGGTTAGAGAGACAATTGAGCAGTTGGGTGGGCTGGACATTGTGCTCGCTAACGCAGTATGTATAAACAGATACCGATGAGAGAGAATGCTGCTAACGCCAATGCAGGGCTGGACGCGTTTCGCTGAATGGAAAGACCTCGACTCCATGAGCGAAGAAGAGTGGGATAAGTGCTGGAATGCAAATGTCAAAGTACCCAAGGCGATACTCTCTGAAGCGAGGGCTACTTTCGATGCCAATCCGGATGGTGGACTTATGATTACTACTGGTAGCATTGCGGTACGCTGCCCCTCTGATGCACTCTTGATTCACGTTCAGGCCAAAGGTCTAGTAGTAACTGCATGCTGATCGTGAAGTACAGGGTGTCAGCCAAGGCGGATCAAGCATGCCATACTCGGTTACCAAAGCAGCACAACTTCAGCTGGTCAAATGTCTGGCAGTCACTGTTGGACCCAAGATCCGTGTCAATACGGTCCTCCCGGGCTTACTACTGACTGAATGGGTACGACGAAGAAGCTCTCCTAGCACCTTGTATTGGATGCTAACACTATCTCAGGGCCTCAAATATTCGCAGGAGAAGATCGAACAGTTGAAGAACCTTGCAGCACTGAAGCATGAGACATTCCTGGATGATTGTGCAGCTGCGTTCGTGATGCTGGCAAAGAACACTAGTATGACTGGTATGCGCATTCAGGTTGATGGTGGACTGAACATCCAGGGCGCATAGAGTGCGGTAGAACAGACATTGTGGTCATGTCCCAGGATCATCATCAAGTTAGCAATGGAAAGAATCATGGTGAAGACTCGCAAGTTTGTCAACTGCCTCGGCGCCGATTTGTCGCGGAAAAGGAAGAGACCTCGGCCGTGGGGATGCTGTCACCCCACGACGCTAAACCGAGCTGCAGGGCACCTCACGTCAATTCCCCGCGTCCCGAACCTCCGCATCTCCGCAGAGCTTCCAGAGATCAACACCATGTCTACTTCTCTCAGTGCCGCTTCCAGAGCGGCCCCGCGTCTAACGCGACGGTGCATGCGATGCGGCGAGCGGAGCGACAATTGTCAGCCCGCGCGACGGCGCTGGATGAGCAGCGTACGAGACGCGCCAGCCAAGAGACCAAAGACTGCCATCTTCTTTCCTGGTACTTGTTCCTAGCTTCTGCAAACCTCACTATTCCACCATGCTAAGCAGCAACAGGTCAGGGCGTACAGCGAGTGGGAATGTGCACACCGTGGCTGGAAGCCTTCCCCAACACCGCAAAACCCATCCTCGAGGAAATCGACGAAACCCTCAAACTTCCCCTAACCAAGACGATAGAGTCTGGTACCAATGCCGAACTCACACAAACCGAGAATGCGCAGCCGGCCATCATGGCAACCTCGATCCTCATACTGCGGATACTGGAGAGGGACTTTGGCTTCAAGACTAGTGAGCGCGTAGACATCACACTGGGACATTCACTGGGCGAGTTTGCGGCACTAGTAGCAGGCGGCTACCTCACATTCCGGGACGCATTAAACATGGTACGGAGACGAGCCGAAGTCATGAGTAGATGCAGTCAAGAAGCAGTTGCAGAGGAAGGCGGCGAGTTTGGCATGGTCGCCCTAGTCTGCGAGTCCGAAGAGCACATGCAAGCACTCATCAACGGTATCCATGAATTTCTTGCCCTGGGCTCTAAAGCAGACTCCCACGACCATCTACCAGCCGTTCAACAAGTCTCAATCGCAAATCTCAACTCGAAGAACCAAATCGTCCTCAGCGGCAGCATCACCCGCATCAACACCCTGCTCACGAATTTACGTCAATTCGGCGGCCACGATCCACGCCACGTACGCTTAAAATCCGACGCGCCCTTCCACAGCCTCCTCATGAAGCCCGCTCAAGAAACCATGAAACGCATACTCCACAAAGAAACTCAAGATGGACGTGACATCGTTACATGGCCAGGCATCATGCCTTGCATATCAAATGTATCTGGCAAGCCCTTCCAGGACAAAGAGCAGCTGAAGGATCTTCTAGCACGTAGCTGTGTCGAGACGGTACAGTGGTGGAAGAGCGTAAAATATCTGCACGAGCAAGAGAAGATCATGCGTTATGTGGGTATTGGTCCAGGGAAAGTGGGCAGAAATCTTGTGGGTAAAGAAGTGGGTATGAAGGGCTCCGTCAAAGGAGGCGGTGTCTGGGGTATTACGAGTCCGAAGGAGATGGAGGAAGTGGTCAGGGCATTGGATGACACCGAGCATGTTGAGGCGGATTGAAATTTCCGAATTCGCGTTTACGACGATTCACGACAATCGCGCCATGACTGGAAAGATGGGCCGTGGTTCCTCGAGTTTAAAAAGTGTACAGATATACCCCAGTGTAGCGAATTTACGGTAATGCTGATGGACAGACCTGATTGAGTCGCGCCAGTTCGAACGGTTTATTGAATATGTAAGTGAAAGTGGTTATGATCAGGAGGACGTCATGAGCAGTGGCACACTCCTCCCCTTTTCATCACCGCATTTGACACGCTCAAACAAACAATGGGGTGACGGGATGACGGGGTGAGCTGACACTAGAGACGAACTGAACCTCACTCTTGTCTATCGAAGCATTCTCATTCCTGACTGACCGCCAACTCTATCTATTCAAACTCAACAACTCCTCAACATACCTCCTGGCATCAATACCAATCCCCTCTGCCAACCCCTTGGGTCCCCAACCCGCTGCCGCTCCCCCCATCCTCTGATTCTGACCTCTGCCACCACCCATACCAAGACCACTCCACATACCACTTGCAAAGCGACTCGAGCTCTTCGTACTTCCTGGCTGACTATCCCTCGCGCGGCGAACTAAGAACGCTTCCCGGAGTTCATTTGTGTTGAACTGTGCGGAGCCAGACCTTTCGTTGGAATTGTTCTGCGAGTCTTGCTGGGCAGCTGCGTCTTCGGAGCTGACTTGCGAAGGCGGGAGACGCATCCAGACGACCCACCATCCGCGCGAAGTCTTGCACGTACGTTCTATTTCAGAGAGGTCGCGGCGCGTACCTGCTACCGTGGCTAGGATCTGGGAGTGGACGTTGAGGGCTTCGACTCTGCTCCAGCCGAGGGAGCTGGTACTGCTGCTGCCCAGGCCTTCGGCTAGCAAGGTTCCTGGGTCGGGAATGTTGGGCAGACTGGAATGGATTGTGTATGTGCGGGGGTCGAAGACAACATCGTAAACGGCCTGTGTGTTAGGGCCAGAGTTCGGGCCTGAACCGCCGGTTGAGGCTTCGGTTGTGTAGTGGTTGGAGACGGCGTGAAGACGCGCGGCGACGTTTGCAGGGGAGGTGCTTTTGTCCAGGGAGCGGTGGAGGGGTGAGAAGAAGTTGTGGATGTCGCGGTAGAATGATGCGACGCCTAAAGAATGCGTGCGGTGTTCGAAGAGGAATGTGTAGACGAATGGACGGTGCTGGGTTGAGTATTAGCCGGGTCTTATATGTCGTCGATGCTGTCCAACTTACCACGTAAACGACAGGTCGTAACCGGGCTAGATTACTTCCTGCCGTCGTCGGTTGCACTCTCATATCCTTCTCGTACTGTGGAGTCTCGTCCGAATCACCGTCTCCTGTTTGCAGTGAGGCAGCTCGCCCGTCGACCTCCACATGTATAGTCCGCAGTGGTATTCGGTTGTTCCAATCACCCTCTCCGTTCTCGTCGTCGACTTCCAAGTCTTGCAGATCCCCCTTGAGCCCTACGAGAAAGTACCCATCGTTCTCTAGGCGTATCTGTTGCTTTATCTTCTCTTCTGCTGGGTCTACATCGGGTGTAGGATCGACGTAGCGCATCGCTGTGGGGGAAGGTGTTTGTTCGCGTACCGGTTGTGGTACCGGAGCTGGCGCTGGAGCAGCAGAACCCGAGGTCTCTACGCTCTTGTTTCCGCTTCCGCCCCATGCTGTCCCGTAGCCGAGGGTCATATATTTCATCCACGTCTCGGTGTCACCCAGAGACGATAGCATTGTCTGAGACTCGGGCGCAGTTGAAGTGGCCTGAGATTTGTTGTTATCGACGGCGGCTGCTGCCTTATCAAGGGAGTTCTCAGCCGCTTTGACAATCGGTGGAGGGATACCAGGTGGCAGGTCTGAGCCATCGTTCGATACTGGACGCAGCCTTTGGTCCCGCATTGGAGGCGATGGTTCGGGCTCGGACTCGGGCTTCAGATTTCTCCTCCGCCGTTTCCTGCGATCAGAAGTCGGGTTGTCTCGTATGCCGTAAGCATACTCGCCATGAGCGTAGATGGTCTCTACCCAGTGGGACAAGTCCCGCAGCGACTTCCGGCTTACCGCTCCCAGGCCTGAAAAGACAACGCCATCAGCGGCATGGGCATTTCTCCCGACCCCTATCCAGGGTTCCAATTCGGAAACTTCGAGTGTTTTTGGGTTTGTAGAGGTTTTGGCTTGTTGCAACGGCGATGCTTCGCCGAAGCGGGATACCATGACATCCACGAGACCTGATGTTCTGCGTGCAAAGTCCTCTAGCACATCCCGCTCGCTGCTACCCCACTCCTCTTCTCCAACACCCATGCCCAACTCTCCGCCTGCTGCCAATTTCATGCCACCGTATATGTCCACCGCAGGGCTTCCATGTAGTAGCACGTCCCAATTGCTCGCAAACCGCGACCAGTATCTGTCTAGTATGCTGCAGAACTTGCTGCGGCCGTGTTTGGCGAACATGGCCTCCATTGTCGAGCCATGATGAAGCAGGAAGATGGACTGGGCGCGGGCGAGTTGTTGGATCAGCAGTGCAGGCGGGCTGACTTCGCGTGATGAGTACTCGATTACGGGCTCGGTGGTGTCGGTGCTCGAATCGGTTCGTGTGAGGCCGCCAGCAGCGGGTAGTTGTGTGAGGTCAATCGACTACCGTGGTGTCAGTTGTAGTCTACTAAGCATGTGGAATGTGCATACTGCCAATATCCACCACCCGTCTTCCAATTCACGCAGAACAATACGCGTCTTCTGCGTTTCTACAGAATCAACTGCCTCGCCATCAGAGAAGCTCCTATGCTTGATCAGCTTTGATATACGGAAGGTGCTTGCCACGCGACCTACTTCGCAAAGCCTACCATGCCCTGAGCTAGCCCGACCTGACGCAGCTTCTCATTCTCCTGCTCGCGCAGCTCCTCTTCCCTCTCTGTATCGCCATCTCTCAGTTTGGAGCGTGTCTTGGCGGCCTTGGAGTAATAGAAGACAATCTGCTGGTCGAATGTCTCATCTGACCTTCCGAGGGAAGGGTTGTATATGGCTAGGAAGGAGAGTTGCGCCGGAACGACCTTGGAGCCCGCCGTGGACGACATTCCAGCATTCTTCGAAGTGCCTGGTCGCGAGCGCTTCGGGTGGTTTTGGGTGAGGGATGAATGGCGTCACACGTGCGGAAGAGACGCGGAGAAGAAGACAACCAGCCACCGTGCCAACCTCAACAACAAGCGGTCGCTGTGGACTATTTGTATTCCATGATCAAAGATTGCGATGCATCGCGATGCGGCGCCAGGCGGCAAGGATGCACCCGATTGTCGTGGTGAAGATGCCCCACGAGATCTCGATCGCAACGTCCAGATCCTGCGGCGCGGCATTTGTCGCCGAACTTCCTCACTCTGACCATGTTCTGCAGGCTACGAGGCCGCGTCTACTCCCTGGTCCAGACTCCACACTGTCGCTATAGCTCTACAGCAGTTCCCGCTCGGACGTCGGAGCCTTTGCGGATATTGTTCTGCGGTTCTGACAATTTCAGCATCACATCACTGCGCGCCGTAGCAGACGCGAAGCGGCATGTGCCGAAACTCATAGAGAGCATCGATGTAGTCCATCGACCAGCGAAGCCTACCGGACGAGGACTGAAAAAATTAAGAGAGGGTAGAAACGTCTTTTGGCCGCCACACAACATCAATTGACAAGATTCAGTTCCTATCAAGCAGGTAGCTACCGAAGAGCTCAATCTACCTACTCATGTGATCGACACCTTCACAGGCTGGACGCCACCCAACCCCATAGATGTCGTCATCGCCGTATCCTTCGGCCTCCTTGTCCCACCGAGGATCCTCAACTATGCGCAATACGGCGGCCTGAACGTCCATCCTTCTCTGCTGCCCGATCTGCGTGGCCCAGCGCCCATCGAACATGCCATACTGAAGAGGCGGCAGTACACCGGTGTCTCTGTGCAAACACTACATCCAAGGCATTTCGACCAGGGTACTATCCTTGCCCAAACCCCCATGCCTGGCCATGACATTAGCCTTTCTCGCGATACTCCTGATATGGCTCGGGTTGTAGAGCAACAGCTTGCCACTGCCGGGGCAGAAATGCTGGTAGAGGTCTTGAAGCAACGCAAATTTGTGCCTCCGCACGAGCCCGTCGGATGGTACGCACACTCCAACGGTCCAATTGACCACGCACCAAAGATCACCAAGCAAGATCGCTATGTTGATTTCGAAAAACATACCGCGGCAGACGTCATTGCCAAATGGAACGCACTTGGCGACCTGTGGTGTCTGCTACCCACGGGTGAGCGGCTGATACTACACGACGTGCTTGATCCAATGCTACCAGACGATGATGAGTATGTCACGATGAAACCGGGACTCTTTGTGGATTCAGAGTTGAAGGGCTTGCTCTGGTTTAGAGGAGCGTGTGGTAAAATGGGAAATGTGCTCAGTAGCACATTAGAAGGGGGCAAGAAGGGACAAGGGAATGCGAAGTTGCTACAACTGTTCGGTCCCCCAAGAAATTCAAGTGTGGGAGATATGCCTTTAATGCGTCCTTTACACAGGGTTATCTGACAGCGCTGTCTCGCCCGAATACTGAACTACCAAACTGTACAGTCAACGAACTCGCTCTTGCTTCTCCCATTCTTCTTTAGCATCCTCGAACTCCTCAATCTCTTTCATCACCCGCACGCTCTTCGATGTGGTCTGTACTTGGTCCAAAGCAGTTGCGAAGCCTGAAGAGTCCGAAATCTCGTAGAATAGCTGTCGCGTCCCTCTAGAGCTGTTTTCCACTGCCTCATTTAGCGCCCCCAACAGCATCAGGAAACATTCGTCCTTCTCTCTCGGGGGCGCTTTGTGGTTGACAAAGCGAGAAAATCCCTCAGTCCAACGATCGATCTCATTCCTCAGCTCCTGCGTCTGCTGCTTGCCTTCCACCGTCGACTGAAAGATGTAGGGTATACAAGCTTGGAGCTCCTGGCTGGTGGGCATGATACCCGTCAGGAAAGATGGCTTCGGAACTCTCTTCAGCTGTGCGTGTTGCCGCAGAAAAGCTTGATATTCTTTTGCTCCGAAAGCACGGCGTTCATTGTTGAGCTTGACAGTAGCGACTGACAGCTCGCTGTGGCCTTGTAGATCTTCCTTACAAAATTCGCTTTCATCAGTTGCCTGACTTTTCCAAGACGTAGCATGCACGGCTCCTTGCGTTGAATCTCCTTTTGAGACCGCTCCGACGTATGCTTTCGCCGTTGACGTTGTATATGGTAGATCCGAGACGGCATACATCGCCACTGAAGGCAAATTTCTTCCTTGTTTCGCGACAGGGCCAGAAGACTCAAAGACTGATAAGCCACTCGGTGAACAGGTATCCGTACATAACTGCTTACAGGACAATGCTGTACCCTGTATTGTAGCCATCTCGACGACTTCTGTTACGGGAGTCGGTCGTGTGAGTATCGCGTGTATCTCTTGTACCATAGCTCGAAATCTTTCATCTGCAGCTGGGTTACGCAGTACATCTACTAACAAGGACTGCGTTACTTCATGATTCTTCTTACTATCTGCGTATGCGGATGCAGTGTTCGCCCTGCTGTGTTGTTAGTCGATATTGGCTCGAGATACAAGCCAAAATGCTTACCAGATCACAGAGGTCAACAGCAGGTTTATCGCATCGGTATGCGACTTAAGTTTCTCCCGATACTCTTGCAAAGACTGCTTCTCGTAGTCCCATCGCACTCTCTGCCAGTTGACTTGGATACTCTTCTTCACGTCTTCCAGCGTGCGTAGTTTCGATTTGCCCTTGTCCGCCTTACTCTCGACATCACGATACTTCTTCGTCACGCTATCTAGTTCTTGTAGCGTAGAAGCACAGGAGTTAATCATCACATCAAGCTTCTCTTTAAACCCTGACCCGCCATAACGGAAACCTGGCCGCGCAAGGACATCGTTCGAAACTTCTCCGAGGTGATCCAAGGCGCACTTCAAACTGAACAGCACTTCCTCGAGCTCTTTCAAGTCCCGCGATGCTGCCTGCCGTCCAGAGCTGATGCTCGCGTAGAGGTTATACGCTAATTGGCTGAGAAGGACTAGATGCAATTAGTACTCCTTCTACATCAATCCAGTTTCATCGACGTACTGATATCCCCTATTGAGAAGCCAAAAGACATGATCCTCAGTCTTTTTCCAAAATGAGGGAGATGGGTGCGTCGACCCGGCTGAATGCAACGAAAGCGGACGTGCGTGTGAGGCTGAGGTCACCCCACCTGACAAGGCTGAAAAGCTGAATGGCTGGCAGGCAGCCATCGAGCTGATTCAAATCTAAAGATAAGCATCCTACTCTCTCAACCCCTCTCTTACATAGCAGGTCTTCCAATACTTCAATCAAGACGCAGATCTGTTGCCTACTATGAGCTGCTCAACGTTGACCCAAGTCGTCCCGATAGGCTGCCGTAAGGTCGTGATCGAGGGCCTAGGGAGTTTACAGCATCTTGATCAGGTCAGCGAGGGTGAAACCAAAGCCGAGAGGCCTGCCTCGCCGTCGTTCTCTATGATCATACATGATGACGAGCCAATATCTGAGCTTTGGAATCGGATTGAAGGTTATCAATTCGTCCAACGTTCCTGATGATCAGGCTTTCTACTGACGCGAAGCAGAACACGGCTTCCAAAAGCCTCTAGAGCTCATAATCGACGATATACACTACCGCGAAGATACCCACAGATACGTCGTAAGCAACCATGACGAAGTCATTGTGGTCACGGACGACCAGATATCCACCAAGAACACAATCAGACTCACAGAATCGCTTATCTCACACGCAAACACTCATCATGGTCCAAGTATCGACTTTAATATCACTCCGCTATCTTCCTCGCAATGCGCCGTGGATACCAGTTGCGGATTTCACGTGTCTTTCGAACGAACACCGAGAATGCCGGATGACAACAGGTTGCACCAGCTGCCAGGCTCGTTGGGAAGTTACGACCTATTCAGTGTACAAGCATATTCTAACCGTCTTCCGAAAAGCATCAGTGAGAGTGGAGGTGTTTTCTTCCCCATGTGGCAGAGAGAAGCTATGTGGCTGAACTTCAAGCCAAAGCAGCACAAGTGGGCTGTTCGTGTTTTCATGGGCCATGTCAATACTATCTCGGGTCGCACGATAGAAGAGACTGCTAACAAAGAGGTCGAGGATCAGCAGCAAGATTATATCGTTATACCTGGTCAACCATGGTTAGATGGTATTTGTGTAGCGCCTGGCGTAGTTCGCCAGTTTGTAGCTATGCCGCGTACGTCACTGGCTTGCCTTTCATGAAACTCAGCTGACAGAAAGAAGTGGGGTCTGGATACACCGTCGAAGGCCAAAAGACGTCAAAAGAGCAGTATGGAGGTCTTCAACTTGAAATCACACCGGAACTCTTTCCGAAGCAGCGCTTGTGGTCGTATGGCAAGGACAAACATATCGTAAAGAGCGTACGCGGTTTTCCCAGCGGTCTTGATGAGATGAAGACACCTGAACAGCTTGGTAGAAATATCGGCGATGTTCTGAGATCGTACCCGGTCGATTCCATATATGAGGAGCCTCTCAAGATAAGGCATCTTGCAAAACCAGGATCGTATATCACGTGTAGAGTAGGTTCATCTAAAACCTACGTGGGTCTCTCGCTAACCTATATGTTTGAGGTGATCGCCCAAATGCGTTTTGCCACGCTGCAACCTATTAGATTGAGCCCAAGTTACAGCTCCTGTGTACGCTGCGACACCAACAGTGGTAGTCTGGGGCAACTGCCAATGGCCCCCATTAAAGACACATCGGAGATCCGGAGTGAATCAGCACCCGACGGTCTTTTGCCCGAACAAGTGACAGAGTTTTCGAGCAAGACAGAAAGCTTGGATTACAGCTCTGAGGATAACACTAAAAGAGAACTCGAGGTCAATGATGCGAGAGACATCAGTGCCATGGGTCTAGCCGCTGGCGGAAAACTGAGTAGGGCTAAATACACGTTCGTCCTACTTTTACTAACCCAGAATGTAGTTCAAGATATATACAAAGATCCATACCCAGCCACATTATGGAACCACTCTGCTGCACGCGTTCTCCATGTGCACATCCTCGACCCAGTAAGCTGCGAAAAGGTAACGCACATCGTGCCACGGTCTCCGTCGATGGATGCCAAAACGTACACCGAAGCTTCTGGACAATTTTTTGTTGTAAAAGAAAAGGTAGACGAGCGCCTCGACGGAGGTGATTTCGACAATGTGAAGAGTGTTATCCAGATGGACCAACAGGTCGGCATCAGTACTGAACCAGAGTTTGACCCAACAAAGCCGAAGATGTGCACGACATGCGAACTTCGACTGTGTGACTGCATGTACGTAACTCTTCTTCAGCTGTGCCTCTTCTTCCTAACACAGCCAGTATCCGTCCCTGTGACCACCAATTCTGCAACATCTGCATCAAGAGGATTGAGCAGAACAGCAACGAGGATTCTGCCTCAGCGCAAAGAGAATGGAAGTGTCCGACATGTGACAGCATGGTTTCGCACGTAGCAGGTTTTTCGGCTCCTATGAATCTGCCAGGCGAGGAGCCATTGCGCGTCAAAGTCCCGGTTAATGTGCTGGAAGTTGAAGACGGTAGGGTGAGATTTGAAAGTGTGCAGAGGACCAGAATCTAGGGCTGATGTTATATGAGTGCATGAAAGGCGGAAATGCCTGTGCTTCTGAAGATAGCAATCTGCGTCCTTTGAACATGTGTAATCTTTGCAGCAAGGGAACTATACGCAAACGCGATAACGCCGGCAGTCGACCGAATGTGTAACAAAAAAATATTTGCCTTATAGGGCATAGGAGCAACTGAGCGCGTCATCATGGTGTTTTGACCATAAGTAATGCTCACCCAACACGCAAAAAATAATCCTCCTCCGGGAAGGCTCGAACTTCCAACCTCCTGATAGCCACTGGTGTAACAGTCAGACGCGCTAGCCAATTGCGCCACAGAGGATTGTTTGATGAAGTGCTGAGCAAGTTTGATTTATAAGAAAGAATCGATTGGAAATGCTCGTCGCGTCGCGTCCGCAACAAGATAGAGTTACTTAGCGTATGCTCAAGTGGGGTAGCTAACCCCCACTTAAGATGTTACCGGAGGTTCCATCACCAAGCATAGCAGAACAACCATTACGATGAGAGCGAAGCAAGGGACAATTCATAACAACACCATAGTGGGCTGGATATGTGAACATCGCAAGCAAAGATGCAACCATGTTTCGATAAGCGTCTATGTTCTATGTTTCTCTCCATGCTCATGTAAAATACCCTGGCAATTTCTTTTTCCAAAGCGCATCAAGTCGCTGTTATTGCAGACACTCCACGTGAACGTCTCTTCATCATCTCAGTGGCCTCATCGGTATGTCTGCGTCTTCTTCGTCTATTTGTTCACCTTCGAATTCCGGAGATATCAACCCCCTCTCTTCCTCGTCGTCTCCTCTTCCTATTGGCTCTACTTTCTTCGTCGGCGCCTCCTTGTTCATCGCAACATATATCGCCGAACCAAGGATGAGCGAGGATCCAGTTATGGATAAAGCGCCAGGTGTCGTGCCCCAGACCAGCTTGTCAAATGCGAGTGCGAAGAGCATTTGCATATAAACCATGTTTGTTGCGCGAGATGACTTCTCGTATTGAAGACCTGCGGCTAAGAGGAATTGCTAGGCGGTGTGAGTTAAGAAGCATAACACGGCGGCACTATGTAACAGACATACCATTACGAAACCGCAGACGCCCAGAAAGATCAGGTAGCACCAGTCTCTCAGGCTGTTCGGAAGCAGGAAGCCAACACCAGGTATGGTAAACATTGCCACTACGCTGACAATCGTACACCATGTTGCAAAGTAGTTGACGGATATGAGCGGATGTGCTCGCTTGCCGATCCATCGAATTGTGGTATATGCGCCTGCGGCTCCAATGACACCCAGCATTGCAATGCCTACTGCCACTGCTCGTTGCGTTGGCGTCACCGAATCATAGTCGGCGGCGAGACGATCGGGTGAAGATACAGTTGTGTTCGGTAGAAGAGCATCTAAGTCGCCGGTAGCAGGAGGAATAGGTGCGTCGGAATGCGACAGTGCAGAGAATAATGTAACAGGTCTTGCGATAAGAACAACGCCAAAGAGCGAGACGTAAGCAGCGATCTGTTCCATCCGGGTGAAAGGCTCATTGATGAAATATGAGCATGCCCAACAGGCGAGCGATGGTGCGAGAAACGTGATAACAGTGGCATCGGCCAGAGGCAGGTACAACAAAGAGTCTGTGATAGTCAGCACTATGACATGTGAAGTGGGCCCATATGATGTACTATGGAGTCCATCACAGCAGTGGGTGAGCAAGAATCCTCAAGCGCGACCGAGCATCTGACGAGCTGAGACGAGTTACTGTACCCACACGGTTCCTTGATCGAGGCTGCATAACTTACAGTACATTCCAAAGACTCCGAAGAAGCCGAAAAGCCCTCTAGCAACTAGCAACGAGCGGACTTCCTTCATTCCGAAAGGGAAGTGTTCTGTCTTCTTGTACCACATGTAGAAAGAGGAGCACGCCACGGTGATACTCATCCTCGCGAATAAGATTTGAAACGGGTGATATCCGTTGCCTATGACAGTCAGTACATGTAGCTATCGCTACCGGAGGGTCTTCGTACCCTTATTTCCTTCCATTTCTAGTATTCTCGTGGTAACATTCATCAGAGTTCCGAATAGCTGAGCGAGTAGAACAAGTGCGAGACCCTTGTTCGATGTCCATGATGCTTGGACTTTGCCTTTGAGGGTACGAGGAGGAGTGGGTAAGCGTGAAGCATATCTGTCATGGTATAGAGGAGCATAGTCTGGATTTTGACCAAATCGTATAATGTTCGAATCGTCTATTGATACAAGGGATGGGTCCGGGGAAGGAACACGAATTGCCCCGCGATGAACAGTTAGCGTATCATCCGTCTTATCACCGGTTTTTAGAGACGATTCAGCCTCGGGTTCGCGCTCGTTGAGCTGCTGCAGCGATTTATCATCGTTTTGAAGAGAGGTGGAGAGCGATGCCTGTACCATAGTGTTTCATGGAGGAATGATAGAGGGTTGCAGGTCGGTGACGGTGACATGAAGACATGATGGACGGCGAACGAAACGCCAGCCACGGGCGCCAATTGTGAATTAGGAAGGCGGCAATCCAGTCGACGAGTCACAGGCACGCGACACTGCCCCAGATCCACACTTGAGCCCCTCCTTCGCGTAGCTTTCCCTTAGACCCCGCTGGTTCATCGAAGAGTATCCATTTTAGACGCGATCACTTCTCTAGTTCTCAAAGACTTGATATGTGTTGAAGTAACTGCAGAGGACGTTTGTTTTTTCATAATGACGTTGGCCTACCTACCCCGCCATTATCGATCCATGCAGATACCTCGGTCCAACCTTGGCAATCAATGCGGCGGGTCAGTTGGCACATGAAGACGACTTTTTCAAACGTAGGGGTGTATCATGTAGGAAGAACGAGTGAGCATTGCCTGACTCATGTATTTGGTGATACTCACATCCTATCAGCAGTTCACACTGAACCCTGCTACCATCGAATCTCCCACCTAGGCAGCTCCTTCTCTTTTGGTTCCGCATGAATACCTGCCAAATTCGATCAACATCGGAATGAAGTTGCCCACATATAAGACAAGGCTATTCGGCCCTTTTCCTGTCGTTAAGGCCATGCGACCCGTATTTTACAGAGGCAGCCATGTTCGCGATTGTTGGTACACAGGCGCACTTGGTGACCGACACTATCCTTGAGAACGCGGAGGACCAACCCGTTCCTTCTCTGATCGCCCTCTCGTCACATTACTCCAATTGATGACAAACCCATTGGCACACCATCGCTATGCATGAGCTGTCAAGACAGAGTTAGAGGCGTTCTTTTGGGCGCTTCGCGCACCGAGAAGGTTTACTACACCGATCAACGGCAAGAGATGTTAGATGTCGGACATGACCAGCAACGCTTGCAGCCGTGTGGCTCAAACAAACTTCTCATCCACATGTAGGCGGACCAACGGCTGGCAGCCACAAAATGATGGCTTGGAAGCGATGCTGCAGATTTGGTGATAACCCATCGTAGGAGGAGATTTGCAGGGAGCACTTCCTTGGATCAAAGATCCCCCACACTATCTTCAAATCAGGCGTAACGTGCGGATCTCGTCACCAAACCCGCGATTCTAGACAACCCTTTATTTGTGAGCAATTCCTAATGATGGTCGCTATCTCGCAGCACACCATTACTAGTGTCAGTGGCGCTAGTCTGCCGCTCTTGAAAGTGGATTGCGGCATCTCCCAGCCCGTAAAACGGTGTCCAGCCGCTGCTCTAGTGGCACAACAGCATCGTCTGCCACATCGCTTGACCATGGGCAACGCTACTGCTCGTCACACAAATGATGCAAGCGAAGCCTTACCCCGGCCTGTCAGTCACACGTCTGTATACCGGGGTCGCGGAAGGCGAAAACTGGGATCCCCATTGTGTGTTACAAGTAGATGAGAACGACAACACCACAGCTGTCAGCGATAATTTATGAACTTTCTTTACGAACTTCGGGAAAAAGGTGCACACCATCTTTGCGTCATGGGTGGGCCCAATGATTGTGGCCATTGAGCTGCATCGAAAAAGGAAATAAGTGGTGGAGCGTTTCATAACGACTATCATGACTCGCAGGTATGGGGCGTATAAGGCTGGAACACACGGCAGCACGCGCTACACTCGACGTGATATTGGTGTGATGAGTGTCTTCCCTTTGTAGCGCTCATGCACGGCATCCAATCGCTATCGGTTCCCGTCAAGGAAACGTAATTTTCCAACAGAGTGGATCTACCCTCAGGGGTCGACAAGTCGAAGGGCAAGACGGTGTCTGCGGCAGATGGCCCCAACCCCCCTACAGCAAAAGTGCATTCCTTTTTGCAAACCCTAAATGCAAGACAAAATTCTCGGATTCGTAACCCTTTGTTTAGTGAGGCAGCTTTAGCCGTAGTGCTGCGTGGTTGCGGAAGGTCTCCCTTACAACGCATCGCCTAGGTTACATTCTGCCCAAGTAGACAATCCCAGGTGAAAACCACAGTTCACCACGCATTACCGACGTTTCAGGCTTGCCACGAGGGGAGGCAGCGTACGCACAGATCGACTGCAAATCTCCCGCTCAAGGCGCCCCACGGGAGCGCGCGTAAGGACAGCCCGTCGGCTAAAAGGGAATCAACAACGTGACCTAAGCGCGCTGTATCACCAACAGCTTGGCTTGATGCCCAAATACATGAACAATCGTGTATTTCTGTTGAAAGTTGGAAAAAGAAATAGTAGTGAGACACATGTCTATCTTGATGCTTCAAGTGGACAGTTTTGCCGACCTTTTGCGACTCGCCTACTCGACGTCGCAATTAAGTTTTAGGTCGCCGTTGAACAAAGCTAAGGGTTATATCATCGAGACTATGACGGTGCGCCTTGCGCGGGAATGGAGATATCCGGTAGTGGTGTCCTTTTTTTTGTCCATCACCACATCACGACGGCAATGTAAACACTTCGGAGATGGCGACGTTGGTGCCCAAGGAAGATCCATGTTGAGGAATACCAAGAAAAAAATCCTACTTCCTGGTCCATGTTCGATATGGATCGGCGTGGGGTGTTGGTAATACCGGTAAGGATGGGAAAGGGATATATCAGCGAAAGCGATATAGGTAGGGTGGGGCGAGACGGCATGAACGCGAACTATCGAACGGCCACATGGACAGTGGCAAGCGAGATTTTCTTTCCTAAAAATGCTGTAAGCACCATGAGATGATTAGTCTCGTCACCTTGTGACAGCTTGGAAAGTTTATGCTGTGGGACTTGGTGGCTTAGCTAAGACATTGATGGAGAGAATGAGTATCGTCGCGCGACTCGTACTGCGACTACCATCCCGCTGTGAAGAATACATGGCGCCTAGTTTTTTTTTGGATGATCAGTTGCATAGCGTGAGTTCATAGTGTTGAGATCGAACGATGAGAATAGGAGGACACTGCAGTGAGACTTCACTGTGCTTGCTCGCGAAACAATACTGAAAGAAGACTGACAGCGCATATGTCGTAAATCCTATTGATTTGGAGTAACCATGCAGTGCGATAACGGAGAATAAATGCAGCGAAGCAAACACAGCAGCCAGCAGGAAACCACCTTTGAGATCCGCCCAACCTATCCCGAAAGCAGCACGACAGTTACCGAGCACCACAGACTGTAAAGATGCCCATGTCAGCGGTGCCACATCGCTTGCTCGTCAAGTGTCGTACAGATACCGGTAAACCTTCCTTCATCCATGTAGATCCGACTCCACCTTCCTCATCATTACTTCTTGCCGCCTACAGTGGCCCCCTACCTAGCATCGCCCTAACGCCTGTTGCCGCAAAGTCATGCGCTCTTTCTCGGGAGCCCTGCTGGCCGGGTGCGGCGAATTTGCTTTGGCCACGCGCCTGACCACCGAAGCTTTGGTCGTCATACACGACCGAGTCGTTGGAAGCTACAATGTGCCTTTGGTACACTTCTTGCGTGCCCTCACTGAGTGTAAGGCGTTGCTCCGTGTTGCCTGATCCAAATGACTTCTTGAGTGCGGGGACGGACAGATAAGATGCTGTGCCATTCTGTCTGTTTTTCAAGTCTGAACTAAGGAATGCCTGGTTGCTGTAAGGCATCGAGCGTAAGCGTGTGTAGTCGAATGTCTTCAAGTCGTTTGGAAAGGCCAAGTCGCCTTGCTGTAGTACGTTTTTACTTCGGTCCATGCTTGCGTCAATGGTAACGTTGCCGCCTGCTGGTGCGTTGTAGGATGATAGAACCCAAAGAGGATACTCGAAGCTTCTAGAATAGTCGGAAGATGATGTATGTGTGCCTGTTGTCGACTGGCGAACGATCTGGTCGTTACCGCCGTTGCTGAGAGTGCCGACGTTGGAGAAGGTGAGCTTCTGTGTCCAAGTTACTGTTTTCGATCCTGTGGGTGTGTCAATGGTAGACCTGATGTCCACATTCCGAGTGACCTGTATAGAATAATCCAAAGATATGCCTTCACTGCCGTTCGAGTTTCCATGTGTTGTCGATTGCAGTGTGATGGCGGAAGTAGAGTGAGAGGTAGCAACTGTGCCAGTCGTAGGGTTGTTACTAGAGTCGAGCCAAACGAATATCTTTCCTGTAATGACCCAATTCGATCCGATCGCCGTCGTAAAATTCCCATGTCCACGACCATCATCGTCAACACTGACAACCTGTATTTCAAAGCTATGGGGCTGACCATCGCTGAGTAATGGTATGAACGGAGTGATGTCTATCTCGTCGTCCCGCAGATCAAATGCATCGATGCCTACGACCGGTCTCCAGAATCCCGGCACAACACCTCCAGTAAAGATGACGGGAAAGGGCCAGGCAACACCGGCCAAGATTCCGTCGATCAGAAGACGAAGCTCTCGGAAGGCCGAGTGACCATACAGTGTAGTGTCGTTGCCGAATGCGGTAGTGTCTGATGACAGTACGTTGCTCCACCAGAACTCTTCAGCGGCCTGACCACAAGCGGAGATTGAGAAGACAGCTTTCTTGGCGTTCTCTGGGAGTGTAGCACTGTTGACTGCTCTTGTTTCCGGGACGACGAACGCACTCGACGCATCCTCGCCAGACTTTCGTGCTGAGATTGGAATGATGACATCTGCGGGCTCGATCGCATCATCGGCAGTAAAGAAGGTCGCGGTCAGCGTGGTGTTCCAGAGACCAGTATAGGTATCGTCAACGATGTTGCCGAGATCAAAGATGATCTTCTGCGGCGTCTTGAACAGAGCAAGATAGCCGCTCATGTCCTTGACATAGCTCCATATGATGCCGCTCTGAGTCGGCTCAGCGGTGGAAGTACGGAATACCTCGGTGTCATCAAGGAACATTAAAGCAAGCCGGTCGAATTGTCGGCCAGCGGAAGTGACCGTAAAGTTGATCGTGACTCTGTTGAAGCTGCAGTTCGGTGGATTGTACTGACCAACAAAAGGTTGGCCGTACGAGTAGGCAAAAGTATGGACCATCAAAGTTTGCTGGCATGCGTCAGTTGGACTCAGGACCGGTGGCGTAACCTCAAGACACTCTAAAAGGGACGATTCGTTCGTAGCACGGTTTCTCAAGGACAAGGTCTGGGAACGGGACTGCGCAAACGAGGGTGTCGTCAATAGAGCGGAAGCAGATTGAGATAGCGTCATTAGTATTAAGAGCAGTGCCACGAGACGTGACTGTCCGTAGATGGGTGCTGCTCGTAAAGGTGATGCCAATTCTAATAATTCGCCATTGCGCCTTGCAGAAACTCCATCGCTCTTGCGCTTCCAGTTATACATGCTAAACGCCATTTTTGCAACCGGCCAGTAGTGGTTTGCTGTTTAACGCCGTTACTCCGTTGTTAGAGGTATCTCGGAAAAAGTCCAGGTATCTTGGTGCACCGATGAACGCCAAGTAAGAAATTCGATGTCGATATGTGATAGCCAGCTAGTTCAGGTCAGTACGTCATGGATTGGTGATAGTGCAAGGTAACTCACATCATCAATTCAAAAGTGCAGCAGGTGCCTCATTCGATATGCGGCGGAAGCTTGCGGAAAGTGGGTGTTGTAGACGAAGGCTTGGGAAAAGCAGTTGCGAGGTGGGTGGTGGTATGTGTGCCGTTCCGACGTCCGTGAATTTCTTCTGTCACCCGTCGAATGCGAATGAGAGCAGTATGTCCGGCGAGCTACTATTGGCCGCCTTTGTGATTGTCCCAAAAGCGTTTAGTAGCGTTGCGGACTACTTCGTTATCTCCAAATCGTGTGCGATAATAGTTCATAAGCGCGAACTCGTCTGGAGGCAGGATATAGGACTGTGGTTGAGCGTTTAGTTTTGACCAGACTACGGCGAGACGCTTTTCGAGGAATTGAGCAAGTTGCTGGTCAACGCCTCCTTCGCTGTTTTGAGCAACGTGGACAGCCTGACCGAGAGAGAGGTAGCCATGGCCTGCTATATATTCCGTGTTACCACCCATGTTGCTGTCTAATGCAGAGTATATTGGTTGGTGATGAAGCTAAACGAGAGAGGAAGGAGCGATTGGTGATAGTAGTGTTGACAAAGATAAGGAGCGTGAGAGTCGAAATGTATGTCAAGAGAGCGGTGACGGGTAGTGAGACACGGTGCAGAATAGGTGAGGAAGTAGTGCGGACAGGTAGTCTATATACCAAGGCATATTAATAGGCAGCTTGAGATTGAGACGAACCCACGTGGAGAAACAGGCAGATCCTGAACAGCAACTCATGCAGCTCTGCAGGGTAAGAGCTTAGTCGAAGCCTCAAACAGTTGGCTCCGGGAGCGTGCCGTTTTGGGCGCTGTCAAGTTGTGAAGCGAAGGAATGGGTGTAACACCAAAGCACAGTATCATCCCGCCGAATAATGTGAGAGGCAAGGGCCCTTGTCCGCCAGGAAGTCACAAACGGCGCCGAGCTTTGCAAGGGCAGGGCGATCAACTCCAGAGTCCAGCCGAGCTAGCAGGGGGGACAGACGACGCTGGCGCCGTTCAGAGAGGAGCCCTTGTCCGGTGCTTTGGAACGTCAGAGGGCAGAAGAACGCTCGTGACCACGGGCCAATCAAGGGGGTAATGCGGCGGCAAGAGGACGATGTTAAGGCCAGGTAGATGAAAAGTGGTCTCCATCACTCGTCAGCTCAGTACCCAAAGCTCAAAGTTTGAGACTGGTGCGGTTGCAGGGTTGTGGGAACGCCGAAAACTTTAAAGGATCAACTTGCAAACCTTCCCAGGCCCTCGCAGCCAGGCGCCGACCCGTGCTGCAGGATTGTTGCCGACAAAGTTGGACGAAAAGGAAGGGCGAGCCAGTTGATGGCAGGAGAAGGGCTCACTAAAGCAGAAGACTATACAGTTGTCGTTTGCGATGTCGTGATGCAGTTGTTCGGCAGTGGGAGTGGCGCCGGGAATTACAAACGCGTCGCCAGGCATCTGAACGAGTCGGCGACTGCAGCACAGCGGAACAATGTGTGGAACCTTGTCAGATCGAATCAGGCTAATGTAAAACGTTGAAGACTGTTAGAGGCCGGATGCGTCCGCGCGATGCCAACGCCCTCGATCAGCCACTCCACCGTCAGGACACAGGCAATTGTCCTATCCCAAGAGTGATGTGCCCCACCGCTTTGCCAAAGGTCACCCCATGCGTAGCGAGGCGACCGGATAATGACAAGCGGTCTAAAGGAGTGTGGGTAGTGGGTTGTGAAACGGTCGTGTTGGATGGATTTCTGTAACGGAGGGCTCTCCTGTTCCACCACCGGCGCTATCGGTACCAGCGAACAGGTTCGCATACAGACAAAATGGACCCGCACGGTCGATAATAAAGCTACGCGTGGTGCCCCCGCAATTTAGAATTCAAGATGCAGAGTAGGAATACGACGTGTGAAATGCAGTACGGCGCACCATGGTCCATGCTGCATGTCGAGCGAGGAGCAGGCTGGCACCCAGTAACGCCACACCTCGGGCGTGCTTGACGGGCTTTTGGAATTGCAAATGACCGGAGCGCTTGCGAGACATCACAATGATTTTCCTGGCCAAGCGAGGGTGAAGGAGTCAAGCGTGCATGGCTGCATGTGCTGCCCATGTTCCGCCCGCAAGGAGGCGTGTAGCTAGCCTGATTGGTACTGGGCTGCAACAGATGTTTGCAGGAAACACGCTTCGAGACTCCCCGAGGAAGTTCTTGGCCACAGTTGGGCTGATGCAGGCTGACGCTTCTGTCAGGCAATTCTGAGAATGTGCGCAAGACGTGATCCCTGGTCTGCCCTTGTCTTGGATCACGGCGGACATGTCGCAGCTGGCCAGAAACGCTGTCGTATAGAGAGACTGAAGGCGTTGAGGAAATGAGACGGTTCTACTCTCGCAAAGACAGGCGAGACAGAGTTGAATCCCAGCTCCACCGCCTCTGCCTCAAGCCATTCGGTCGGTGCGCCTTGACATGTCCCTCTGGCAGGATTCGTCATGCGACATGGCGATGACAAGCCTGAGGCAATGACTTTTGCGGTCAGTGACTCGGTAAACTCTGGGTCCATTCTGGGTCCATTCTAGCGCTGGTCGAAGACGGGACGTGTTGTGCATCTTCGATGTCTTCGAGACGAGAACCATGGTGTATGGATGATGCTCGTTAGCCCTACGGATTGCTCCGAGCGACAAAACCCAAGACGGCGTGTGAGGTCTACGGATAAAGCAGAGTCGGCAGCCGCGTTAGGAAGTCAGCATGCGCGAGCGGACGATGGCGCCATGGGCATTCGTGCGGCGACGGTGAATGCTCGGGGTGCGGAATTACTATTGGCCGGGGGCGGACCCTGGCAGAATTATATGGCAATAGTGACGCTGCAACAACGTTAGGTAGCTTTGGCGAGGACTTCCGGCACCACAGCGCTGTGACAGTGAGCCTGAGTCGACGACCACCGCCCCACGTGAAGACCGATTCACCTGCCGCCGCAACACTCGCCCGCCCATGCCATGAAGCCTCGAGTAGATCGCCTCTGGACTGCCCAGCTGCCGTTTGCGCGTGCCGCCAGAAGCGCCGCCTCACGACCATCAGCACCCTTCCTTCGCACCTTCTTCACGCCTACCCAATCCAGCGCCCCTTCCAGACTGGGAAATAAATCGCTCGAGCAAAGCGCCCTCCTGTTCTTCCGATACCAACGCTCTGCCCTCGCCCGCCGCTTCCGCTCTCTGCGCTTCAAAAGTGACAAGCCTACTGTCCAGTCGCACAACCCCACGCCGCACCTAGGCAGTCCTGAGCCTGCGCTGTCGGTATCACAGCGGCTCAAGAAGCTTTCCCGCGAATATGGGTGGACGGCGGTAGGAGTCTACCTGGGACTGTCACTCATTGACTTCCCCCTCTGCTTCATAGCAGTACGCTGGCTGGGAACCGACCGGATAGGCCACTATGAAGAAGTGCTGAAAAACGCCCTCTGGAGTGTTGTCCGCATAGTCGTCCCAGACGCCGGCAAGAAGCTAGAAGATGCAGGCGTCGAGGAAACCACTGCAGAGGCCACTGCGAGAGAAGGCTATGTCGAGGCTGGACGAAGTGTAGGACACAACGGTGGGTCAAACGCATGTATGGGAAACCTTTCTCTCTGGGGCAATGAACAACGCTGACAGCAGCCACAGCAATCTGGTCACAACTCGGACTAGCCTACCTCGTACACAAGTCCCTCATCTTCTTCCGCGTGCCACTCACCGCAGCCGTCCTCCCCAAGGTTGTCAAGACCCTGAGAAGCTGGGGCTACAATATTGGCAAGAGAAAGCCAAAGACCCCGCCAGTCTAGATCTGTTCCGAACAGACTTTCACGCAACCGCCACACGGCCCTTCGATATTACTCCCTGTACATTCATGCATTCACGACTCTGTAACAACATACACATGTAAGATACGAATGTAACAAGCGTAGCTCTTTTACATTCTAGTGCCAGCCCCTCAGCAGACCTAACGTCCCATGACGTTCGATCGCAATGTACATTTTTGGTCTTTGCCATAATGTCTTGACCATAGACAGCAGCCACTGATCTACTCAAATTATTCTTCTTTACCTCTTTCTCCCTCTGATACACAAGTTGGTCCAAAAGCTTTCCGTCGCCGGTGGGCCCCTTTGTAAAGCTATCGCGTTCACCTTCCGGTGAAGAGTCGTCAATTCCAACGTTAAATCCGGCATCTCACAACAAGGATCGTTTCAGGCCTCCCCCACGATCGCTCGCCAAACCTTGTCGGTCTAGACGTGCCGCGGAGTCCTCTCCGCACACTGCTCTCAAACCTAGCGCAACGACCCCCGCTGCTGGGAACGTTCCTTGAAGAACTTCAATCGTCGGCATGCCGCGTTTACACAGGGAAACACCCTGTGCGAAGCAAGGTACCAGCCGCGCAAACACCAGCGGTAATGTTATGCACAACATATAGGGAATGCAGGGGAACATAACCTAATCTTCGAGTGTACCGACCACATTGCTTTTGCCGGACCTGTATCATGGGATTCGTGGTGTAAATGTACCAAGCCAATCTATCGGCGTCGGAAAGACGCAAGCACCCGCCTATTCTTCGTATCTTGGGCTTACCTGGACCGCGGTATCGTGATTCCGCAAATCTTCGCCCAAGTTACGGACTTTTGTCGCGTGTGGCGATGGTGTTCTCACCCGAGCTTTACCCAGACACCCAGTTCACCCCTACCCACATCGGTCCTTTTCGTGTCGAAACTTTCCTTACACTCGGGATTTTTTCCTACACTCTGAATCTCTATGCTTACCCAATTCGTACCCTGAAGCCGTTCACACCGATGTAAATGTTAGCCTCGGAGGCATGTTTTCGAAACCTTGCATTCTCCTAATCGATAAAGTATGTGCTGTCTGGGCAGCTGATTGGTATCTCCACACTCCGTCTTCGTTACCATCATGCCGTCGGCCTCGGCGCTTGCCGACAGATTGTTGTATACACTACTCGTACTTCTCATGCATCCCAAACTGTCGGATTTCTGGTTTGCAAGCCCGAAATGGCCAGAACGTTCAACCTGGCATAACCACCACAAGAGCGCCTATTCTCGCCACATGTGCAGCCATCTTCGATCGCGATGTGATAGTCCCACAGACACTGCGGTAACTTGTTCCCGATGAAACGCGTTACAAGCATCCACACTAGTTTTTTTGACAACGATGGCAGCCTCGCTTCGTGCCGCTCACAAGGCATCAGCCGCAAAGCTGCATGGCTGCAATTGTGACGAACTGCCGAAGTCGGGCGTCTGGGAAATTGATGTGTCTCGACGGTACAACAGCATTGACGGGGGCTAAAAGTTTAAACATTGAGCAAAGACGTCACATCACTGGGAACGCGGAGAAAGTCCAAATACGGTAAAGCAATGCCTCACTTATTGAGAATAGCATATAGACCACCACATACGGGTTGAGACATGGCCGTTGACTATTCACAGAATTGGTAATGTGCTGAAATGAGATCGGCTGTACCGGATCAATATGGAATGCTGAGATGATGTTAGCTGTTCAAGGATATCCTTTCGAGGAACGATGAACACAATACGGGTGGATTGGCTGTGCCTGTAATCCCACCACGGTCGTATACAGCCATAGCCAAGGCTCTCCTATCATTACAGCGGTAGCGGATACGCTGGTAGCATGTTATCGCGTCATCGGACGTGCACAACCACGGACACATATGGTATCCGGGTACCGGATGTACCAGGAGCCGTGCCGGTCTATCTCAGCAATGCGAAGACCTCCGAATACGCAACGTCGTTGCTACACTATATCATGTCCAACGATAAAAAGCTTCGGAAGGGATGTATGGGCGCAATGAGACCCGAGTAGCCACAGATGAAAGGCAGCCAGGTCAATTAAACGCTCACGGTGTCGTTCTTGGAACATTCTTAGAGGGCTTATGTCGAAGTTGATACTGTTCGAATAAGCGTGACAAATTGGTTCCTGAATCTATAGAAGATAGAAATGCTGATTGATGTATAGGCAAGGTTGTTGCACGTAGATCGTTTCAAACATTAGAAAACGTCGTAAGCACATAGTCGTGGCTGTAGAACATGCGCATTGAAGTTCAAGCAGTAGCACACGCATACGCGTCAGTGCAACGCGAAACGCTGACGAATACAGCAGTTTGCGTACGTAGCTAAAGAGTTGTACAGAAGAGAAGAAAACTTCGCGCGCTGCGAATTTCGTCAAAACCACGCTTGCACGTGTCCGCACTAAACCGAATAGTACACCCCTGCGAAGGCCCCTAACCCCTTTGATCCACGACAACCACTCCACAAGCCTCACCCACGTATCTTCAACTCCGCCATATTGCGCAACCCTTCGACCTCATGACATCTAATTTCGGCTTTCGCTCACGACAATGAAATCTGCTGTCCCTGTATTCGCAGCACACACAGGCATACCATGCCCCGCCTTCCTCTGCGCATCTTCCGCCTACCCACTACCCGAGCCGCGCGTCGGAGACGCATGTACACCATGTTCTTCATCGTCTTCGTGGTGGTAACTTTCATTTTGCCTTTTTACGTCATCTACAAGCCGCCGAATGTCTTAATTCGATATTTCCAACGGAGGTGGCCTGACGTACTGTGGCACGTGCCTTTACCAAGAGCAAAAGGAGGAGAGAAAGTCATTGCATTGACCATTGATGATGCGCCGTCAGAGTACACGCGCGAGATTCTAAAAGTACTAGAGGACTATGAAGCACATGCGACGTTTTTCGTTATCGGTGGGCAGGTGCGTGGAAGAGAAGATGCACTTCAACGTCTTGTGAAAAGTGGCATGGAATTAGGGAACCATGCCATGCACGACGAGCCGTCTCGTTCTCTGAGCCCTGAGACTCTTTACGCAGAGGTCACTCAGGTAGAAGGGTACATCAACGGCACGTACGACACGGTGGGGAAACCGCATCCGCCACGCTACTTTAGACCTGGGTCTGGGTTCTTCAGCACGAGAATGAGGGCGCAGATCAAGAACATGGAGTACCAGATGGTATTGGGTAGTGTGTATCCCCATGATCCTCAGATTGGTTATCCTAGTGTAAACGCGAGGCATATACTTAGTATGGTTCGACCGGGCAGCATTATCATCTGCCATGATCGGAGAGAGTGGACGGCGCCGATGCTAAGAAAGGTGTTGCCAGAATTGAAGAGGAGAGGATATAGAGTTACGACTGTGTCGGGCTTGCTTGAGGCGGCCGGGTGGAAAGGGTAATACAAAGCCATGGAGCGAGGCTTGCAATATCGGATGCGCAATGTCAAAGGACAAGCAATCGGGATGCATACTATTGTTTCAGTATGAGATTGAGCTTACAAAGATGGAGTGATGTATGTCATGGAGGCATATAGAGCTCATCTCACTAAAAGTTACTTTACCAATGGGATATACCCCGTGCCGAGTCTACAGTGCGTAATGTCATAATATATGTTCCTCAAATTAGGAGGACTGGCTTACAAAATTGCTGTCGGAAAACTGCCTATGGCTTCGAGGTATATCTAAGCTCCATGATATCAAGATTTTGGCGTCGCAACTTCGTGTAGTCAGACGGACATCAGAACGACGCAGTAACTACAAGATTCCAAAAGGATAACCATGACGCACAAAGTCTTTGCTTCATGTACTCTTCGTGTAATTGGGTACCAATCGTGACCATAAGTCCTGACTTTTTTAGTTGAAAAAGAACCAGTCACTCCTTTGTACTCATTGACTTTGCTGTGTGTTGTGAGACCTGAGTACTGTCTTTAGCTTGATGGCTCGACATCCGACGCGAGTCTGGTCTTCACGAATCTACAGCTGCATGTAGTTGATGCACAATTTTTGAGAAATCATACTTGCATCAAGATTATCATGCTAAGCTCTTTAGCAACGTTACTACACTGAATCGGTATCAAAGCTTATTCCACAGTAGTAAGACTCTAGTAAGCTCTTTTCCTCTTGCTTTCGAGCAGTCATACACAACATAAAGAGAGCATAATCCTTTCTAATGACTTCAAAATCATGTCGATAGGTGTCGTACATCTTGCAAACTGGAGCGTACGGAAATTACACGCCTCGATTTCCCCACAGCAATAGCAATTACACACAGCAAGCAACTACTATTATGCCAGACGCTTTTTATCCAAAGTCAAGGTCATTGACATTGTGTAAGAATACTTCCAAGGTAAGACTGTTACGCAATAACAGATGTTTTCTGGACGACTGCCCAAGCCCACCGCGAGACAACATATCGGGAATCACAATGTGGAAAGCTGGAAAGACAGCATCACAGTCATGGTTGAATGGTAATGGCGTGAATTATTTCCTTCATTGAGGTATATTACATCGTAATGAAAGCAAGCCCTTTTAAGCTTTTCGCTAGCTTATATCATCTGCATCGTTCGCTGACTGAAGCAATCAATCTAAACCGCCAAAGATGAGAATCCCTAAACTCCTCTACCACTATAGGGCGAGACGCTTAGTCGAAGGGGTTGGTGCGGGTTCCCCAGTAGGTGAGGAACAAACTGAGGCCGACAGTCTCGAGGACGCGGGCAACAGCGCCGACGGCGATGGTGTCCATGGGGCGCTTCTCGGTGACGACCTGGGAGACAATCTATTGGGCCACTGTTAGCGTATATTCGAAGACTTTGGTTGACATGTGGGATGACGTACTGAGGGAGCGGCGGAAGCGAAGAAGATGAGGGAACCGAGGTAAGCAGCACCCTTGTAGGTAAGAGTTCCGGTAGCGTTGATCAGAGCACCGACACCGTAGGCCTGGATACCAGAGCCGAGGATAGAGCTACCCCACGATGCGGCAGCGGTAGCGGCCTCCTTGGTGTGGAAGTACTCCTCCTTGGAGTTAGCCTGCTGCGCGCGGCGGTATGCGTCACCGAAGACGGGTCCAAGGACGGCGAGGGAGACAGCGTGGTTGAAGGCCGTGCCGAGAGCGATGGCAGAGGGCTTGACGGGAGGGAGGTCTGAGGTCAATTGTTAGCTAGGCTGTTGTATTATGATGCCAATGCTGCCAAACATTGCGCAATTGCTTGTGCAAGTGCGGGCAGCAGCTTGTCCACTGACTTGGGCATACTTACAGTGGAGAGAAGCCATTGTGATGAGGGTTTGTGTTTTTAGATGAGGTGATGGGGTGAGTGAATTTGCTTGTGGTGATGGGTTGCAGCAGACAAGGAATGCGAGCTCTTTTGTAGTCGTAGCCGCAGTGTTGGCCTGCACCTGACATTCGTATGACGTAGATGCCAAGGCCCCACTCATGGTGGACAATCGAGCCAGAACCTGGCTTCAGCCGTCCCAATTGACGCAAGTCTATCCACTTGCCCTGGAGCGGGTCTGGATCGTACGCCATAGTTGACTTTAGCATGGACATAACGCGGCCAAAGTCTGGCTTTTCGCCTTTCGACGTGCTTCCTTCGCATGCCTTTCATTCAGGTACGTCACCCGCGGGCCACTTTGGAGGTGGAGTAGGCAGGGAGCTTGGACCCACTACCCCGTCTGCCAGCAATTTGCGGCTACAGGCCATTCGCTCGACGGCTCCCAAGGATTTAGCGCTCGCATCCCCCTCGCTTGCCTCGACAGGTACACCTTGCCTTTGCGTCGGGGAGGGGGATCATGTTCCCTCTATCCTGGTCGCGCCGCTGCCAATGCGCTTTCGCTCGGTGTTTTGCAGCACAGTGAGCGCATATCTTTGCTTTTGACCCAACTGCCAACTCCACGCCCTCGACGGAGCTATCTCCTAGCGGCATGATGATACCAAAGAGAGCTTTTGGGCTCGTATTCTGCCTGCTTTTAGCTACAGGCCTCATACTCTTTTCACGCACTCTTGGACATTCGCTCGCCGAGTACTTTTTTGGACCGCATGGGCCGGTAATTCCGTACACCACGCATATCGTGCTGTTCCAATTCAAAGACGGCACAAGCAAATTCGCTGTCAAAGAGGTTAGATGCTCGCAAGACTAACGCTGATGAGCAACGCTGAGGCCACGTTTTAGGTGGTTGCGCAATTCTTCGGACTGAAGAAAGCATGCATACATCCAACTACGCTGAGGCCATATATTGTATCGATTTCGGGTGGGAAAGATATCTCGACTGAAAACCTGCAGGTATTCAACACCGATGAAAGTTTTGGAATCATCGATAATCTGACATCGCCCACCAGAACGGCATCACCCACGCTTTCGTCCTACAGTTTCATTCCATCGAAGATCGTGACTACTACGTTGATGATGATCCCGTACACAAAGCTTTCAAGGAGGCGGCAAGTACGGCGCTGGAGAAGGCAATTGTTGTCGACTATCAGAATGGAGTATTTACGAGTGTGTGATGATATGAAAAGTAGGTCGAGAATTACTCTTCGTGATGGCGGGAAAGACGGCGGTCAGGCTACCAACATTGTTATCAGCTGGTGCGTGTCGATAGCACTTGATACCGAAGAAAGAAAAGACAGATTTGTGATTACAGTTGATAATAGAATATCGAAGCCACCAAACTCAAGTGCAGTCCAACCAAGCTATTTCATCATCCATGCTTGTCATTAAAACCAAAGCAAACCTAACCTCTGGAATTGAAGCACACATTACTAACCAATGTCATTTGAGAATCGACCCCAAGAATGCAGCAAGCTCCCTAACGAAGATCAACCATTGGATGACTCCCTGGTCTAGTCACTCTCGTCATTGTCGTTGTCTTTCCCCTCCTTCTCAGTCTTGTCTCTTCTTTTCACACTCCTTCCTCTCCTTGCTTGTTGCATGGCCATGGTAGTCACACAACTCAAGTGAATAAGCATCGCAGCCTCCAGACTTGAAGTTAGTATATCGAGCCATAGCCATTGCTACAAACGTCGAAGGTAGGTCTTGAACTTCCTTCAATGTCCAACAGTCTTCACTAGCCCAGTAGCAGTAATAGTCAACCAAGAGACGACAGAGTGGATCTCGGTTTGTTTCCAAGTTATTGAACGTGCGCCGGATAATATTGAATTCGGATAGATAGGGATTCTCGGTAATTTGATAGAAGAGTGTATCGAGGCACTCCCTCTTCAGCCCGGGTACGTAATACTTGTCACAGAAGATGTATAGAGAGACGAGGTTCTCATACAGAACTTCATCGTCCTCAGCGTTGCGATAGAGTGCAAGTAGCTCGGACGAGTCTGTCTCGATAGGAAGTCGTTGGTAATAGAGCCAGTGGACAAACAGCTCGAAAGTGTTGCTCGCGGTATCGGAGAGGGTAACGAGTTTCTCGTCGGCTTCTTTGAAGGACCCTGTAAGGGCAGCGCGGAAGAAGGGCGAGTGATGGATAAGCAGATCGAGGTGTACAGTGAAAGATAGTGCTTCAGGACCAACGACGACCTTGGCAAAAGGGGCGTTGTGGGCTCTGTAGGAGATTAGTGAAGTGTGAAAATCATATGCACAAGGACTTACGATATACGCGGTCTTTCCTGTTCACGATGGTCTTGGTTGCTTGACGACATATTGACTACCGAACAGGTTGTGTAGAGTGGATGGAGGGAGAAGGTAGACAAGCTCGAATAGGTTCCCTCTTATAGACGGCTAATCTGCCTTATTTTGGAGTCACTACCGTGCTCACCTTGGTGTTTGTCCAAAAAAAAAGAGAGTAATTCACTACTCGTTACCACACACCAGACTCCGAGACCTTGGTCACCTTGACGACTCGAGCGCATATATGACCAATTACTTGAGCCAGGTGAGAGAGGGATTATCGATTGGTCCTCCAATCTCGCAAAACATGCAGAGTATCGTGAGTAGTGCGGTAAAGAGCCAACCTCTTGATCCGTGTTGACGCAATGTTGGATATGGATATGTTGTACATTTACACATTTACTACAGAGGCCTCGTGATAGCCACTTCTTCATCTATTGGCTCAGTCCTACTCTTTGATCAGGTGTTCTTCCTTCTCGCTCTTCTCTACTACCTTTGCCCTCGGCTTCACTCTTGGCTTCGCTCTCGACGTCACTTTCATTGACTTTCCGACTCGCATAATCTTGTTCGGGTACTTGCCACTGTCAACCTCCTCGGGATAGTGCATCTCCCTCTTCATCTGAGTCTCCGGGTATACCTTCTTAGGTGCAGGTAATATCCTCTCATCCACACCCTTGGCATGTAGTTTCCGCAGTGACTGAACCATTTTCCGCAGGCCCTCCACACCATCCTTGCGAAACTGTGTGACCTTCTTGACGTGCATTGTGATGCCCGGGCTCAGCCCTAATCTTGTTGGTCTTCTCGCTAGTGTTTTTGCGGTCATGGCGAAGCGCATGTCTTTTGGACCGTCTACGAGTTCGAGGATGGCGGACTCGGCCTGGTCTTCTTTCATGGGCTCAATGCGGAGGACGCGAGTGTAGCCGCCGGGTCTGGCTTCGTAGCGCTTCCTTATGGGGCCGAATAGCTTGGGTACCATTTCGTTTGGTTCCTGACATTGTCAGTATGCGCTCTTGGTAGATGCTCTTGGCGTGTCGTACGTAGAATATCTGGGTCGCTCTCCGCCGTGTCGCCTCTGTATTCTTCTTTCCCAGGGTAATCAGCTTCTCGGCTAACCGCTGGGCTTCCTTCGCCTTGTGCCATGTTGTCGCAATCGTTTCGTGCTTGAAGAGCGATGTGACGAGGTTTCGCAGGAGCGCCTGGCGATGCGACGACGACCGACTGAGGTGGCGGTATTTCATGTGACCGCCTGCCATGACGGGCAATTGGTTCTGTATGGGCCGGGGAGGGTGTGGAGGGCGTCCTGGTGTCGCTGCGGCACCTCAGCGTCTTGCCGTCTGCGATACCATGGCCCGCGAAAAGTTCGGGCATCGGCCGTCGTTTCCCCGACCCCACATCCCTGCACGGCTTACACAAGCAGCAAGCACTTTAGCACCAATCCGATCCGTGGCCCAAGCAACGCGACGGGACGCGTAAAGAGAAGAAACGCGTTATAAGTGTGTGCCTGCATCCATCCGCCCCTCACTCCTGCACACTCTTCCCATACACCCATTCTTCACGATACCCACTCCCAGATACCCCTCTACTACTTTTCTAATTCAACATGTTCGTTCTCAAGCGTGGTATGTACTGCCTGTCCTTCACCGCTGCAAATCTTCACCGCTAATAGTCGACTTCAGATGGACGCAAGGAACGCGTGCAGTTCGACAAGATCACAGCACGAGTGTCAAGGCTATGTTACGGCCTTGACCCGGACCATGTTGACCCCGCTGCTATCACAATGAAGGTCATTTCTGGTGTCTACCAGGGTGTCAACACCGTCCAGCTAGACGACTTGGTACGCTCTTGAACGCGTCTCATACCATGGAAACGTCTAACAAAGGGACAGGCCGCTGAGACCGCAGCCTACATGACCACCACACATCCCGACTACGCAATCCTCGCTGCGCGTATTGCTGTATCAAATCTCCACAAGCAGACCAAGAAGCAATTCTCTCTCGTTGTAGAAGATCTGTACAACTATGTCAACCCCAAGAACGGAAAGAGACAACCCATGATCTCTGATCACATCTACAAGGTCATAATGGAACACCAAGACGAGCTCAACTCGGCTATCGTATACGACCGTGACTTTAACTACCAGTTCTTTGGTTTCAAGACACTCGAGCGCTCATATCTCCTCCGCATAAACGGCAAGGTCGCCGAGCGCCCACAACACATGCTCATGCGTGTTGCTGTTGGCATTCACGGTGATGACATCGAGAGGGCCATCGAGACCTACGACTACATGTCTCAAAAGTACTTCACACACGCCTCGCCGACGTTGTTCAACGCGGGCACACCATCACCACAAATGTCGTCATGCTTCCTCATCGACATGAAGGAGGACAGCATCGACGGCATCTACGACACACTCAAGACCTGTGCGTTGATCTCCAAGACCGCTGGCGGTATTGGCCTCAACGTGCACCGCATTCGTGCTACTGGCTCATACATCGGTGGCACTAACGGAACGTCTAACGGTCTCATTCCCATGCTCCGTGTATACAATAACACTGCTCGCTATGTCGACCAGGGTGGCAACAAGCGTCCAGGTGCCTTCGCCATCTACCTCGAGCCATGGCACGCTGACGTCTTTGGCTTCCTTGACCTGCGCAAGAACCACGGCAAGGAGGAGGTCCGCGCTCGCGATCTCTTTTACGCTCTGTGGATTCCTGACCTCTTCATGAAGCGTGTCCAAGACAACGGCAACTGGACACTCATGTGCCCGAACGAGTGCCCTGGCCTCGCCGATGTTTACGGCGAAGAATTCGAAGCTCTGTACGAGAGCTACGAGAAGCAGAACAAGGGTCGCGAGACTGTTCGCGCACAAAAGCTTTGGTATGCCATCCTTGAGGCACAGACCGAGACTGGTAACCCCTTTATGCTCTACAAGGACGCTTGCAACCGCAAGAGCAACCAGAAGAACCTTGGTACCATCCGCAGCTCCAACCTGTGCACTGAGATTGTGGAGTACACCGCTCCTGATGAGGTCGCTGTTTGCAACTTGGCTTCTCTTGCCCTGCCTTCTTTTGTCGACTACAAGGCCGGCGTGTTTGACTTCAAGAAGCTCCACGAAGTCACACAGGTCGTCACTCGCAACTTGAACAAGATCATCGAAGTCAACCACTACCCCGTCGAAGAGGCACGCCGCAGCAACTTCCGCCACCGACCCATCGGTATGGGTGTTCAAGGTCTTGCTGATGCCTTCCTCGCACTCCGCCTTCCTTTCGAGTCAGACGAAGCTAGGAAGCTCAACATCCAAATCTTCGAGACCATCTACCATGCTGCTCTCACTTCCTCATGCGATATCGCAAAGGAACTTGGTCCTTACAAGACCTACGAAGGATCTCCCGTATCCCAGGGTATCCTCCAGTACGATATGTGGAATGTCACACCTACTGACCTCTGGGACTGGGCGTCTCTGAAGGAGAAGATTGCTGAGCACGGTGTACGCAACTCGCTGCTCATTGCACCCATGCCAACTGCCTCCACTTCACAGATTCTGGGCAACAACGAGTGCTTCGAGCCATACACCTCCAACATCTACTCCCGTCGTGTCCTCGCTGGTGAGTTCCAGGTTGTCAACCCATGGTTGCTCAAGGACCTCGTCGACATGGGTCTGTGGTCCGAGAACATGAAGAACCGTATCATCGCCGATGGAGGTTCGATTGCCAGGATTCCCAACATTCCTGAGGAGACAAAGACCCTTTACAAGACCGTCTGGGAGATCTCGCAGCGAAGGATCATTGAGATGGCCGCTGACCGTGGTGCTTTCATTGACCAGTCTCAGTCGCTGAACATCCACATGAAGGAGCCTACTATGGGCAAGATCACTTCTATGCACTTTGCTGGATGGAAGGCTGGTCTCAAGACTGGCATGTACTATCTCCGTACCATGGCTGCCTCGGCTCCCATCCAATTCACTGTCGACCAAGAGGCTCTCAAGATTGCAGACACAAACATTGCCAAAGCCCTGCCCAAGGTACGAAAGCAACCCGGATTCCAGCCTGAGGCTATCCGACACTCGCCTGTCACCGCTTCCCAGACCCCATCATCGGCACCTCGTCCGATGTACGCCATCAAGCCCACCAACGGCGAGACCAAGACGGAGGCTGAGGAGAATGGTGTTTCCACACCAATTGCTACCCCACTGCCAGTCTCAGAGGACCGCAACGCTCTCGCAAGCAAGCCATTCAAGGCTGACGTAGAAGAGGGTGATAGCCCTAAGATGGTTGCTGCCGATGCTATTCCTAAGCCTGATGAAGAGGTGGCCAAGAAGGACCCACAGCAAGAGGATTCGAAGGACGACAGTGAGGCACGCGATGGTGATATCTACGCTGACGCTGTCCTCGCTTGCTCAATAGAGAACCCCGAGTCTTGCGTCATGTGCAGTGGTTAGGCGCACCGATGCGCATGTCTGCAATGGGCGACGTTGAAAGCGTCGCTGTTACGTGATAATTACGGTTTGCCCGAGCGTGCTTTTCTGCCATTAGGTCTTCGGGAATGCAACAAGGCGTTGATGGTTTTTAGGGGTAGGTATCATCTGGATCAACCTCAGGAGGCATGAGTTCATGAGTTTGAATGTGTTTATTGTTGAGCCGTAGTATATGTAGCGAATACGTATATCTGTACGTACACATGAGTCTTCCAGTACATGCGTGATGTCCTTAGGCAATTTCCCCATGTTGTTGTTACTATAGCGCGACTTGTTCCGAAAGCCGCGGCTTAATTCCGACCGAAAGCTACATCTCCCCCACATTGCGCCCTACAACCACCCGCGCCCTTGGAAGTACATACTGCACCGATCGTCTCACCAAAGCTCGTTGATATAAATCAAGTGGAGCTCCTGTACGTATACTTCGTCAAGGAATTCCTCAAACCAAGAAGCTGACATCGTATTTCGTCACAGCTCTTCCCAAGCTCCAACTACCGTGGCCCCACACGCCCTCCTCTTACCTGCCAGCTACGATATATATGCTCGCCCTCCGCTCCCTCCGTCCTCTCGCATCTTCCTTCGCAACACCACTAAGATCCGTATCGAAGCTCCAACAACGCACAATGGTATCATCAACCGGTGCTCCACTACAAGAATGGCTCGTCATTGTGCCCGACCATGCGGGTGCGCTGCAGAAGCGTATTGCGAGCCGGCCGAAACATTTGGAGGGACTCAAGGCCGATAGGGAGGATATGTGGTTATGGGGTGGTACGTCATCTCACAAACTCTCTTCCATCTTTTCCCGTCATCCGCCTCCATAGACATGACAGTCGTCCAAAGCTGATACTATCATTCCCACAGGAGCAATGCTCGAAGAACCCATCAAAGAAGGCGATACGAGCCCTCCCAAGATGAAAGGCTCGGCATGCCTCATTGGAGCCAAGACGAGGGAGGAGGTCGTGGAGAGGCTAAAGCAAGATCAATATGTCAAAGATGGCGTGTGGAATGTGGATGAGGCGCAAATTATTCCATTCAAGAGCGCTCTTAGGAAGGCTTTGTAGTCTGGAGTTTGCGGAGCGGTAGTAGGGAAGATGTTGCTCAAATCGCCACCTTTTTAACTCCTGAGGTTCGAAAACTCTACTTCAATCTCTTTCCTTCTTTGTTGTATCTATATCTCGGCAAGTACCAAGAGCCAGAAGACAATATACTTCAAACATATATGCCGACAGGGAACGGCCCAATATCGAGTTACCCACTGACTTCCACATACCGCGCTTACACAACCTTGACATTTACCCTAATAAGAGTTGTGTGTGTGTGTGTGTGCGAGGAAACGTCGAAGTTTAAGACGAAGGCGAGCAATCGCATCTAGTCCATTGGGCATAAGAGGTCGTGGTGTGGCAGGACGGGTGTCATTTGGCCTTTGAGGTTATTGGATGTGATGGCCACTACTTGGGATTTTGAGCGGATTGTGTAGGAGGAGTTCCAGTTTCTCGTGTGGTTCTTGTGACTAGCTGGCTGATGTGGTGGGATGGCCTACTGTGGTTGCCTTACACTTCATTCCATGGTACTGCTCCTCCCTAGATAGGTCCACTATTTGAGGGCGACTATCAATCTCACAAAACCAAAACGTTTCCATTGAAATCCTGTTTTCCTTTTTGGTAAGACCACCACTGTCTTTTCATCGGTATATTCATGTTCTTCCTTGACAATAATCTCTCCTGGCTTTCTCGATCACCGCAAGCATCCAAGATCGACTCCACCATGATTGAAAAGCCCACGATCCGCCAGGTCGCACCTGTACTTGGGTAAGTACCTGCCGATCTCTCATATTTCTTTTAAGCATGGTTTTTTCAACACGACAGCTATATGGGTGCCTGTTGTCTTTTGTTGTGTTCCAGTACGAGTCACTGTATCGAAGAGAGAAAAAACTTTCCCTCCTAAGAGTACTTCCTACTACAAAAGAGCGTGTGGGGTGTGTGTAGATATGGATACAAAGCCTAGAAGACGGCAATGCTATTAATCTCTACAAGTTCTCTTATTGGAAGATAATGTAGACTGTAAACTAGAGCTTGCTATTTCTACGTCTGCCAGGACTTTTCCTTGTATGAGGTGTATGTACTAACAAGACTAGCAGCACCGCGGCGAATGGCGAGATGGTCACAGTCTTCGTCGGTCCTACGAAAAAGCGGTACAGCATTTATAAAGATCTCATCTGTCATCACTCCGAGTATTTCCGAGTCGCATTCAACGGACTCTAGCAAGAGTCAGACAAGGGCGTAACACTAGTGGATGTCGAAATTGAAGTACTCAATCTTTTCGTTCACTGGTTGTACACACAGGAGCTACCAAAGGATATGTCCCTCCTACTACAGGCCGCCGGAACAGATGCTCAACTAGCAAGCAAAGACTCTGAGAATTCTCACTGGGGCATACTATTGCTAAAGTCTTGTATCTTCGGCGATCGGTTTTTTGCACCGGATTTCCATCATCTGTCACACAACGTGTTCGTTGATGGTCACTTCCCAGGAAAGGGAGAGCCGGCCTTCAGCGCTGCATACAGAACCATCATCTGGAGTTTCAGCAACTTGCCGGAAGGTATTCCGGTCCTTTCTATGATGGTGGACCTACAGTGTCTTGCCTGGAACGCGGAAGACGATAATGAAGAGGAAAAGCAGCTGCTACCACAACTACCACACGAATTCCTTGTCGCTTGCATGCTGAGACAGAGTGTGTTGAAGACGTTGAAAATGACAGATGATAAGTTGAAAGCTTGTGATTACTATATGTAGAACGTCTATTCTGGAGATATATCCAGAGTTCTCGTTATTAGACTAGTAAGAATATCAACAATGTACGTGAGTATATTCCTACGCGTGTTGTCTGCCATGGTTTATCGAACAAGTTCTTTCTCGTATCGAAAGAGCTATCGAGAGTTAATTTCCAAATGATTTCATATCTCTGGTCCGCGTCGGAGGATGCAATCCTGAGATGAAAAGCCTTGTTACCACATCCATTGCTACTGTTCGCCGATTTAAGCTTACCTTTCTCTCCAGACGTTGGAGAACTTGCACCAACGGAGTGAAGTGGCGTTTTTTCAAAACGGTAGTACATTGGGATTCAGCACGAGCACTCACTGATAGTGAAGGCGCGACCACTTAATGTCGCTTCGCTCACCTCGAGCGAAGAGACTTCTGAACTCGCCTTTACCCTTCATCTTTTACCTTCATCGCGATCACGATCTTGGCACGCATATTTAAGCCTGTCTTCTAACGCTCCACTCACTACTCTTGCATTCCACTCCTACCACATCGTATTATCTGTGACTCTGGTAATCTCCAAAGATGATGTTTAATCTTGCGTACGTACACGCGAACAGCAAAACAACTCCATATTCACTTACTAATGTATAACAGCGAAGCCACCACTGGAGAAGTCGTCGCTATCGCCATCGGGCCCAACAAAAAGGTCTTTCGGCTTCACAAGGATATCCTATGCCGCGAGTCAGAGTACTTTCGCACTGCCTACAATGGACGCTGGAAAGAGGCAGATGAAGGCGTCGCCTTGGAGGACGTCGAAGTTGAAGTTTTCAAGATCTTCGTACACTGGCTGTACACGCAGCAAACTCCGGGTTTCGAAGATTACGATCAAGTTGATGAAGAGGGTGAATACCCTGGAGTGGAGAAATTTGGCTCTATGCTGCTCAAGGCATACGTCTTCGCAAACCGATTTCTCGTCGCAGACTTCGAGCGCATCACTCATAATCTAATCATCGACAGTTTTTTAGAGTTTGGATGCGCAATGTACGAACACATCATCTTGGCCTATGAGAATCTACCGGAAGACAGCCTGATCTTAAAGCTCATGGTTGAGTTGCAATGCTTGGATTGGTCAACGCTCAAAGACAACGAGGAAGAAAAGCAGAGACGCCCTGATCTACCTAAAGAGTTCCTCATCCAGGTGATGTGCAGGTTTGCTGAGCTACGAAACCGCGACATTGTCGAAGAGATTAACGCGGAGGCTTTCTATATGCAGGAAGAGAGTGAGGAGGCTGGCAAATGATGCTCCCTTTTGCGCTCGGAAGACATTCAAAATCATCGAAAGCTTCCTGAAGCTGATTGAGTTACACTCTTTGCAACTTGATCTTGGCAAGGGCTCATGGGATATTTGCAGAAGATGGAAAGCCAGCGCGTAGTTTGGATACCATATCCGCGCCTCTTGCAGAAATGGCTCGTGTGTAAACTAGAACCTTGGAACAAGAAAATGAACACCCCTATAGAAGACACACACTCAACATCACAAGAAAGAAAAGCTCCATTCGATACTAGGGTATAAGATGAAGAAGCAGTAAACCGTATGCCCGCGCATTTTCACATGCACCCCACCCCATACTAACGCCTCCCATCCAAGTCACTAGTATAAACCCCCTGCCTTCCATGCTATTACTCCGAATATCGTAACACAGCCCAACCCCACAACGCCTACGTTGGTATCTCAGTTTCGTATCGTAACAATTCAGCACTGGTGCGCCTTCTTCTGTTGGATCTAGGTCTGCGCATTTGGCGCCGGCTTATCCTCACGCTCTTCAACAATGGGGCTCGTAGGCGCCTCATCCTCATCACTTGCTTCCCTCGCGTCTTTCCACTCTGAGCTCTTTCGGCTGATTCTGGCGGGACCCATGGGGTCGCGTGGGCTAGCGAGTGGGCTAGTAGGCGTGGCGCGCATGCTGCTGATACTATCAGTGCGGCCGTGGCCAAGGAGCCCACTGCGCACACTGAGTCCGTCGGCTTGTTTGGTCGCATAGTAGCTGTTGCGCTCGCTGGGTAGTACCGGCGCAGTGACACCAGACGCTGAGTAGACGCTCGCGCGCTCGGCATTTACAAAAGCACCGACATTGCTTGGCCTGTTGGAAGGCGAATATATGGTGTCTGGGTTGGCTGAGAGTACGCTGAGCGGCAGCGACTCGCGACTGCCTCCGTAATGCGATGAGGGGGCTAGTGCTCGCATCGAAGCATTGGTATCTACGGAGTTGCGACGGCGACGCTTCGAGGATGAGGCGAGGGTGAGGATAGACGCGTTGTCGGTCAGGATGTTGTTCGCGGTAGCGCCCTGATATGAGTTGGGCTGCTGCTGGGGCGCCAGATGCGGCGGTATAGCTGACGGCGGCGGGGATGCGGGGAACTGATGCGAGAAGTGGACGGGCGTGGCGCTTGAGCTTGTCGCATTATTCTGGTTCTGCGTCTGGCCAAAGTTGAGGACATTTGAGGGCGCGGTTGATTGTATCGTCGTCAGAGTCGTGGTGAGGGAGTGTTCTGAGCCATTTGGCGACGAGAAGGTGCTGCCGCCGTTGACAAAGTTGCTGCCGCCTGTCTCTGCCTTTGATCTTGTGGAGTGCACGGTTTCAGGGACTGTGGCTACGGTAGGTGCTGTGGATTTGTTGCTCTTCTCTACACCTTGCCGCTGTCCGGCTGCGGGCTCCTCGATGGACGTGTAGCTGTCATGCGATCGCTGTGTGGCGGGAGTGGATACGGAGGAGTTATCGGCCGGGGCTACATTGGTGTTGATGTAGCCAGACTCGGGATAGGGGTTGTTCTTCGCGGCGCCTTTCTTAACGGTGTTGCCCTTCTTGCCTGGGGCGTCGGACGATGAGGGCTTGAGATTGGCAAGACGCTTCATCCAACCGGCAAAGGGTCGTTTGCGCGGGTGTCGGTCTTTATATCGCGTTAGCATGCTGGGCATAATTTGGTCAAACGAGAGCGGAAGTGGTGGAGGAGAATATAATAATCTGGGCAGTTGTCTGAGGCAATGGCTGTGCTGGGCTAGTTCACCGTACCATGGGGTCTCGATGCAGCTTCGGCCGTGGCCATTATGCCGGCTGCCAAATATAGAGTGCCGCGGTGGTGAGTGAAGGAGGTCGTCGAGCTAGCAGTTAGGCGCGGGATGCCACGTTCGGTCTCGGAAGATTCCACGTCGAAACTACTCGAGGGCTGCAGGTGGTAACTTAGTGTGCGCGCGCGTGTGTTGGAAAGCCAGCGCAGACGGGCGGAACGCGATTGTCGCGGTGGTGTGACGGAGTACCGTATCGCTGTTTGTGTGCCAGATGAGGCGACTGAAGCAGTGCGTCTTATGTGGATTACGCGGTTGGGGCCGGGCAATCTGCTGATGTGGAAAGGGCGAGGGAGTTGCTGGGTCGCTCATGCCTCCGGTTGGACCCTGACCCTTTTCCCCAGCGCACCTGCCGCCCGCCGCGCTAAGCTGCGAGTTCCCTTTCACGACATAGTGATTGCGTATGTTCTGTAGATCGACATGTAACCACCCGCCCTGCCTCCCCACTGACCTCGGAGCGACCCCTAAACATGCTCGCATGCGGGTTATCAAACAACGAGGGGGCGCCCACCAAACCTAACACTACGTCATGACCCGGAACACCCCAATTGGCGCAAACATACTGCCCCTGCCTGAGCATGTCGTCGCCCAGATCAAGTCGTCAACGGCAATTGTCTCCCTCACCGGAGTTGTGCTGGAGCTGCTGAAGAACTCTCTGGACGCGAAAGCGACCAAGGTTGAAGCTGCCATCGACTTTGCGCGCGGCGGATGCTCGGTCCAAGATGACGGCCTCGGCATCTCGCCCCTCGAGTTTCGCGAGGAAGGAGGTCTGGGCAAGCTCTACTGTATGTACATGCACCGAGAGCGCTGTAGATAGACAATTGACAGGCACAGGCACGTCCAAGTACCATGCAACTGAGCCCCTTCTTGGCCGCAATGGCACCTTCCTCGCCTCCCTCGCTGCCATGTCCCTCTTGACCATCTCCTCGCATCATTATCAACATCGCTCGCACAACGCGATAACGTTTCACCAATCAAAAGCCGTGGAGAGGCAACTGCCGGCTTCGGCGCAGCACGAGATATCAGGCAGGCATGGCACCCGTGTCACCGTGCGGAACTTGTTCGGAAATCTGCCTGTGCGCGTCAAGCAGCGGTCCATCATCGCGGAGCAAAGAGCGGAGCATGACAGACTGTGGCATGGGCTGAAGAAGGACGTCACGAGTCTCTTGCTTGGCTGGCAGGGTCCCGTATCCATTCGTATTCGCGACAGCGAGAACAGGGTGGTTGTCAACCTCAGCATATCCGGCTCAGGGGCACCGGCACAAACTAAAGAGAGGGAGACGTTGAAGACACCATCTGCGCAGCTATCATCACTCCTCAACGTTTTGACCCAGGCCAACTATATCGCCATTGACCAGTGGCCGTCGTGGGTACCAGCATCAGCTGCCACATCTGCCATTTCCATCAAAGGCGCCATATCATTAGACCCGGCACCTAGCAAGCATGTTCAGTTCATATCGCTCGGTGTACGACCGCTGTGTGCGAACGACGGCCACAACGAACTCTTCGATGCTGTCAACCGCCTCTTCGCTCTATCTAGCTTCGGCACTGTCGAGGATGATACCAACATCGATGAGCTGGAGAAACGGCGGCGACAATCAGACAAGCGCTTCAAGCATGACGGGTACACCAACCGACAGCTCAAAGCACGCAAAGACGTCGACAGATATCCCATGTTCTACCTTCGCATCTCGTTGAAGGACGCCCGCAGAAGAAGCGTCCCTGAAGAGCAGTTCCTTGGGGATGAGGCGAGCCTCCAAAGCGTGATGGAGGTGTTGGACGCGATGATAACTCAATGGTTATCAGTCCATCATTTTAGACCACAGCAACCTCGCAAGAAGCGTGGACGGCTCGATACGGCTTCTAGTGCTGCCGAGGGTCTTGCTGTAAGCAACTCGTCATCCATGGAGGGTCGGACTACGTCCATGGCTTCGAGTGGGCAATCTATCCGAAGCCGCTCCGCAACACCAAAGCCAGTCTCTACTTCGTCGCAGTCACTGAAGAGGAAGCGTCCGGACAAGACGGCGTCGCGCGAATTGTGCGAGAGGTCGCGTCCTGGAGTCTTCGCAGAGTGGTCACGCATCAAAAGTGGAAAGCCTGAGTTCTTCAGCAGCTTTTCGACCGTGCCGAACTCTAAAACCAAATTTGATTCCGGCAAGGAAGTTAGTACAAGCACTTCAGCTGGCACAAACACCGAGGCATTTGCGAAGTTTGACATACCGTCGCTATCGCAAGGTGCTTTGAGTGGGCAACGTCTTCTCGACGAAGCTTCCACGTCTAGAGACTCTCTGGGTATCGAAAACAAGGAGAATGATGATACTATTTTGTGGACAGACCCAACCACCAAGAAAGTACATCTACTAAACGCTCGAACAGGTTGCGCAGTGCCCAGTTTTCGGCCGCGACCAACCACCGATTCTAATTCATCTACGTTCCACAACACGCAGGCATCTACGAACAAGTCGGTGCGATTACCAACACGAGCCTTGACGGCTGTACCTGGCAAAACGCCTTGGCTTGATGATGTGCTGGATACATGGGAGAACCCAGTCTTTAAGCCAAGCGAGAAGCGTATACCACAGGCTGTATTACACGAAGACGAGCTTGATCGAGGGCACCGCCGCTCTAGGCATGGTTGCTCCCGCATCGATATCGGCAAGACGTTCAACCAGGCCTCAGCAGGTGGCTCTAGTAAGCTGTCGAGAGAGGGGTTGCAGAACGCTCAGGTCATCGCGCAGGTCGACAAGAAGTTCATTCTTGTCAAGATGCAAGATTCGACACGAGTGCAAGATGCGCGCTCGGGGCTTCTCGTGCTGATTGACCAGCACGCGGCAGACGAACGCGTACAGGTTGAGTCACTCCTAATCCAGCTTTGCGATCCACTACAAGACGAAAAGGGGTACCAGACAAAGCTCGGCCACAGGGCGCAGGTAGCTTCTGTCGTGCTCGAGAAGCCGACGCAATTTGCAATCTCACCCCAGGAACGGATACACTTCACAACGCATGCCGCAAGATTCGCAGCTTGGGGCATCCTCTACGAAATCCTTGAAACGACGACATCTTCAGCTGTTCCTGACACTGTCGATAGGGAAAAGCACGTTTTATCCGTCACTGGTCTTCCAGCGGGTATATCAGAACGGTGCAAAGCTGATCCCAAGGTCCTAATTTCTTTCCTCCGCTCAACAGTCTGGAAGTACGCAGAAGATCCGCATCTACATCCTCTACCGGCACCAGTCACCTCATCGCCCAGTAATCCCACCGGTTGGGTCAGACGTCTAGCCACCTGTCCTCCAGGTCTTGTTGATCTCATCAATTCTCGTGCATGTCGCTCCGCTATTATGTTTAATGATGTGCTTAGTATCGAGGACTGTAAAGCTTTGGTGAGAAATCTGGCGGGTTGTGTGTTTCCGTTCATGTGTGCGCATGGACGGCCTAGCATGGTGCCGCTTATTGATCTAGGAGAGAGGGGTGAACTAGCGGGTGGACTAGGTGTGCGCGATGAGAGTGTTGATGACGCAGGTTTTGTAGAGGCTTGGAAGAAGTGGAGGAAATGAATGTTATAGTTGAGACTTGCTGTCAACTCTGGCGGGTAACCTCATGACACAGCTTGGCATTGTCCAGATAAAGTGCTTCTATACCTGAGAACCCAAAGAAATGCTACGACGGACACGGCCAAGAAGTGTTCAGCTTGATTCTGCTTCAAGGCAGATATATACACGGTGTAGAGCTTAGCGCGAGATTTTCGCGCATGGCTAAGCTGAAGTAGGTATGGTCTCGTCGTCGTCTATCATATCGTCGGGAAACAGCTGTGGAGCGTCAGCATCGCATTGCTGTTCACTACCATCTTGTATCTTACCTGCACCTTAATATTGATATATTGTGCAGAAGGCCCAAGCAAAGATCCGAACGAGATTTCCATTCGCCAAGCGTCATTCCATTTACCGACGCTGACATGGCAGAGTCGAGTCAATGTACGTCATGCGTAAACTTCTTGGACATGCATATCTCAACAGCCAAGCCTCCACTCCGCCGCTGAAGATCCATTCCACGGATAAAAGCGCATGAAGCTAGTCTCGTGACTTGGAGTCGAAGCGAGCTCTCACCTCAACGAGTGGTTCCTCATAGCCGAATTGAGTAACGATGCGCATGACACCCCGCGATTCGGGAGACGTTTTGCGGGGATCGATCATTGGAAAAACGGAGAAGATGCAGCAATAAGAAGGCCTAGAATATGCTTGCTGGATGCTGTATGAACCGGGCTACCACATAATAGAATGTCGTTCAAAGAGAAGGACCTTGAAGCTGAGCGAAACGAGCATGTCAGCGTTTTTTCCCAATCCCTATGAAGCCTGAATGCTAATGTCGAAAGGTCTCGTTCGATGAGAAAGGCAATCGCGATGAATATGGCCGCATTAACATCGAGGGTGTCGGCAAACCAAATGATACATCAGGACAAGCATCGTCGCCTTTCGAAAAGGATGACAAGGAAACCCGTCGCATTATTCGAAAGATAGATCTCAGACTCCTACCAACACTCGCTGTTATCTATGCCTTCGCACTCATCGATCGCGTTAATCTTCCAAATGTAAAGTGTATCCCTGTTGCGACCACAAGTCGTATACTGATCCATGATACAGGCGCGCATAGCAGGCATGGATGAGGACCTAGGCCTCTCTATCGGCTCACGTTATTCGATCCTCACAATGATCTTCTTCATCCCTTACATCATTTTTCAGTTCCCGTAAGTAGTGTCTCTCACAAACCGCATGTGAGATAAACACTGACTTCGTACACAATCTTTAGGGCCAACATCATCATCAGAAAACTTGGTCCTGCCGTATGGCTACCATCTCTAGTCATCTGCTGGGGAGCTGTCACGATTGGCATAGGTTTTACGACTGATTGGACGCAGGCACTAGGCTGCAGAATCATCCTCGGCGTCCTGGAAGCAGGGTATTATCCAGGTTGTGTCTTCCTACTGAGCTGCTGGTACGTGAGATTTGAGGTACAGAAGAGGTTCAGTGGATTCTATCTGCTAGCCCTTCTTGCAAGTGGTTTCTCGAACATCCTTGCTTGGGGACTAAGCGAGATGAAAGGCCTCGGAGGTCTAAACGGATGGCAATGGATATTTGCTATAGTAAAGTCAAGTTCCTACCTACTGCCATCCACCGCTAACCCATCTGAAGGAGGGCGCCATCACTGTCCTACTCGGCTTCATGGGTTTCGTAACAATAATCGACTTTCCCGATAAAGCCAGCCAACCTAGCCCAATAACAAAGCGCCCTTTCTTGACCACTGCGGAAGCCAACATAATTCTTGCCCGTATTCAACGCGATCGCGGTGATGCCGTCGCCGATAAGCTTACCTGGTCAACCATCTCAACTCATCTCCGCGATTGGAAGATCTGGGAGTTTGCCTGGCTCTACTTCCTCAACAACGTCGTCGCATACAGCTGGGGGTATTTCTTACCCATCATTCTTCGCAACGACATGAAATACTCCGTCGCCATGAGTCAGATCTTGTCTTTCCCGCCATACGTGCTGGCTGCAGCTTGGATGTTCGCCACAGCATGGGTTGCCGACCGGTACAGGATGCGTGGTGCGATCATTATATTCAACTGCGCATGGGCTGTCTTAGGAGTATGCATGATGGCATTCCTCAGCAACGCTCGTGCACGGTACGCCGGAGTGTTTCTAGGTGTCAGTGGAGCGAATGCGAATGTGCCTAGCTTGTTGAGTTATATGCATAACAACATCGTGGGCCAGATGAAGAGAAGCGTTGCTAGCGCGTTATTGATTGGAGGCGGAGCCTGTGGAGGTGTTGCAGCATCGAATATCTTTCGACAACAAGATGCGCCAAAGTACACGTAAGTTTTATCCACCAGAGATGTGCCAGAACACGAGGCTGACCGAAGCAGACCTGCCATGGCTGTTGTGATTGCGACTCAAGTTCTGACCATAGTCCATGTGCTTAAGAACTTTTGGGTGTACTCACGAGCGAATCGTCAGGCAGATCGAGGCGAGAGGATCTTGGAGGGACAAGAAGGCTTCCGACAAACACTGTAGATATTGCTACCGTACTTGCAATCGCTCTGACGACCCAATATGAAAATTTTGAAGATATGCCGCTACGCTATGCTATGCCATGCTATGGTATCAAACTCAACAAATGGTGCGTGATGCGACAGCTTTCTTTTACAAGAACATCCCGCTTTCCACATACGAACTGACACTATCCCATCAGCCTCCGCCTCCTCCCACTGTCGACCTGAACAGTATTGTCTGGCCCGATACTGATACTCAAACTGCTGGTGTCATCCTCGCTTCCAGCCCTCCTCCTGTCCCGGTCTCTGCCGCTCACAGTCTGACTCTTACTCCTCTCGGGTTGTATGACCAGCCATGTCGAGCCTCCGCCTTCGTGTTCTTGTTCCATGAGCTGTAGTTGTGGGCCTCCACCTCTTTCGTCTCCTCTCCGCATCTCCCTATCACCTCGTCTCACGTCGGTCTCGCTCAGTCCTCGGTCATTGCGGCCGCGCTCTCTACTCGGTTTCGGAGCTTTGGAGGGTGGTGGAGGAGGGAAAAGGGTATGGAATTTGGCAGTCTTGAGGGGCATGGTGGTGAGCGATGTAGGTAGTGGCAGGGATTCGATGAGGGTTAGCTTCTCTAGTGGTATGGTTGTGAGAAGGGAGGCGGGCAAGTCGACGGGTGAGCATGCAACTATCGCGTGCCGTAGATGGGTGTTGGATGCGAAGAACGACAGGTTTTCTGTGTTTTGTTAGCAATCTTACGTTTCTTTCCTTTGAGGACCCATGGATATGTACCTCGAACTTTTCGTCCCGCTCCGCCTTCCTTGCCTACTCCGGTGTCTATCCAGTCGAAGCTGGTTATCCTTCCACAGAAGCCAGTGGAGAAAGCTCGCAGCTGGCCCAGGTTTCGCACCTTGTCAAGCCGCACAAGATAGTTCGCCATGCCTTCTAAGTTGGCATATACACGCACAATGATGTCCAGCGAGTCGGCATCATCCGGGAACTGTTCACGCAGATATTCCCGGATTCGTATGTTTAGTTCATCTGCTAATGACTCTCCACCTTGAGCTTTGCGTGTTATGTATTTATCGTGGAACTAAAATCATCAGTTGGAACACACGGTCGGCAGCGGCATTGTTGTGCATACCAGGAACCCCTCCGCATCGGCATCTATAAGCACCAGCACGAACGGTCGTTTGGCCTGTGACTGCACCAGAGCTTCTTCCTTTGCCTTGGACTCTGCCAGCTGACCTTGCATCGTCCGTGTGACATCTGCTATTTCCGCCTGCAATGTCCGTCGGACATTTTGTTCGGAGCCAAGGTCGAGTTCACATTGTGCGAGGCGTGCTTCCGTCTTCTCCAGTTTGTCGAGGAGTTCCTATTTCATCGTCAAAACCCCCTCCTCACCTCCAAGACGCCGTTAGTAGCATACCTCGATAAGCTCACATCTCTTCTCCTCGAGGATCCTAAACTGCGTCAACCGATCGCGAAACGTCATCGGAGGTGGGGCAGGCGGGCCCGCAACAACTAATTCCGCCATCTTCAAAGTGGGCGGATGTCACACAGTCACAAAAGGCAGGAAGTTACCAAACGACAAAAGATCTGGGGATCCTAACATTTAAGAAGACGCGTTGTTTTGGGCTCCCGCGCAGCGCTAGCTAGCTGTTTTGCATGTGCATGGCCCAAAAGTACGGTGACGCCGGCGGTGCGAAAGATGGCAGGTGCTGATTGGCCGGGTATGTGGGGAGAGTTGGGCTGATACGTTGCCTTGGGGTTAGAAGGCACCGGAATCAAAGAGAAAGCCGTGAGCTGGCGGGCTGTGTTCTAGTCACGGATACAATCAGTGTGGCATGCATCATGCGGCGCGAGCCGCAATGGGTCGTGTGTGAGGCGGAGATGGAGGGGTGATGGGGGCTCTGGAGGGGGTGTGAGGGGCATATTCTTCGCCTTGTTAGCCCCTCGTTATTCGAAACAGACACCACATTACTTCTTTGTCTAATCATGCCAAAGTATTGCTGCCTCTAGAATCCGTTCTGTTGTCTATCTACGAGTGTGCAGCCCTCTAACATCCTCTGGACCTTATTCATGACTCACTTATCGACAGGCTCGCCAGTCGCATGACCTGGATAATTTCGGTATCTGGTATGGAAACTGTCATCAACGTTCGATGGTCAGTCTTGCCTGCAGACGTGCGAGGTAGCTTGTTCCAGATGACAGCGCATGTCGGGTGCATATAGACTGGGAGGTTGAGACCGAGGAGTAACCCTTGTAGATATCTGCGCGATTTCACGCTGGGTACCTCGTTCATGACAACAAAAACCTGGATCTGTAGCTCGTCCTGCTCATCATCACTCTTGAAACCCACAACTGCCTCCGCTGCTGAGCCGCTCCCCTGGTGAACGATAGTCCATTAGATCTCTACCAGCTCAATGTGAAATTCACTGATGTGCGCGATCGACTGGTTCAAATGTCGAGAGACCACAAAACGTACCCCATTTTCGTTGATAGACCCCCAGTCACCAGTCCGAAAGCACCTTAGCCCGGTGTTTGAATACGCCTGGAAACGAGTTCTATCGTCTTCAGAACCGAAGTAGGCAAGGCCAGCGAATACGACTAGGTTGCGTTTGCGGTCTCCGCGAACAACTAGTATCAGGTCTTGCGCATACTCGAGTTACATTTCGGTAGTCTGGGTGGTTACGTTTGCATTGGCAATTCAGCCGAAGGTGATCTGATGAAGCAGTGTTTGACGGGAGACATTTAAGTCGAACAGTAAACTCTTGACTGGCTCATGCACATACTGTCTGAATAGGTCCATAGTCTTCGGTACCAGTAAGCGGTGGAAATAAGATCTGTAGAATCTGCATTCATTAACGAAAATCCACGCAAGAGTGGAACGCTCTCAGTTTACTAACCTTTCACACTCAAGTTGTTCAACCGTGAACATGCATGCAATGAAATTCAAGTCCTCTCTATGCATGGTCGGGTCGACTTCTGCAGGTAGTTGAGAGTGCCTGGCGTGTTCTGATCGCGTGCGTGATGCCTGTTTTTTGGTGTTCCTTTTGCGCTGTCGTGTTACGAAACCTTTCATAAGTCGAGCCGAGATATAGACAGGTAGGGGCTGAATTAAAGCTGGTATCAAAAAGTGTCGCATGTTAGTGGTCATATCATGTGATGCCACACTTGGTCGATTCAAATCAAGTCAATCAGACAGGATGAATCGCTGCTGCGTAAGGTTGCGTAAGTCTCGAGCCTCACAAAAGGCTTCTGTACGCAAAAGATTGTCTGGTTGCTGTACTCCTAATTGAGGCTTGGACGAAGTTGTTGTTATGCTCCGCCACCATGCACTTTGCGGACCCATGCTATCTATCCCTGTCCTGGATAGAGCTGATCTGAGAGGTGCCGCTCAACGAACACGTTGCGATGTTGTCCAACAATTCAACCCAGCATGTATATGTGTCGGTTCCAAAACATTGAGCGGCCAGGGCTCTGTCGAGTGGTGAGCCTCGCACGTGTTGTCAGCTTCATATTAGCCGACATCGGTTCTGACCACTGTCGTAACTTCTGTGTCCCAACAAACGACTGAGATGCGACTTTCGCCCACTCAGGTGTTGAAACAAATTCTTGTTGGGCTGTTGTCGATATCCATGATTGTGATCCTGCATCAGCAAGCGGACCGTGCCGTGGGTCCAGACGTTCGAGTCAAACTTGGTATCAATAAGATGGATGAATCGTAACGTGTGTTAAGATCTGTCTGGCTAAAGCAATGTTGCACACGCTTCCCACTAGGCTTGATCGCTATAAATCAAAAGCGGTCGCATCATGTCGACCAAGACCTGTAATAAGTGTGGTGCAGGAAAGCTAAAGATACCTGATAAGCAACTATAGCATCGAGAATGCCGATTAGAGAACACCGACTCTTGAACATATACTCTGCTCGAGGTGGCGATGAGCAGATCTGCGAAGCAACCCAGTGTGAAAGAAGAGATGAAGTATCATGGTGAAGTGCGTGTCATCACTTCGCCCAGAGCACATGTCTACCTAAGTAAGCATCACTGGTGGGGCCGCAAGATATATATGCATCAGATCGAAAAAGAGTAAGAGTGTAATTAAATACTTGAAGATGTGGGCGAATGGAATCGTACTGGATGTGAAAGGGGTCTGAGAATTAGCCATGAATCTGGGGGGTTGAGAAATTGCCAAGCCACTAGAGACGCGGAACGCGTCGGCTGTCTGTTCACTTCCACCCAACATCTACACGTGCTTGTCCATGTATGAAAACGCTTAGATACGAAAGCTATTACGATGTTCTAATGTACGCCATAATGAAAGGGACAATACGATGCCACTTACCAGGAGCTGGCAAAGTCACGATCATCTGACCAATCGATACACTTCGCTCCCAGCCTCCAAAATGGCTCGTCGACGTCATGATATCTTCGCGCGCCTACTCATCAATCTCATGGAGCCTGAAGCTTAACCTTTTCTGTCTGTTCTTCGACGATAAACTTCCACATCACCTCCGCCGCCGTCTTCGCGCCATCCATCGAATTTAAGGTATCCGCTAGCATCCTCGCTTTCGCGGCATACGACGGATCATTCAGCACCTTCAGAACTGTGTTGCGAATATTCTTGGCTTTCCAGGACTGTTTTTGTACACGGATACCTGCTCCAGCATTCATGGCGTTGTCCAAGTTCGTTTGCTGCTCGACTTGTAGCGCAACGCCGACTATAGGCTTTCCTGCCGCCAAGGCGCATTGCACAGTACCTTGACCTCCATGTGTTACGATCAAATCGGCAAGCGCATTGGCGGCGGGTGCTGGAATGAACCGATCAGTCACTAGAAGGCGTGGGTCTCCGCCCGCAATTTCGTTGGCCTTGCCGATGTCGCAGATCGATTTTGAAGCCAGCACGACTGCGTTCCAGTTGTCTTCAGGGTTCATTCTCAGAGCCTTGATCGCTTCGAACAAGAAGTCTTCTGTTCCTGAGCTTCCCATGGTAACTAGGATGGACGGGCCAGACCCCTTTGTCAGATGAGTTGCGATGTCTTCGTCCAGTTTTGAGTCGTTTCGGGCATACAAAGGACCCGTGAGGACTATGTTCTTTGGGATGCGGTGCAAATATTCTTGATGAAATATGGGATGGTCGTTAACCAAATTGAGGTCGGCCATGTTCATGTCGAATAGTGAGATGGGACCTTTGATTGGCCACCCACAGGCAGCAGCCGCAGCTCCAAGGCGCTTCTGTTGGAAGATGGGAGCGTTAATCATCAGACCACTACCCCACCATGCAATGCGCTGCCGGAATGGTCGAGGAAGCCGTGTGAACAATGGCATCATATCCGGAAGATCACGAATCAAGCCATGTGCAAAAGCTCCAGGATGCAATGGCACTGGAAGAAAGTTGATTGTCCGAATGCCCAGGAGTCGTGCAGCGATAGAGGCTGGAGCCCACATGCCGTGGAACACAATGTCGGGTTTCAACTCTCTGAATGCCGCAAGTTGGCCGTCGATGAAAGACTTTGCAATTTCTTCAGATCCGAAAAACTCTGGCCAGTCCCATCCAAGGTCGTGCGCTACAGATATACCCTTCACGCGTGGTTGAGCTGGGACGATGTTGAACCCAGCGTCTGTGATCTGATATTCGAACCGCGCGCCGCAAGAGAGGAAGTCGATCTTTAGGTCGATATCGGGCGGACACATGTCCCGCAAAGCGACAGCCATCGCAATGGCACGTGTGGTGTCTCCAGCATCCTGCCATGCTACGCTCAGCACGATGTGAACGTTTCGGAGTGCCATTGTGCGGTTCAATTCTACTATCGTTGCACAAGAGGAGGTTGAAAGCAGCAAGATAGGACTTCAGGCTTGGACGACGTTCAGGACACCTTGGTGTATCGAGTCTTATACAAACATTTGGGAGGCCCACATGCAAACTTCAGCCCCTCGCTGGAAGCCGCGTCGATCATATTCGTCTCTCCTCTATGATCTCCGAAACGACAGCGATCGGTATGAGCCGTGTAGCACAGCTGCGGCTCATTCTTACTACACCATATGCTGGTCAGCCTCAGCTCAAAATACGAATGAAACCTTCGACTATCGCTGTGCAACACTCACGCCCGACCCAACTTCATGGCCACGCCATGCTACATCTCGCGACAGCTGCGGGGAACCGTAAGAGGTGCGATGTTATCCAGATTACGTTCGGTCCTTCGCGGGATCGGACCGGTGAATGCGTTCGAGACTCTGACATAGCAGGCGCAACCTCCCGCTAGTTGCAATATGCTGACCACCTTTGCATAGCGAGACGAGGCGTTCAGCAATGCCTTTGACGTGTTGCGAGACGTGTTCTTGGTCAATACTGCTTGCACAGCAGACGGATACGACGTGACGGTCGGTGTAAGCAGGCTTTGGATCCGTAAACAGCCAATAGTGTACGTACAATATCGGAGCTAACCAGGATGGCCGCACCTATTTTCGTACCAAGCCACCGAGCTTCGCTTCAACCGCGACGGAAACGGCTACACAGCAACATGGCGTCTACACC